ACTGTCAGTCAGTCGAACAAACAATTAGAACTTGCAGATGCATGATACAAGCATAGTGGTACTTTGGGAGTTGTCCTGGAGTGGATTCGTAGTGATGCTGTGACCATGAACTGGTAATTAATTACTACCTGCTTTCTGCCTTCAACTTGTGTGGAGATGCGTTTTATGCAGATAATCAACCCTCCACGGGAGGTCGCATCAGGTGAATTCTGATGAACTTTGACCACCCTATTTAAATTTAAAACAATCCATGGATTCTTTGCGGAAAAATATAAAATATTGGTATGAAAATTATCAGACATGTAAAATGGTTGGCATCTAATCATGTTCATTCCTTACACTTGCAAGTTCCAGACTTCTGAAATGGTCAAATCTACAAGTGTGGCTTAAATGAGTGAAAATGGTCGATGTTTTGAACTTCAAGTGAAAATCTAATTATGAGTTATCCGGAGATCCAACATGATATTTTTTATGTCAATACTGTTTTTTATCTACATCTCCCATGAAATCAGCCTGGCCCAAAGACCTGCTTATGTTCGATAATAGAAAACGCTTCCTGAAAACCTCTTACATTAGCTTTTGGGGACACATTTTATCAGTCTCTTTGCAACATTTCGTGTTGTCATAAGTAGCAAACATGCAATTGTTGAAATAAACAGCCTAGACGTTCTAGTCGTCTCGGTCCCTGAACCACATTATTTTGCATTCTGCCCAGATGCTATTCTGTATTGCTATAGTCCTAAATGATGCAAGTCTAGATTGTTCTGAATCTCCCATCTCACTGAGGCTCCATTTCAATTCAGATGGAGTTATTTGTTTCTATCAAAATTAAATATTTTTAGAGACTAAGAGTTAGTCAAATAACTTTCATACCATTTTAATTAAATTTTCGTTGTGTTCGTTGAAATTCCTGCATGGTCACGTGTTATTGCATTCATTCCCCAATGAATGTAAAAAAATAAGCCACGCCCACCGAGACGCACTACTTTTATTACTGCGGAATGTCGGGGAATCCCAATATTACATTCGAGGGAACTCCCTTTCTGCTCACGTGTATCGTCATGCACAGGACATTTAGCGACATTCATGCATATTCATTGTCCAAACTACACTTTGAACTGAAGGATGAGAATGAATGAAACAGCAAACGTGCAGGCTTGCTCGCCTGTTAGTGTTTCCCGCTCGGTTCAACTTTCATGTCTTCGGGTTTCATTTCACACTAGCATTTTTCCAACTATGTTTTCCCGTTTTCAGGCATAAAAACGCAACTGCTACAGATAAGCATGCATTCCATGCAAAAGTTGACTTTTATGCAAGCCCCATGCATTTTACTACCCAAGAATGGGTATTTAACGTCCACAGAAACACCATTTGGTGTTTATGGCAACGTTAGCAGTGCAACGAATGCAGTCAGAGACCATCCTCGTAGTAGCAGGCCACGCGAAATCAATAATCGACGAGACAACTGGATTCGAACAACACACCTACGAAATCGATTCCAGCCAGCAACAGTGACTGCAAGAAGCATCCCTGGCCTTCGACGAATATCTTCACAAACCGTACGTCGTCGCCTCAGATGTGCAGGGATTGTCGCCAGAAGACCCGCCAGACGTCCCATTTTGACAGGAAACCACCGTCAGGCACGTCTACAGTGGTGCAAACAGCGTCTACGCTGGATGGCCATGCAGTGGGGACAAGTTGTATTCACTGACGAGTCTGTTTTCACCTAAGCCACATCGATGGACGGATTCGAGTGTACCGACGTCGAGGTGAACGTTACGTCAATCATTGTGTCATGGAAGAAGATCGGTTCGGGGGCGGCAGCGTTATGGTTTGGGGTGGGATTACAGCAAGACAGAGGACCCGTTTGATAGTGGTAGAGGGAAATCTCAATGGACAGCTCTACCGCGACGAGATCATCGGCCCTGTTGTTCTACCGTTTTTGCGTCGTCATGGCCCAGGCATTGCCTTTCAACATGACAACGCCCGGCCTCATATTGCTCAACTTGTTCAGGATTCTCTTCAACAAAACAACGTGAATGTCATCCCCTGGCCGGCTTGCTCCCCTGACCCCACACCAATCGAGCACATGTGGGATGAGAAGGATCGGCGCCTTCGATGTCAACCATGTGTTCCACGGACACTCCAGGAACTTCGAAACATGCTCCAGCAGATATGGACAGATACCCCACAGGACTTAGTGCGACGCCTGGTCCATTCCATGAGACGAAGATGTGTTGCTTGCATCGCAAACAGGTCATCTTCCCGAGGCAAGTGAGTTAACTGACTATAAAAGTCCAGTTTCCACCCTTGCCGAACTAGGTTGGTATTATGGAGTTATATTTTTTCTGGACTCACGAGTCTATGCATAGTCCAATCAAAATCGCACACCGAAATCGAAATCCGGTTCGTAAACTGTCGGGCAGATTTCGGTCGATTGCAGGATTTGCCAAGCATGTGCACCGCCAACTCGTTGTCAGCAGATATTTTCCAAATCTTTTCACGTTTTTAATCAAGGAGCTCACGTGATTTGATGCATTTCGCGATGTAAGACCCGTTTTATCATAATATAGATCTTGATTATCGATCAGATCGTCCTGACTGGGCGCAACCATTTTGGGTGAAGCAAACGCAAGTGATACGAGAGGTGGAATCTCACTGGTCCATAGGAGAGGCTTAGAGGGGACATAACTGGTAATAGCCACTGGTGGCGCTACGATCGAACCCAGTAATTCAAGCCTACTTCGGCAAGGGTGGAAACTGGACTTTTAAAGTCAGTTAACTCTCTTGCTTCGGGAAGATGCAAACAGGTGGACACACACCTATTGATTTATAAACTGACAGTTGTTTTTTTTAAAATCAGTATGGCAAATTCAACCATTTGAATACTTACAGGAGTCATTTATCTGTTGCAAACCGAAATTGTTTCAGATTTGGTAAAAAAGACATAACTTTGCATTAAATCATATTCAACGTCACGGGAACTTTTGTTGTTCAGTATATTTTCAAGATAAAATGTAACCTCTAGCAACCATCCAAATACTTCCAAACCAAGTAGACAGTACATAGAAAGGAGACCTTCGGATGGTCCATGTTGTCTTGTATACTGGATCAGGTATTGCACATAGGCATTGTCTCAGGCTGTATATGTTCAATCCCTTATATTCCAGAGTGAAAATGGTCCCCAGTAACCATCTTACTTATGACTGGGTCGACAGTCTCTGTGACTTGTCTGATTGCATGTTGTCATGCCCCAGTGGTGTGGATCCTTGCTCATGCTTTCAGTCACTAGTTTGCCTGGTGCAAACTTTATTATTTATATGTTGCAATGATATATAGATGGAATAGCAGTGTTAAATATTCTCTCACTGTTTGATAAAATATTGTAAAAACGTTTTATGTAAGAAAATATTTGGCCTCTGGGGGGAAAGGGAAATTCCTCATTGGCCACAAGACAGCGGAAGCTGGATCAATCAGAACTTTTTTTTATAAGAATCAGTCTCTTCAAGCAACTCGGGCAAACCATAAACCGCCATTGAATATAAGGTCTCCACTGCAGCATGTCACAACTGTGAAGGAGATATTGATGTACTGAGCTTGCACGCACGCACGCACGCACACACACACATACTGTGATGTCACTACATGAGGCATGTTGGTGAGGATGGTGTGTTTAGTTTTACAAAAATAAAAAAAGAAATAATAACAAATTGTGTTACAGGTGAATATTTATCTTTGTGAGATATGCCAAAACATTATATGCCTAGACATTTGCACCTTTGATACTTTGTAAACTGATAAGAATGCACTTACAAGTAATTAACAAATATATCTTAACATAAGGCTGGGATGGGAGTGAGAATGGCTGATTTACCACATCAGTGAGATGTTTGCAACCATATCAAAGGGGCATGTAAGTACTCTTCAATGTTTTAAACTATTTATTTACTTGAGATGACAATAAGCAAGGAAAATTCAAAGCCTTTCCAATGGCACATCTGCAGAATCTGAATTGCAGGCCTTTCCATGGCACATCTGCAGAATCTGAATTGGAGGCCTTTCCATGGCACATCTGCAGAATCTGAATTGGAGGCCTTTCCACGGCACATCTGCAGAATCTGAATTGAGGGCCTTTCCATGGCACATTTGCAGAATCTGAATTGGAGGCCTTTCCATGGCACATCTGCAGAATCTGAATTGGAGGCCTTTCCACGGCACATCTGCAGAATCTGAATTGAGGGCCTTTCCATGGCACATCTGCAGAATCTGAATTGGAGGCCTTTCCACGGCACATCTGCAGAATCTGAATTGAGGGCCTTTCCATGGCACATCTGCAGAATCTGAATTGGAGGCCTTTCCAATGGCACATCTGCAGAATCTGAATTGTAGGTCTTTCCATGGCACATCTGCAGAATCTGAATTGAAGGCCTTTCCATGGCACATCTGCAGAATCTGAATTAGAGTGCTACTGATCATCAGATCCTCAAAATAACTCATTGTCATGAACATTTTCACATAGCTTCATCCTTCGGTGCCTTCTGGCTTATAAGATGATTCTTGAATAGTTTCATTTCATCTTAAGAGTGAAAAATTGGTCTTAATTTGAAAGTCTTGACACCTCCCACAAAAGCTTTAGCTCTGTGAAAGACCTCAGAGAAGACAAACATCAAGCTTTTAAAATCTTTGACCAAAGAAATCTATATTATAATTGTTTTTATAAATGTCATGAACATATAAGTGTTAGATATTCTCCAATTGATGTTCAGTTTCATCAACTTGTCAAAACATAATATCACAATCCATGCCATTTGCTTAGTGAATCTTTGTTCCAGGTGGGAAAATTTTGGACCAAATCCTACACCACTTATCAAATGTCAAAGAACAAATCGAGAACCTATGGCTTTAATTCTAATAGCCTTACTGAGATGGATAAAATATCTCCCTAAAATACCATGGATATTTCACAAGGATATGAAACAAGAGCAAGTAAAAACACATGATGTTATTATATGAATTTATTACATTATATACATTAAGCATATTTACAGTGTATGTTACCTTCGATACATTGATACTGATGTCTATGACAAATGATATAGTGCATAGATATGATGTACACAAACACTCGGTAACTGGCAACCTAGTCCTCTTCAAACAAAGCATGCATTATAAAACTGGTTATGGATCCACCTCCAGTTATGTATGACACTGCATTCGCATATTTTCAGCTATTGTCAGCACGGAAATAATGATTGCACATATCCTACATCTTTAAAAAAATAAATAGACTGAAATTTAAATTAAAAGAGTTTTAAATGACTATAAACAATTGCACTATTCTGTATGTTTGGGTCTTGTTATTCATACAGAAAGAAGTGTTGAAGCTGACTCTCCGCTTTTGAGATTAATAAACATGAAATGGGTACCGGTAAGTATTTTCTATTTCCCAGCAAATACAACAAATGCCCTTGTTTAAAAAAACTGACATTAAATCAGTTACTGTTCTCAGAGTTAACAAGATGTTGGACACTGAAGCATGCCCTACCCCATCAGTTCATCATGGATGTTGCAATAGAGACTGTGGTCTATGAAACGGTTGAGCCACATACATCTCTAATACTATTCATAACCATGGATTAAACTGCATCTCCTATTTATACCAACCTTCATGATTACATCAGTAAGCCAATTAACTGCACCAACAGGAAGATGACGATTCAATCAAAGACCATTTGCAGGTATTCAAGAACATCAATCTTTCCAATCACAAGGCAAGGTTCCTGGCAGTGTTTGTATACATACAGTTCCCCGACAGGTTGATGTAAAGGACATATGCGAAGACTGAAAGTGACATGACATGGACAAGAAACTGACAAATAGTGACGTGCTATGAACATGTTAAATGCATTCAGGTTTAGGCATGTGGGGGACATGTCTTTTGTGTGGAGTAGACTTTTTACATTGAACATTATGTTGGAATGAAATGAACTTATGGTAATTATGGTTTGATCTTAGCAGAAATAAGCTAAATGATAGCCAATGTATCTATAAGCACATGACGATTGCATAATATGTTATGGTTTTACTTTCACTTAAGCAATCAAGCACCTGTCACCATAACAAAATAACAATAACGTAAAAAGAAACACCCTCACATCAGGTTCCTCCATCCATTATTTGACAAATTCAAGGCTATGTGCAAAATGCAAATAAAAGTCAACCATTTTGTATTGTATTTTATTTGCCACAATACAAATAAAATGGTCAGCATACATCCAGACTCTAAGTTATGAAAGACAGATAAGAATAAGACAGCCTGTGAAATTGACAAGATGAAATAGACATCTCTCACCAACACACTCACACAACCATGCGCACCCATAATTTACAATGCAGCTTGAACACAAGCCGATGAACATGTTAAAAGTAAAGTCATTTATCTAGCATAAAATACATGGAGTACATCATGAAGCATCCTCTACATCTACTCAGTGCAGCTTGGCCGGGCTACGTGGAGGGGGCGGAAAGATGCTGCTACTTCGACAGTAGGGACGAGATGTGGGATTGAGACCGACCTGGAACAAGAAGGACAAATGTCAGGACTGTGTTGGGAATGGCATATGTTCAGGGTGCAAGATTCTGGGTATGTATCAGAAGTTTAAATATCTATTTGATATTTCTACAATAGGCTGGTGTACATAGAAACAATGTTTAGGCTACACTTTCTATGTTTGTATTCAAATTCTAACTTTAATTTATAAAAAATCCTCTCTAATATCTCAGTGAAACAATATTAAGTTACACAAACTTTGTCTCTCAGCCTCTCATTATAAAATAAAGTATCAATTTGTAATATTCTATTGACACAAACATTTGCATTATCAGGGTCATCAGATTTGTAAACAAGCGAAACATGGCCTTTTGAAATACTAGATGTTACGCATGCAGTGATGCCAACATGTCTCTGGCAACGTCCATGCAATAAGGGGTTGGAACAAACCAAGTGCTTGATAGTTATCATAACTCCTGAGTCTTTACATCAAAGCCATTACAGTTCATTCACATTACAACAAATAGCTACCAATATTGATGCTCCCTGATGCATTACAGGTGTACCTGACCCCCCAAGCCAAACATGCTTGATCCTTAAGATCATAGGGCAATTCTACAAAGCCTGCAGAATGAAACTGAAACTTTAAAAAAACCAAAAACAAAAAAACATGACAAAAAGCAAAACCAAACCAAAAAATAACATTTTATTTTTTGCAGTGTACTAGGAAATATTTGAATTTTAACTACCGGGTAAATCAAATTATTGAAAATAAAACTAAACAAAAAATAAACGAATAATAAGCTAAAGCAAACCAGTTAAACAAATATAGTACAGGCATGCAAAACAGTTTCGTGCATGTTAATTTTCATTTTTCAGTCAAGAAAGTTTTTCGGTATCTGTCCAATATTAGTCTGGAATCAATGATGAAATGTGAGGCAAATAGCAGTGTGCAAGGCTGTCAATAACAAGGGAAGGGTGCCATCTTACCCATGCTACTCAGACTGCCTCTCTGCAACGTCAAAATAGGGTGTTACATTTCATGCTGATTTCACACATGGTGATGTCTGTACTGAGATGTCTGAATGAATATATTGTGGAACCGACCTCTGAGATTCACATCTATTTCATTTGATTTCTTTTATAAGGTGCCCCCCGCGATGCCATTTTCAGTTTGAAAGTGTAACATTCCAATGAAATCAATTGGTATCAAGTTCAGTGAATCTGATATTGAAGTGAAGCGTCTCATGTTAATTTCACGCACTCCTACATTTGCCAATATGTGTCTGTAAATCAAGAATGGCATCTCAGAGCGTCAGTTCCCAATATCTGCTATCACATTTCAAAATAAGCAGTTGTTCGGCAATGCTACTTCAACAAGCAGAATATATAAATCTTATGAAATATGAACATAACCAATGAAGCATGGATACTCTACAGCATAAGGTCAAGTTAATGATATGACCAACAAGCAAGGTTCGAACAGGCAATGCCAGGAACACATTAGTAAATTAGATAAATACAAACTTTGATGCATGTAACATAGCATCTCATGTGTGCTGATTTGAAAACCAAGGTTCATACCAATATTGGGAAACATTAAACTCCCAACATTCAAATTTTCAATGACTTTACAGTTTACTTAGCCTACTGAAACAAGGATAGAAATCATACAAATTTACAATTTCATTCCATGCATAACAAAAGCCACCAGCAACAGCAGATACCCAAACGTAAACATTTGGCCCGTAGCTACCTTTTCTACTATATATTAGATCTACACATCATTACTGACCGGGAAGTGCATCTCTTTTAAATTACCTTACAATTTTTCCAAACATTCCTTTATCTTAAATGTTACCTTGCAGCCATTTTCCAAAATCGATTACCCGGGGGTACCTAATTTCAAAACAATGGAGTTACTCTCTGCTATGTAAGCAGCAATCAGGAAAATTGCTTCACCTGATATTTTTAATGATAAGGATGGACTGAGAGAGCTCCTTGACACAAAACTAGTCAAATTAAAGCAAACTGATGCTGATGACATTAAGGTCCAAGTGACAATATGTAAACAATGGAATACTGTCTGCATAACTGCCATCAAAAGAAGCTGGGTCCCCTTCCGCAAAGTGATTGTATCGCTATGACAGTCTATATTAGGAGTTACAATCACCTTTGCGCTACGATCACTACAAACAGGGCCCCGGTATGGTAAAGCTGCCGTACCATTACATCTCCTAATGCTAAATGGTCAGTCGACAAACAGGAGGGCAATATTTCGATACAGTTATGGACAATCATGCAAAACCCATGCGTGTGTATTATCTGCCTCTTACTGAGGGGTGAATGTTCAACTGGTCACTTCAGGGATGGCTTTTGGAACTCCCTTCCCCTGGATGGACAAAATTACACATGAAACTGACACATACCCAATGGGTGGATGACATATTGGTTCTCGCTACACTATAAATGGCGTGACACTTTCTTGACTGAATGAAATGTAACATTGGTGAATGTTAGTATGGAAAACATGAGCTTGATAACTTCATTAAAACAAACACTACAAACGATGAAATGAGGACATGCAATTAGTTCAATGTTGGATTTGTAAGGGAAAGCACATTTTGTTTGTTGTTGATAGTTAAAAAGCAACAAAAAAAAAAGCTGTGAAAACAAAAAACAATTTCAGAAAGCAAAAAGCGCTGAATTTTAGTAAGCATAGTAAATAAGGAAATTAATATGAACATAATGTAGATGATGAAAGACAATATATAAAAAAAATTATTTGAAAGTATATTTGAACTTTCCATTCCAAATCTCCTATTTTGTCTACAATGCTTCAAGTCAGGATGCATTCCATGATTAGTTCAACCTGGGGGTGATTTGGAAACATGATTCAATGTGTAGTTAACCATTTCAACGTTTAACATGAAGTGACTCAAGAGATACACACAGCAAAATCTTGGTACGATCCCGTAGACGCGAGACTTGCGTTGCTGCTGCCACACCCACCATCCTTGCTGCTTACCGTGGTCTGGCTAAACATGGAATCGCTGTCGGCAGGGCCCGTATTGCGCTCCGATAGCACTTTGCGAGCAAGGCGCAGTGAGCGCCGCTTTTGGGACCTGTTGTTAGGTGTCTGAAATATGGGAGACAAATTAGTATATAAACATCTGTATAATGTAGTGAAAATAACTTTACCTGTGAATTATCAAGATGCGATTTTACGTACTTCAAATATCACGATGTCTTAGTACAAGTACTTACTTTTTTCAGTTTGTAACAAATTTCGTTTTTGTTTTGTGTGTTGTTTTGTGGTCAGGCTCGCTGACTTGGTTGATGCTTGTCATTGTATCCCAATTATGTGGATTTATGGTCATGATGTCAATCACTGGATTGTCTGGTCGAGACTCGATTATTTTACAGACCGCCGTCATATAGCTGGAATATTGCTGAGTGAGGCGTTAAACAACAAACAAACAGACCAACCCTTCATCTTAGATATCAGTTGCATTATTTTTAAACATGAGGATAATAGGCATGGTTACATGTACCTCCACCAAGAACGACAGAAAGCTAATAAAACAAAATGTAACATTGTAAACATAAAATGTACATCAGCATATAGCATGTATGCAGATTGTTATCCTAACCAGAGCCCCATATCTATGTTGGCCACAATTAGCAGATTTAACATACTTAGAGTGATTCAAAGACAAATTCTGTACACACGCAAGACATTGCTGGTTTCAGCAAGCACTGCCCTAAATATTTACATTGCATCACAGTGTATCAAATTAATAGATTGTCTGATCAACAAAAGCATTGCTGATATGATCCCCGTTTCACAATGCGATCGTAGTGCTACAACTACTGCCACAACTCCCATACTTTGAAAATACTTACGATAACACTACGTAGACAACAGCAACATGACCACAATGTTATGAGCGGAATTTATGCTTAGCTACAGTTTTCTAAAATGACCTATCATGTGTGATTTACAAACACCCAAATGAAATATTTACTTTTAAGTTCATTTCTGTGTGACAATGAAAGTATGCATTTTATGGCCTTGTCATCTCAATAAACATGATACACACAAGCCAGGATTTGAAATTAGCAGTATGCTAGTCCATGACGAAAAACTAGCGACATCTGTGGGCACCAACTTTTACAATTAGTTAGATGGCTGCTTTGCAGCACATCTTTTCTGACTTGAGAAAATAAAATGAATTCTAATCCTGCAAGCACTGTTTGATGAAACATCTAACACAGCTGATATACACCACATGGCTCTACTGATATCATGGCTAGCAATACGCTGTGTACCTGTCCCTGGCATTGCTATGGCAAATGATTGACATACCTTACTGGCCGACATTGGAGCACGTCGATATGGAGATGCAAACACACTAGTGTGTTGTATTCTGCTTACTGAGGCGGGTGTTTTGTTTGTGTCATTCAACTGTTAGAAACATGCAAACAGCAACAGTGAGACGTGAGGAGGCTTACTTGATATACACACTTGACTGACACTGACTGACAGGGTGTACATTGCAGGTGTAGATTTCAGTGTCACCAAGGTAACAGTCAATGTAAACAGGAAGCATCAAAGCCTATCTTCTGTATCAACATTTATTTAGGCTTTACAGTTCCTGTACCAGTCAAAAATGCTTCCAAAAAATGAAGGTTGGTGCGAAACTGACAATATGCATCAGTCAAATGTGTATGAAAAGTGCGATGAACATGAAATGGTGATTATAGACCTGGGATGGGAAAAGATGGGAATGAGGAGGAAGTTTTGAACCTTTTCTCCAACAACAATTCTGATTCAGAAAGCATGGAAAGGTAAAGGACATTGGAGGACTGAAATCAACAAATTAACCATTTTAACAATTGAGCATACTCTAGGAAGAACAATGGCATTATGGGACTAGTGTAAATGGACATACAAGTCAATTCTACAGAGGACATTATGAGGAGTGGCGGGACTGAATAGTTTTAGAACTTTACAAGGTAGTTTGTATTTTGATGAAACATGCTATGAACAATGATATGATGGCAAGCCAAAGCAATGATAAGCTAAACATTCCCCCAGCACAATGCTTTCTAAGACAGAAATTTGAAATGGGATAATTTTTCACAAACCATTTACCTTACAACGAACATTGACGTGAATTGAAATCTGACTGTCAGTCTGTCACAAATGACAAATAATCAAGGCTTTAGATAGGAAATTATACAACAACATAATAAAATCACATGGCTGGAATTCCTTTTCCATTACAAATTAGATGAATCAATAAAGCTGACGAGGCATGAACATTACAACTTATGGTCAAAGGGGAGTAACTCAGTTTGCAATATTACAGCATCAGTGGATGGCAATTTTAAAATTAAAACCACCCTGACAATTAGTTTGAAATGAAACTGAAGATACATGTATATACAATGGGCGATCTTTTTCAATTTATCTTCCCTTCACTAACCCGCTAGGTGCGCTGACCCGGACGGTCCAACCTTAAACTGACGGCGCATGTGGTATGCGCGATACGAGCACTACATGTTACTATGACGTCTATAGACAGTTAACTAGTACAACCTTCACCTGTCGGCAACGGTCACACTTGTGTGCGGACAGTATATCTTTTCGCCTAAACAATTATTTATTTATTGCCATGTCCGGAAATATATGTTCCTTGATATAATTATACATCAGGGATGACCACGACTGATTATATTGTATAGTTAACCACTAGATAGGCGTTCGAAGCGATGCGGTGAAATCAGCTGATCGTTCCTCCCAAGTCGCTTTGTTGATGTTTTGCAATCGGTACTGAAAGTGTTGCCCTTGATGTATGATTATGAAAATTAAGTAGATTTTGTATACGTTCCTATATCTATGTTGTAGCATCGCCGAGCAGGCCACATCATATGCATGCATTTCATTATGTTAAACTGTGAGGCGATACGTTACACGAAATGTGAAGGTCTCATGCAATGTTGCCCGTAGGCTCAATGTTGTGAATATTGACAGCAACACATGTAAGTATTTGTCAGATATATAACTGAGAGCAATGAGAAATGTTCTCAAGAAATTGTAAGAGTAACAGGCACTGTAAAATTACGTCATCAACTAGATATCATGATACAATCTTCAAAATAAAAGAAATGGAAATCACTGAAATCTGTTTTGATATTTAGGGTTAAATGGTGCATGTTGTATACAAGGATTTTATGTATATGAATGGTAGCTGTTTGTTGCCAAATACTACCATGATTATATTTCAATATGATCAATGAAAGATATATATTATTTTGGCCTTTTTTTAATTTTACAAAGCAGAAAAAACCCAATTCAGACACAGGGGGCCCTATAAATTAGTTAAAATACATATTCAAGAGTATTTGTACCAACTACAATTTTTATAAAATAAAACAATATATTCATACTAATTGCCAATCTCTTTAATGTTGTTTGTGTATTAACAATGCAGTGTCTACATCCAGTTTGCATTGACAATAATCATATGATTGTGACACAGATAAAGCTGATTCTTAACTTCATTAGGCCTTGCTTTTTATGTTTCCTTGTTCTAAACTGATGTTTCAAATTCCAACAAACAAATTATTAATGTTTTTCTTTTTTCACTTCACACCAAAAGATATCTGCATTGCACAATGACTCTTATTATTTTATTTAATATCTTGGCACACTTGTGCATGTGTACTAGTATTGGGACTCTGGTATTCTTTCAGGTTTGGAGAATCAATCAATTCATTGTAAAAACATTTTAAATTTCTTACATAAGTTACTTTGATCTTGATAAGATCAAACTAGATCCAAATTAATTTGAGAAGATTAAATTATGCAGTCTATACATTTCAGCCAGTCTGTCTAAAATCCGGTCCTATTTTTAGTCAATAATAAATGAATGAAAATTTAAGAAAAAATATACCTTACCTGAGTGAATCAGTCAATATGCATATTGACTGAAATGTTCAGTCAAAATACATATTGGGCCTGATTATAGACACTGACTGTAAAATATGGAAGTATAATCTGTTATATGCAAAAACAAATAACATAAATAAATCCATTTATCTACATGGAATGACTGTGGGGTTCAATTTCCATTTATTTAACTATCAGAAGATTTGATGATAAACTTTCATATTCATATTTTCATATAAAATTTATATTTGCTATATGATAATAATAACTACAAAATATACTTTAAAATACAGGTGTCTTGAAGTACTGTTGAATGAAAATCAGGATACTTAGATACAGCAGGATAGTGTGTGGGTTTGTATGGGAAATTTGTCAACATTAAAAAAAATATAATGTTACTAAAACAAGAAGATAAAACTTTGATTTAGATCTATTTATGCATCATACACATTTTGTGGGGTATTCAGTATGATTTGTTGTTTGTTGGGACACATCTCTGTAATTAACTACTATTTTAAGAGCATGAGTATCAGAATTCTGTAAGAAATGATGGATCAATGAATTAACACCTGTGATGACTCAGAGCACTTAATGGTGGGACACATGTTATAAGGGGCAGAATAATATGGGTAAATCTCTTATTTCAAAGTATGATGACTAGTATGCATATTGCAACTGAGTAACTGAGTGCTTAATAGCTGCATGGTAGATGTTCATTAGGCCTATTTCTACAAAAATAATATAAATTTAAATATTCAGATGCAAATATAAAAAAAGTAACATTTAAAATCAGTTGTTTTATTATTTTGAACGTTATTTCTTCTTAAAATATTTGTAAAGGCACGGATGTATACTTACTATATAGATCATTGGTTAAGGCCTGTCAAAGATGTCTGTGTGCTGCAAATGTTGGCGTATCACTAATTTTATTACATTGAAGTTCGTGGTAGTATTTGTTGAGATTTGAATGCATGAATTGTTGTAGGAAATAACACAAAGGCTGATAATTAAAATGAGTTTGCATTATTTCATCGATGCAATATGTTAGCCCAGACTGACAGAATGCCTCGCTGTTTTTTTTACGTAGAAAATACCGTGACAATATACCATTTTTCATGACGTTTTCCCCGCTATATTCCAAAGTGACAATTCGTCTTGTAGTTGAAGACTCAACAAATGTTGATAATATAAACTAATAATCACTACAAAATATGTGCTAGTTAAAAATATTCAGTTGTAAACGACTGTTTTTGAACGAAGGTGCAACAGGATAACTCTTTAGCTTGGCTCCGTCTCTACATGTCAGTCGTTGTCGCAGCGCGCATTGATCCGGGAACCAGACCGGAAGCGACAGGTTGGACCGTCGCTTATATCATTTCAAAAGGAGAGTTATCGTCCTTTGGAACAAAAAGATCGCCCATTAATGGATAAAGGTAACCTTGAGTCTTGTCTCTTACCTTTCTGACTTTGTTAGGGGTTTTCTGTGGAGTAGTTCCCCCAAATGCCCTCTTGGAAGGTGTGGCCGGTTTTGAACCGAAGATCATCTCTTCCTGAATCTGTTTGGCTTTAGCTTTTTGCTGAAAACAATGATAAGGTTACAATAATTTTACAATTTCATAATAAAAAAATCACAACTTCATTACAATTGTCTTTTGAGTCTTTTAGCCCAGACATACATTCAGTGTATCTTGTCTTAGTATATCGGCCAGTATTGGCACAGCATGTCCAGTGGCCTTCATTCATCTAATGTCTCATGTCTAAGCTGGCCTACCCTCTGCTCCTTCTCGCGGATCTTCTGTTCATTGTAAGCCTCTCTCTGGCGTATGATATACATGTCGTATTTGACCCCCTCTACAAGGAACGGTCGATTGTTCTCCTTCTCCCAGCTCCGCACAGCATCCCGAACATCATCCTCCACCTGCAACACCATGGACTGCTGTCACCCACACACATGTCTACACAATATCAGGACATAATTACTATACAAACTGGGAACATCAGTGCAAATATGATTAGTCAGTTTTTGAAATTAAGCACGAAAATGAAGGTGTCCTTGTCATCACATTATCCATCTTCCCAAGGCAAGGGAGTTAACTGACTATGTAAGTCCAGTTTCCACCCTTGAGGAACTATGGAGTTATATTTCGGCTGGACTAATGAATCTATGCATAGTCCAATCAAAATTGCGCAACAAAATCTACATCCAGTTCATAAACTGCCATGCAGATTTTGGTTGATTGCAGGATTTGCAAAACGTGAACCATCAACATTCCGTCAACAGAAAATTAACAAATCTTTTCGTGTCTTTATAATCAAGGTTCTCACTTGATTTGATGATAACACAAAGAAAGACCCATTTTATTACAAGATAGATCTTGATTATCAATCAGATTAGCTTCCCTGGGCACCATTTTGTTTGAATCAAATGCATGTGATATGACAGGTGGAATTTGATTTGAGGGGAAGATGATCATCACCATCACACTTTATTCAGTACTTGTAGGCCATGGGCCTTTTTGTACAAACCGGCATACTTTTTGTTCGTCCTTGCCATGACCCTAATGTTTAAACTGCAAGATTTAGGGGCTCCCCTCATTCAATTATCATTGAGCAAACCTCAAGGTTGCAGGCACCCAACAAATTTCAAAAGATGTAGATGACTTTTATCAAAATATTTTTAAGGCAATCATACCTATGACAAAATTAAGAATGGACGCAAATAATATTCACGGCAAGATCCAATTAATGCAAACGAGTATGGGTGTTAATTCAAGTAATCTTTCTCCACATACCTTTGGTAATTCTTTCATGAGTTTTTTGCGTTCCTTTTCCTCTTGTAAGAGACAATTGTGTCGTCTGTTCTTGTATCTGTTGGGATCATTTGCCTTTCTCTGGAAACAAAGGGATGATTGAAAATACAAAACAGGAATCACAAAGGAATAAGAGTTGTTGGAAACAGTCTATTGGTTTAATGACTCCCTTTTCTCATAAAATGTATGCAAAAACAAATTTGCATACCATGATGATTAAATACAATCTACATAAAAAAGTCACATACCTCAAACTCTATCATCTTTGAAAAGAGCTCCTCACGTCGGGCAATCTGGTCCAAGAGACAGTGATACTTCTCGTAAAAACCCTTAACCTTCGCCAGCTCTCGCTCATGCACCTCCAGTAACTCTTCCGTGTAGTGCTCTGTTACCATGTTAAAAACACATTAATGAAACCATGACATGTCAGAAAATATACATATTTATAAAAAACAAACAAAAGGAAAACGTTAAAAAAAATTCAAAATAGCAAAAGGCACCAGTTAAGCTGATGAGCAATGCATGTGGCAAAAGTTGTGTTGAAAATCCTTGAAAATGAACATTAACTATTTGACGCCATCAAGAACCAAGCCAAAGCCCTTCCCTAGGTTAATGAGCTAACACTTTACTATGGACGCTATCACAAGTAAATAGTGCTTGTGAACCTAGTGATCAGCACCTGATTGTTTACCTTGATGTGCATGCATGGTAGCCATCTTTCTGTGAAACTCAAAACTTTATAATGTACAGTTTCCTCAAACTGCAGTGAACTAACACCGCCTAACTCACATCTAACCCTAAGGATCGTAAAGGGGATCTAAGGGCTAGGGATAGAGTTTGAGGTAACCTACCCAAACCCAACTTAACCCTAAGGAGGAAAAAGGCATGTGAGAGCCACAGCCGGTCTTGCCACACGTAAATCTGAATTGTTTGAAGTTACAGGTAGTGATAATACTTTCACAATACAAATAAATTTCCAAGACTCACCGTCTGTGAGTGGCTCAAATTCATCCATCTGTTTCCTACTGTAAAAACACTTTTCCCACCAGTGCAATAGTTCCCGTCGAATTCCTTCAACAAATCGCTGAACATTCTGAAATTTCAGTTTTTCACACCGTGCAACCTCCTCTTTGAGGCCATTTATTACATGAGGTTTAAAACTGTCTTTGTCCTTTTTGAAGATTTCCCGCTCGCTTTCTTCCATCTCTAACCTATCCCATAATGCATGGATCTGCAGCCACAGGTTCATAGTCGTCTGCTTCATGTCGTCCTTCTTCTGTTCAAGCTGGAACATCAGATGTATAAAGCATTTAATTATTTGAAGTGAATCTGGTATCTCCAAATTTATTACCGGTACCTTGCACATGGATATTTCTCTCAAACTACTTTTTTCTTGTTTAAAACCGCAGTCAGCAATATTCCAGCTGGTAATTAATAAAATCTAGGGTAAAAAAACCCCCAGTGGTTTATATAATGAGCAACTTTTATGTTTGGTATCATGACCTAGTCACTAGTGAGTGAGTGAATATGGTTTTACGCCGCCTTTAGCAATATTGGCGTTAACACTGGGTATATTTAAGACATGCTTCTCTGTGTTGCAGAAGATACACTCACCTCTTCGTGAAGTGACTTCAGGGTTCTCATGTTTTGTGTGGATAGTTGGAAAGCATCGTCATCTTCGCACATGATATCTCTCTCAAAGGATGTGTCAGGGCTTCGATCCATTTCATTGAACAGGTCAATTATAAGTTTCTTTGTCTGTACGAATTCTGTGTGACGTGTTTCCTAGGAACAAAGACAAGAAACCTGAATGCTAAGGGTGGGTTATGGTCAAAGGGAGACAACCCACTGTTTTCAAGGCCATCTTGCCTGTGACTAGCTGTTTGGCAATACAGCAATAATGGATTTGAGGTATTTTTTTCAAAAGGATGATATTGATGAATTATAATAAACAGAATTCAAGAAGAGTATTAGTTTTTAACACACATAATACCCCTTTTCCAGCACTTACTTTTTCCGCCGAGAGGGTTGCAATGTGTTTCTCCAAGTCCTTGAGTTGATCCTTGGTTGGCACTGTGCCGGATGCAACATAGTAGGGCGTGGCACAAAGCACTTCACACAGATCCTGGTCCTGGTCCCGCAGTGTCTTCAGACTCTTCATCCGGGATGACTTCTCCTGTTGTAGTCCGTCCAGCTTGGCCCTCAACTCTTTCTCCTTCTGAAGCATGGTCAGCGACTCCTTGGGCTGCACACACAGACAGGCAGTTGTCATCAACACACACAGACAGGCAGTTGTCAACAACACACTAGCAGTAGTAACACATAGTACAGACAGTCTTCTAACAAAACAGCATGGTCATCAACACACACAGACAGGCAGTTGTCAACAACACACTAACAGTAGTAACATATAGTACAGACAGTCTTCTAACAAAACAGCATGGTCATCAACACACACAGACAGGCAGTTGTCAACAACACACTAACAGTAGTAACACATAGTACATACAGTCTTCTAACAAAACAGCATGGTCATCAACACACACAGACAGGCAGATGTCAACAACACACTAACAGTAGTAACACATAGTACAGACAGTCTTCTAACAAAACAGCATGGTCATCAACACACACAGACAGGCAGATGTTAACAACACACTAACAGTAGCAACACATAGAGAAGAGAATCTCCTAACAAAGCAGCAAGGTCAGTGACTCCTTGAATGTTTCACTTTCCCAAGGTATTCCTCACAGGCCAAGGGACATTTTTTTTCATGACATTTTCTCTAGCATCACCAAATTTAACAATCAGCATGATCAGTGGTGTGGAAACCAATGCCTAATTGTTACGTGAGATCGTCAGACACAAAAAAAATCATCTTCAGTTCTCCGTGAACCATTAACTTCAACAGATCCTTAAAAAAATGACCGGGAAGATCCGGGGTAGAATAGGTCTTCAGCAACCCAAGCTTGTCGTAAAAGGCGACTATGCTTGTCGTAAGAGGTGACTTACGGGATCGGGTGGTCAGGACAAGTGAATTCTCACCAGGCTTAATATTTGCTTGTCCAGGGACTAATTCACAATAGTGATATTTCTACACCCCTGCCAACATGGCCAAGTTAGTCTGGATTTGTTTCATAACCACTAGTCGATGTTCTAGGAAATGAGCCATTCTGAAACCGTGTACCCAAATATGGTTCACACAGTTAATAAGTTATGAACTTTTCCCAAGAAGATTCATACTCCAATCAGCTCACATAGGGCTTGCTTCGTGAAAGACATGGGAGTAATGCACTTTTTAATTGGGCGGTCGGGTAGCCTAGTGGTTAAAACATTCACTTGTCATGCTGAAGGTCCGGGTTCGATTCCCCACATGGGTACAATGTGTGAAGCCCATTTCTGGTGTCCCCTGCCGTGATACTGCTGGAATATCGTTAAAAGCGGCATAAAACAATACTAGCTCACTCACATTTCAATTAGTGATGCATGGAGGATCGAACTCACATTGCCAGCTTGAGTGAGTGAGTGAGTATAGTTTTACGCCGCTTTTAGCAATATTCCAGCAATATCACGGCGGGGGACACCAGAAATGGGCTTCACACATTGTACCCATGTCGGGAATCGAACCCGGGTCTTCGGCGTGACGAGCGAACGCTTTAACCACTGGGCTACCCGACCGCCCCATTGCCAGCTTGAAGCTAAGCTCGGCAACTAAGTTAACTAATTAGTCAACACTTTACCGCGAGCACTGTCACAAATAATTATTACTTGTTTACAAAGTTATCAGCACACGACTGGTTAACTTGATGCGCATCCGCTAAAGTTGATTTTTCCTCACAATACATTGGATTAATTCTTTACAAGAGACAGCTAACCCATACCCTACCTCACAACCAACCTCGAGGATTGTAAAGGGATGTTTGATTGGCAAGTGGTGCCCCGCCCTAAGGATTGTGAAGGGGTGTTTGATCAGACAGGGGTACCTAACCCTAATGTTCATAGGGGGTGCTTGAACAGAAAGGGGATCCAAGGGCTAAGGATAGAGTTGAGGGTAACCTAACACATCCAACTCCAGTAATCGAAGATCCATGTGAGATCGGTGAAGCGAGAGTCACAGACGTGAGTCTAAGCCAAATAGCACTATGTAAACTGCGCCTGGTAAACAGCACTTTTGCCAAAGATACTTCTTCAATATTTAAGAAGTAAGTACAACTTACCACAAATGGGGTTACAACCAGTTCCCCTGAAAGTTTCTTGATCTCATCACTGTATGTGCCAATGTTCTGTTGTATCTGTGAGCGGAGTATGGATTCCTCTTCCACCATCTCCTCCAGTAGGTTGCACAGATGATGAGACACAGTCCCAGCACGTTCCTGCATCTGGGATTCACAGATGCCAATCTCATTCCAGATATGGTACAATTTGTTGAGGGCGGCATCAAGACGGCCAGTTACCTCGGTCTTGATCTTGTCTTTACTGAAACAGTGTTGAGTATTGAAAATAGTTTGACTGTCACACTCTGTCAAAAACTGAAACCAAGTTTCATCAACCAAGTCAGCGAGCCTGACCACCCTATCCTGTTACTTGCCCCTTACGACATAGTCTTGCTGAGCTTAATCATGTTAATGGAATGAACAGTTTTACTCAGGCTCTGACTAGTGGCTAAAGTTCCATAATGCTGTCACACACTTGAAAAGCATCTGTTGATTCAAAAGTTACCCTTTGGTGATGTTTCTATTTATTTGAGAAATAAACAAGTTGGAGTTGTTTGTCGTACAATGAAACACTGCAGGGAGAATAAACCATGAGGGTCGTTCGACCACTGCATAATTAGTGTTGCCCAGCTATATCTATGGGGAACAACTTACTGGACACTTCCCTCTCAAAAATAATGTCATCCAATATACCTCATTAAGTATGTCAAGTTGCGAACACATGTTTGAATTTCCAGAAATGTCATGATAGCAAAATGTTTCATACTCAAACTGCTGCATGGTGATATTTGAACTGCATATTTTCAATTCAACTGACATTATAATTAATCATGTTAATTTGACAATAACATTGAGATTCACTTATTTCTGGTAAGCCCTCTCGAAAGATTATTTTTTTAGGTTTAAAGAATGTCTGTCATAATGTCATAGGCCTAATTGATAGTCTGACATATGTGATCGACCTTGTTTTGACCATTTTAACAATAATTTAGACTTATTTTTTTTCAGAGTTATCTTCTCGGGTAATGCCATCTATCTACGGTATAATGGTAGGCATATTAGAGAATTTAAAAGACAGTCGAAGTCTGAAGACTTAGTGAAGTTATTCGAGACAAGCCACATGAGGCCTAGATGTTGAAATAAAACCTGACATTTTGATACAACTTTACTAGTCTATTTTTACTTTACAAATACACAATCAAACACAAGTGCAGACTTATATTTGGATGGTGCTGCCTCTTAAGTAAAAAGACATGGTATTTATGGAACAAACGCAGGCATTTTATAATGATCAATTCCGATTGTTTCATTTTCGTTTGGGAAGCCAAGGTGTGCTCGAAATTTGAATAAAAAGTATCATATCATAGGCATACAATGAGAATCTAGAATAAATACATGCAGCGACACATAAGTACTTTTAAAGCAAAAACAAACCTTGATCCCGTCATTGTTTCGTTGATTGCACGCGTAGATTTATAGAAAACAAACTATTATCCATACATCTTCTTGGCTGAGTTTCCCTTACCGCTTCGCGTTTTGAAATTTACCTATGTAAACTCGCTGTTGATTGGCCAGTTCGAATATTTCCCGTCATGCAAAAATGATTCATCTAAGGGACGCAACTCTTAAAAATAACAGTGCGTGCCCCTCCCAGTGATACAAACCACATGTGTACATTTCTTTTGCACACAAAACCTCTCTGAGTACCATTTTAATGCGTGTGTTTCCATAAAAAAATCATTCAGATACATTGGGCTGATAATCTAGAAGAATTTGTATTTTGTTTGACACATTGAATTTCTTTATGTAATTAAATTAATTTCATTGTCGCATTGCTGACATGGTGATAGACTAACATGTATAGTCTCTGAAATGAAAATACTTAAAACAAAACAGAACAAGAGAGTTGTTAAATCATCTTAATAAGATATAGTAAAAAGGAGCTGCATTCATTATTAATAATAATCTAGACTTGCCAACTATTATAGGTTGTATTAGATATATTTGTTTCAGGAACTGTGTGACAGACTAACATGATGGGCGAGAATTAAAATTTGGTAGGCGATTAATTTAGTATGTATACAAAAAATTACCAATTACTATGTAATTACATTTTCAATTAAGAATTTACCGATGTCAAGATGTAAGAGTCCAAATACTCCCATCATATTAATTACACCGAAGCCTTTCCTCACGACATGCAGCTCTGACATGTAGTTTTATTCAAAGTTGAAAGCAAGTGTCAAGACTACTCACTGAAAACGCGTGTCCATGAAAAAGAGGAGCTTTGTTTACAGTTAGTGTTGTCTTAAGAATATAAAGAAATGAACGGCCATTGATCACAAGCTATGCTTATTCCCGTACAAACGTTAACACAATCTGTCAAAATGTAAAGACTCGTCATAATGATATCTTATAGAATAGAATTGTAGTCTGTTTTGCTATGAAATGGAAGCATTCTGGCGTGCATATCTTTTGAAATACAAATGTAATATCTAAATATGTATCATATATCGTTAAAGTAACGCGTAAGGAGTACCACGGATTAATGTTTGTTCAGACAAACGATCCTTGACAGTAGCAGCTAATCTGTCATACAGACCCTGAAACTAATATATCCAATGCAGCCCATGCAAGTCTATAATGTTTGGCAAGTCTAGATAACTGCAGTATCTGAAAATGAAGAAAGTCTCTGGACTCCTATTTATTATATTTTATAACTATAATTTAACAACTGTTTTTTTTCTGTAAAATACGTTCATTTTAGATGTTAGATGAGTAGAAGCGTTTGTTGTAACTTTACGAATGAAACTGACGATAATCTTATCTATACAGTTAAACTTACCTTCCTTGACAATACGCCTCTTCCAGCATCCCGTATTATTCACCGAGTCCTGGCCCCAACTGATTCCACTGACCAAGGGTCACTATTGTTCCAGGTGACCCCCTTTGTGTGATAGCCTCTGGGTATATATTCTTATATAATGGGCGTCTCCGGCAGGTGTGATTGTGTTACAGTTCACTGACCCTCAGACTTTCATGTGTAATACTCTCCCCGTGGATGCGTCACGATAAAGACATAGTTAATTGGTTTAAACATATTTCATTTAGGAAATAGTGAAAGGGATTTAATTAGCCTTCTCTTAATTACACGACATATTTGATTTCGACGAGGACTGAAATGACAACTATATCGGCCTCCGGAATCTAGTAATCAGTTGGCAGTGAGTGAGTGTCAGGTGTAACCTAAGAGAGTATTTATGGCTGTAAACGTCTTTGTTATGAGGAACATGCTTACTCCTATGAGTAATTATTCACCTGGCGAAGGAGTAAGCAACTGTCCGAAGCTGACATCCATAAATTCTCTTCCTTATGTGTATTACTTCTAAATGCCATTCAAAAGCTTGAAGTGTAACTTAGTTTTAAGTGATTTAACCTTGAACTAGATTGGATTTTGTTTTTGGTTTGGTTTGTTGTTTAACGCCATTATTCCAGGTATATGACGGCGGTCTGTAAATAATCGAGTCTGGACCAGCTAATCCAGTGATTGACATCATGAGCATCGATCCACGCAGTTGGGATACGATGACATTCATTAACCAAGTCAGAGAGCCTGACCACCCGATCCCGTTAGTCGCCTCTTACGACAAGCATAGTCGCCTTTTACGACACGCACGGGTTGCTGAAGACCTATTCTACCCCGGATCTCCACGGGTCTGAACAAGATTGACCGCAAAGAAACCGGAAGTATATAGTATAGTATATATCATTTCCAAGCTTTAAAAAAATATTTTTTTTGTCTTCACTATTGTGTTCCGAAAGCATTAAAAATATATGATCAACCTTTATTTGGAAACAATGATTTAACTGTTGTTTAATTATTTTTTGTTTATTTCTGAAACAAGAACTGTATTTTTTAATTATAAAACCATGGCTGTTGAATTCTATAGGTTGTTAATCTTCATCGCACTATTTGTTTGTAGAGAAGGCTGGAGTTTAGATTGCTGTTGGACAAAACAAAATTGAGAACATTCGACTGTTCATTAAGGTTTACTTGTTCTGTTCAATACGCATATCAGACAGTGGTTGAGGATGACGTCAGCGGCCCCGTTTGTACCATAACCACAAGTGAGATGCTTTCAGCTTTGCCAAGAGCCACGCCCCTCCAGGGCCCCGTATTGGGGAATTTCATAGTTATTATGAACAAATGTGGCCATGTGGAACTTTTAAAATTTGAAGGAGCCACACTACACGTTTGATGAAGAAAGCCGGAAAATCCCATCCAGACATTTGTAGAAGTTTCTGTATTCATCAGTGAAGAGTCTTCTTCTGTGTTACAGCTTCTACAACTAGACCAGTCAGCACGCAGGAAGCAGTATGTTGACAGACATTAAGCTTGAAAGAGTTACACCTGAATATATGCTTTGCGGGCATAGCCTTGTATCCTATTTAACTGCAGTTGGACCCATGGTGGATATAACATGCATGTTGGTTGCTAACTGTTGGTCGTTAGACGAGATCAATTGTTCAATGATTGTTATGAACGCCTTCCTTGTTTTCATTACTTAACGAGTAACAGATACAATGGGTGAACTTAGGGAAAGGAACAGCCAGTCAGGGTCCTACCAGTACTATAGGTGAAGGGTTCCTACATGCTATATGATTGTATACATATATGTATCCCTCTTGCTTCTATGCATGTAATGACATGTAATAATTACATTCTTACGTTATCCTGTGTATAATAGTATTTAAAGTGTCTTCTCGGCCCAAACTGCCCTTGCATGCATGGTCCGTATCATCTTCCTGAGGTAAGGGACTATAAACGTCCAGTTTCCACCCTTGCCGAACTGCATTGGAATTTTTGGGCTCGACCGCAGCGCCACCAGTGGTTATTATGAGTTATGTCCCTCCTATTGACCAATCAGATTCCACCTCTCATATCACTTGCATTTGCTTCAAACAAGACGACCTGAGCGATAATTAAAATCTATATGGTAATAAAACTATTCGCGAAGTGCATCAAATCACTTGAGCACCTTGATATGAAAAGATTTGGAAAATATCTGTTGACGCCAAGTTGTCGGTACATATGCTTTGCAAATCTCGAAATCAACCGAAATCTGCACGGCTGTTTACGAACCGGATGTCGATTTCGTTACACGACTTTGATTTGACTATGCATAGACTCGTTAGTCGTTATCAACCAATGCTTGTTGTAAAAGGCGACTGTGCTTGTGGTTAGAGGCGACTAACGGGATCGGGTGGTCAGGCTCGCTGACTTGGTTGATGGATGTGATCGTATCCCAGTTGCGTAGATTAATGTTCAAGATGTTCATCACTGCATGGTTTGTCTGGTCCAGACACGGTTATTTACCGACCGCCAACATATAGCTTGAACATTGCTGAGTGCGGCGTTAAACACCAAATTAACAAACAAAGTGTTTACTGTGTGTATTTATATATACATCTTTTATTTACACCATGTGTGACACCTCTTGACAAACAATCAATCATCATCATTAATTCGTGCCTTAAAACAACAGATTCTTAGTGGGACTGGACCTAGGAGAATGATGCAGAACCCATTAAATAGAAACAAAACAACACAAGGTTCCATGTTTCACAAATATTTTATAAAAATTGATATATCATACTCAACGTTGTGGAGGAAGATAGTTCTTTTTTTTAGCTTTTCAGTTTTGTATAAACCAATCGTTCAGTCTCTCAACAATATTTTGGCGTTGTTTCCAGTACAAACACAGTGGTTTCATTTCGTTGTATCGTGTCAGTTAGCCTACCGAACAAAGGTATATAGGCATAAGATGTGTTATAATATATTATACAGACTGGTTCCACGAGCGGGTTTCGTCCTGATTTAGCACGTATATATATATCATCATTAGACCTGGTTCTAGTCTAGCACTTTGTAATACATCGCAGTTGTTGAATAAAAGTCAATTTCTATACGCAAAACGTTTTTAGCGTTCATTACACAAGTACAATCTTATTTCAGATTTATAAGAAAAACATGGTAAAGAATACATCGGCACCATATATGCTTGAGTCATGACAGCCACGGAATCGGGCAAATAAGTGACATTTAGAACACAATTTGACTTACTAATTAAGTGACTTTATAATTTTAAGTTACAACTCCTCATCACATACACGCACTATTCCAGTATAATCTTCATACAGGAAGTCTAAAATATGTCATTCTTGAAATAATTACCTTCAAATTTTCGCATTCAGTTGATCATTTCTGTGTAAAAACGACGTGTTATTAACAACACTTTATACTTCCATAATCAGTTTTGGCAATAGAAGCCTAAGGTGTAATTATAAAAACGCACTATCTATATACACAGACGTAATATAGTCGTAGTTTGAATTAATCAATCACATATTACAGATATGTACATAAAGTAGGGATTCTTTCAAAGACTTTATGATTTAGTTACGGACTCCTACAAAACAACATGTCATCTTTTCTTTAATACTAGTCACTGAGTTGGTGGCGAATTTACACCACATTAATCTTTGATACAAACCCTCACAAATAAAAAAGACACCTTGCCATTTTTCACCCGTTTTGTTGCATGTTGCATATTTTCTGCATTTCATGAATTTTCATACAGTAGATTCTTATACTAAATGTCACAATGGTATGGTTATAGACCCAGAGCCAAACTTTAGCCAACAAGGGACCAGTTCAAAAGTTCGATGTCGGATATAAAATCTTTATTCTTTCTGTTTAGTGTGTGTGTGTGTGTGTGTGTGTGTGTTTTACTATGGCCACTTACCTTATTCCTCAATGTTTTATGCGGTAACTGAACTAAAACCGATCTATTTTGCATTCATATGTTAGGAGTTGTCATGAATACATCCAGTCTTTGTTAGGGGGGCAAGTCTCAAAACTTAAGGAATACGGTTTTTTTATCAGACACCGAACTTTTGGACTGGTCAAAGCCTGTCAAATCTAGTACCTATGTGAATATGGGAAGTACGTTCGATGTTTAGTGTGACTGGAAGAAGGGTTGTACGTTGGACGTCGCTGATTGGCTCTCTGGTCCAGACTCCGGAAGGTGCGGTCGAACTTGAACTCCAGTTCATCATCGAGGCTGATGTCGTGCTCGACACCGGTGGGGTGTGGGTAGGAGGAGGTTTGGGTGGTGTAGGGCATGTGGGAGACGCGGTGACTGGAATAGATTGGCCCGGACAGTTTGGACCTGGCTGCTGAAAGGACGTCTTGGGCAGCCTTCACGGCATCAGTGGTGTCGGGGCTGGCCTTGAGACTCTCCCGGGAGTCAGAAAAACCTACGAACAGAGGAAGACGGTGTTCATGTCTACTTGTCTGACTGTGAATAGAGAGAGACGGTGCTCATGTCTACTTGTCTGACTGTGAATAGAGAGAGACGGTGTTCATGTCTGCTTGTCTGAATGTGAATAGAGAGAGACGGTGCTCATGTCTGCTTGTCTGAGTGTGAATAGAGAGAGACGGTGCTCATGTCTGCTTGTCTGACTGTGAATAGAGAGAGACGGTGTTCATGTCTGCTTGTCTGAGTGTGAATAGAGAGAGACGGTGCTCATGTCTGCTTGTCTGAGTGTGAATAGAGAGAGACGGTACTCATGTCTGCTTGTTTGAGTGTGAATAGAGAGAGACGGTGCTCATTTCTGCTTGTCTGAGTGTGAATAGAGAGAGGCGGTATTCATGTCTGCTTGTCTGAGTGTGAATAGAGAGAGACGGTGCTCATGTCTACTTGTCTGAGTGTGAATAGAGAGAGGCGGTGCTTATTTCTGCTTGTCTGAGTGTGAATAGAGAGAGACCGTGCTCATGTCTGCTTGTCGGAGTGTGAATAGAGAGAGACGGTGTTCATGTCTGCTTGTCTGAGTGTGAATAGAGAGAGACGGTGCTCATGACTGCTTGTCTGAGTATGAATAGAGAGAGACGGTGTTCATGTCTGCTTGTCTGAGTGTGAATAGAGAGAGACGGTGCTCATGTCTACTTGTCTGAGTGTGAATAGAGAGAGGCGGTGGTCATGTCTGCTTGTCTGAGTCTGAATAGAGAGCGACGGTGGTCATGTCTGCTTGTCTGAGTCTGAATAGAGAGCGACGGTGTTCATGTCTGCTTGTCTGAGTGTGAATAGAGAGAGACGGTGCTCATGTCTGCTTGTCTGAGTGTGAATAGAGAGAGACGGTGTTCATGTCTGCTTGTCTGAGTATGAATAGAGAGAGACGGTGTTCATGTCTGCTTGTCTGAGTGTGAATAGAGAGAGACGGTGCTCATGTCTGCTTGTCTGAGTGTGAATAGAGAGAGACGGTGTTCATGTCTGCTTGTCTGAGTGTGAATAGAGAGAGACCGTGCTCATGTCTGCTTGTCCGAGTGTGAATAGAGAGGGACGGTGTTCATGTCTGCTTGTCTGAGTGTGAATAGAGAGAGACGGTGTTCATGTCTGCTTGTCTGAGTGTGAATAGAGAGAGACGGTGTTCATGTCTGCTTGTCTGAGTGTGAATAGAGAGAGACGGTGCTCATGTCTGCTTGTCTGAGTGTGAATAAAGAGAGACGGTGGTCATGTCTGCTTGTCTGAGTGTGAATAGAGAGGGACGGTGGTCATGCCGGCTTGTCTGAGTTTGAATAGTGAGAGACGGTGTTCATATGTCCTTGTGTCCTGGGTGTGAATATCCTAATCGCAGGCATTAAAAAAGGAAGACGTACATCTAATCCTACAGTAGCTAGAACATCCAGGCTCCGGGATGCACTGGCTAGTTCGTACTGTTGCTGCTTTATGCATCTACCATAATCTTGACGCGTTGGCCGGAGCCAGGGGTGATGTTTGATAGATCAGAACCCTGCTATACAGGACACCTACCGGAATCCGAGTTCCTGGAGGCGTTGGCCGGAGCCAGGGGTGATGTGTGATAGATCAGAACCCTGCTATACAAGACACCTACCGGAATCCAAGTTCCTGGAGGCGTTGGCCGGAGCCAGGGGTGATGTGTGATAGATCAGAGCCCTGCTATACAAGACACCTACCGGAATCCAAGTTCCTGGACGCGTTGGCCGGAGCCAGGGTTGATGTGTGATAGATCAGAACCCTGCTATACAAGACACCTACCGGAATCCGAGTTCCTGGAGCGATGGCCGGAGCCAGGGGTGATGTGTGATAGATCAGAACCCTGCTATTCAGGACACCTACCGGAATCCGAGTTCCTGGAGGCGTTGGCCGGCGCCAGGGGTGACGTGGCTGCCCTGGCCTGGTACTTCTGTAGCTCTTCCTCCTGCATCTCGGCGATGTACTTGACCGAGTCCAGCTCGGACCTCAGTTTGTGGCACAGCGCCAAGGCGCCCCTGGCAACATGAGACTGGGGAACGATCTCCGAGTCGAAGGCTCGCTGCAGCGTCCCCTCCGACAACAAGTTGAAGTTGATCTGCTCCAGGAGCTCACGCTTCTGCTCCTTGCCAAGCTTCTCCTTCTCTGGAACATCAGACATGCAAACCCTTTATGTCTTCACTAATAATGTTACCCAATAGCCACAGAGTATGAATGTTATGGATGTTATTTTTCATCCACAGTGTAACTTTGCTAGTACCGACTCCGTAACGGGACAATCACTACTGTTTCCATTGATCAGTATTTGTGACTCATTAATCCGAACTCTCTCTCTCTCTCTCTCTCTCTCTCTCTCTCTCTCTCTTTCTCTCCCTCACACTCTCTCAGTACTTCAATGGGCGATCCGGTGGTGCTCAGGTATGTAAGAATGTAAGAGAGAAGCAACGAAAATAATGGAAGTTTGCTGTTTAACTACGAATAATCTCTCGTCACAAACCAACTTATGACAACCCAGGCAACATACAACACAGGACAAAACAGGCAACACACAACAGAGGACAACCAAGGCAACATACAACACAGGACAACACAGGCAACATACAACACAGGACAACACAGGCAACACACAACACAGGCAACACACAATACATGACAACCCAGGCAACACATAACACAGGACAACCCAGGCAACATACAACACAGGACAACACAGGCAACATACAACACAGGACAACACAGGCAACACACAACACAGGCAACACACAATACATGACAACCCAGGCAACACATAACACAGGACAACACAGGCAACATACAACACAGGACAACACACAACACAGGACAACCCAGGCAACACACAACACAGGACAACCCAGGCAACATACAACACAGGACAACACAGGCAACACACAACACTGGACAACACACAATACATGACAACCCAGGCAACACATAACACAGGACAACACAGGCAACATACAACACAGGACAACCCAGGCAACATACAACACGGGACAACCCAGGCAACATACAACACAGGACAACCCAGGCAACATACAACAAAAGACAACACAGGCAACACACAACACAGGACGACACAGGCAACATACAACACAGGACAACACAGGCAACACACAACACATGACAACCGAGGCAACATACAACAGAGGACAACACAGGCAACATACAACACAGGACAACACAGGCAACATACAACACAGGACAATACAGGCAACACACAACACAAGACAACACAGGCAACATACAACACAGGACAACACAGGCAACATACAACACAGGACAACACAGGCAACACACAACACAGGCAACACACAATACATGACAACCCAGGAAACACACAACACAGGACAACACAGGCAACATACAACACAGGACAACACACAACACAGGACAACCCAGGCAACACACAACACAGGAGAACCCAGGCAACATACAACACAGGACAACACAGGCAACACACAACACAGGACGACACAGGCAACATACAACACAGGACAACCCAGGCAACATACAACAGAGGACAACCCAGGCAACATACAACACAGGACAACACAGGCAACATACAACACAGGACAATACAGGCAACACACAACACAAGACAACACAGGCAACATACAACACAGGACAATACAGGCAACATACAACACAGGACAACACAGGCAACATACAACACAGGACAACACAGGCAACATACATCACAGGACAACCCAAGCAACATACATCACAGGACAACACAGGCAACATACAACACAGGACAACCCAAGCAACATACATCACAGGACAACACAGGCAAGATACAACACAGGACAACACAGGCAACATACAACAGAGGACAACACAGGCAACATACAACACAGGACAACACAGGCAACATACAACACAGGACAACCTAGGCAACGCACATCACAGGACAACCCAAGCAACATACATCACAGGACAACACAGGCAACATACAACACAGGACAACCCAAGCAACATACATCACAGGACAACACACATCACAGGACAACACAGGCAACATACAACACAGGCAACACACATCACAGGACAACCAAGGCAACATACAACACAGGACAACCCAGGCAACACACATCACAGGACAACACAGGCAACACACAACACTGGCAACATACAACACAGGACAACCCAGGAAACACACAACACAGGACAACCCAGGCAACACACATCACAGGACAACACAGGCAACACACAACACAGGCAACATACAACACAGGACAACCAAGGCAACATACAACACAGGACAACACAGGCAACACACATCACAGGACAACACAGGCAACACACAACACAGGCAACATACAACACAGGACAACCCAGGCAACATACAACACAGGACAACACAGGCAACACACAACACAGGCAACATACAACACAGGACAACCCAGGAAACACACAACACAGGACAACACAGGCAACACACAGCACAGGACAACCCAGGCAACACACAACACAGGACCCGCTGCACATGAGTGAGTGAGTGAGCTGCAGGGTTCTACGCCACTTTTAACAACATTGCAGCAATATCACGGAAACGAAACACTCCCCGAACGCCCCTTGACATGATTGATACGCTGTTGCTATAGATTGGTATTTTCCGTACAGGTAAGTTGCAATGTACTTGAAAGTCTATAGCTATGCCATGTAACTCAATCCAAGAAACACATCAAACCAATACCATCTCACAGAGAATGAATCGTTAAGGACTTGACAAGGACACCAGGCGTTCCACTTTCAACATGTCTGTACTTCAGGAGATCTGACGCATACCACCTATTCCTCTGAAAGACAGGGCCCTGTTAAAACCGAACACCTATTTAATGATCATTACTGGGGTATATTGCTATAAGTTGACCACTGATAGAGTAGTATGCTATGCCACCGCAAATAGCTTTAGTATTGCTTATGCGGCGTAAAGCATATCTATTTATTCACTTATGCGGCGTAAAGCATATCTATTTATTCACTTATGCGGCGTAAAGCATATCTATTTATTCACTTATGCGGCGTAAAGCATATCTATTTATTCACTTATGCGGCATAAAGCATATCTATTTATTCACTTATGCGGCAGGCCTCAAAGTTTAAATTTTACTAAGTGGCCATTTGGCTACAAGTATTTTTTTCCAGGTAGCCAGTGGTAAAATCAAGAAGTCAAGCCAATAGTGTAGGTAGCCAAAGGCATTTGAAATTATCTTTTATCAAATAACTATTACATGTACAAGTTATAGCAGTACTCTTTGAATTGTATATTAGTGGAAACTGTACTTGAGTTTTGTTATTTGTGACTCGAACAATGATGCAATTTATGTTACTAGGTTGTAAAGGAATACCCTTGCTTATCCAATAAACTATCAACTAAAATAAATACTAATCACATTAACATTTACGCATTTCGGTTCATTGTTGACTACAATTAGTAGCAGACATGTTTATTTTTGTGTCTAGATATGTGTAGCAATAGAATTTATTTGCCACGAGATATTTTTCAAGGTAGTCATTTGGCTACCTCTGAATTTTAGACAGTAGACAAATTGAAATTTAGGTCGCATTGGCGACCGTTTTAGTCGCAACTTTTAGGCCTGATGCGACGGTTATAATTGTCAAATTCGTACAAAGGAAAAAGAACATCAGTTCTGAATAATGCCAAGCTGCCATCATCACATGACACAGCCTCGGCATGTCAAGGATTCCGACTGCCCCACATCCTAGTCAGGCGTGTCATTCCACCCCCTGTGGCATAAGACGGAAACTATCCAGGACAATGACACAAGGGCACCACTTAATAAGACCAGGCAGGCAATGGTCATTGAGGTGGAGCTGTCTTATCCTGGGATCGACAGTGTCCATTACCCTCCAGTGTTTGCCAGCCAGAGATGAATGTTCACAAGGAGACGCCCTACACTTGCTGACTCACCATGTCAGTTGGCCTTGGTGACCAATTCTGGGAGTCCAATACCGACTTTTTCAAAATAATGACAGATCGGGGATCAAGTAAGCCCCTATAGAGATCACTACCGACAGTAGTTCATATCGAGTGAGTCGAGTTTTACTAACTTCATTCATTATCGGCGGCTAGTACTGATACCAACCAGTAGTGGATAACATAAAACAGTATCGGAGACCATGCAGTACTGATGACATAAAACAGTATTGGAGACCATGCAGTACTGATGACATAAAGCAGTACTGGAGACCATGCAGTACTGATGACATAAAACAGTACTGGAGACCATGCGGTACTGATGACATAAAGCAGTATTGGAGACCATGCAGTACTGATGACATAAAGCTTAGTTAGTTAGTATGTTTTTTTTACGCCGCTTTTAGCAATATTCCAGCAATATCACGGCGGGGGACACCAGAAATGGGCTTCACACATTGTACCCACGTCGGGAATCGAACCCGGGTCTTCTGCGTGACGAGCGAACGCTTTAACCACTAGGCTACCCGACCGCCCCTGACATAAAGCAGTATAGGAGAATATGCAGTACTGATGACATAAAACAGTATTGGAGACCATGCGGTACTGATGACATAAAGCAGTACTGGAGAATATGCAGTACTGATGACATAAAACAGTATTGGAAACCATGCGGTACTGATGACATAAAGCAGTATAGGAGACCATGCAGTACTGATGACATAAAGCAGTATAGGAGACCATGCAGTACTGATGACATAAAGCAGTACTGGAGACCATGCAGTACTGATGACATAAAGCAGTACTGGAGACCATGCAGTACTGATGACATAAAACAGTACTGGAGACCATGCATTACTGATGACATAAAACAGTACTGGAGACCATGCATTACTGATGACATAAAACAGTACTGGAGACCATGCAGTACTGATGACATAAAGCAGTACTTGAGAACATGCAGTACTGATGACATAAAACAGTATTGGGTACCAGTACTGATAAGGTGACATGCATTGTTTACTCCTCCCGGGCGCCCAGTAAGGGCTAAGTACTGTGAACATATATGATGTACACGCAGTACCCCACAAGCACGTGGGGTGGGACTATCGGCTCCCCCTTCCCCCGACTGCTCTTTGCACCCGAGCATGATATTGTATAGCCCAGCGGAACTGGGCAAATACTCTTTAACATACTATGAATTCATTTGCAACCAGGTTTATCTGATGAGATAAAATCCTACTGTAGCTATACAACAAGCCATAAAAAGGCACCGGTCCAACAGAGTAGGAACACTTGCCAAGAGAACTTGATTGTGATCGGCAACTTCTATTGTGGTGTTATTGCTTCTGCGAGAATTGTTATGTTACGTGTTTAAGTAGTTCGTATATGTTCAAAAAGCAGTTAACGCAGTTTACAAACACAGATTTTACATTTTAATTCGGCATAGTTTATATTATTGGAGTATTTGCCGGGAATGGAGGTCTAGTCTTTACCACTGCCGAGTATACCCGTGTCTATGAATGTAATGTAGCACATTGACATCACAGTATTACAATGAAACCTTTTTTTCACAGAGGCGTTTCGTTGCATTTGCTCTGCGTCACGTATCTGAAGCGTAAGAACAGATATGCTTCACGTTCAGGCGTAATGCATCTATAAATCTAACAACCATGCCGTCATTTCCCTGTTAACGTCCGGTATTTTGTTTTAGAGCACGGTAAAACTACAGTTTCGTTTTCCTATATCAAATGGATATGAATCAATTAGAAATCTGATATTGCATCACTAACATGTGAATGAATGAGTGAATGTTGTTATACACCGCAGTCGCGATATTCCAGCAATATCAAGGCGGTCAGCACATACTCTGGACCAGGGAAACTGGCGGTGGACACCATGACCTACTTCCACACAGTCCGGGTACGATGACACACAATCAACGAGGCCACACGCTGTAATCACCTGATCCTCATTGATCGGCTCTTACGAAAACCATGACATACTGGGGACCAATTCTTTCACGATTATATTAGACAGGCAATTAAATGTTGCTGGCCAGGATTATAATATTCTAGACTCACCTGTTTTGAGGATGTATTCTAGGACCTCATACATCTTATCGTGAGAGACTCTGCCGCCAGATGGCGCCGCGGACGCTAGGAGTTTGAACGTCTCTGCCGTTAGGACGCCTTTACTTGCCATCTCAGACATATAGGTATCCACGAGCTTGCATGCCTTCTCGGCATGGTCTCCGTCGCCCCTGGACGACTCCAGCACGATGTCGTGTAGAACTGACGGCGAGATAATACACAAATCCTCCGGGGAGAGTTTGTTGAGCATTTCTCCTGCAATCTTGACTAGGAGTTCACGACAAGAACAACCACGAGCTGTTGCGATCCTCAGAACCTTCGTTACCCACTCTGTCGTCACCTCCGAAACAACATAAGCCTCTTCAGGCAACACCACAAGGATTGTATCGAGGACTTTCGAAATGTCAACCTTTATGATTGATTTATCTGTAGATTTCGGACTTAGTGTATTCGTTTTGGTGGAATCATCTTGCTCTTGGCTCTTTCCTTTAGAATCTGATTTCGATTTGCTGTCGTCTGCTTCATCTTTTTCTAAAGAGATGGTGACATATCTGATCGCCATTTCTCCTAGTTCGGAGAGCTTTACTCCCTTTTCATTTCCTAGTGTTAGAATTTTAACAAACCATTCAACAGGTAGAGTGTATAGGCTACTGGAAACTTTCTCACTTTTCTCCTCTGGTGGCTTCTTGGATGTCGGGCTGCTGAATCTGGTAGGCAGTTTTACCCAGCAGTCAACCAGAGCCTCGATACACTGGTCCACTATTCCAGCTCTCTCCGCCAGTGTCCCGACAGTAGCACAATATAACAACAAGGTAACGATGCCAGCACTTGAACGACTCATTTTAGCAGACGTTATTGTATCTTGGAGGAATTTTTCAGATATCTCGATAAGATTTGCTTCTCCGTTCATTTGGAGATATTCCGCGGCACTCCGAACTTGAACGATATTGTTTTTAGTCAGATCGTAGTTCATGCTGTAACAGAAATCAGCTACGAGGCTGAAAATATCGTGACCACCCGGGAAGTTTGTTAACTCCACCTTTTGAGTATCCGACATGTTCCCGCGTGCGAGGTTATTGAAGTACCCGGATTTTGTGAACAGTGGGAATTTATGCAACTTAAACGTGCTTCCATTTACAGTCACTGTCAGATCCGACAGGTCTCCCGTCTCACGGAATCTTGAGAAATTCATTTTGACTGAAAATTGTAAATCGTAGCACGGTGTGTCGTCTGCTCGCAGATCAAGGCGTTCTAGATCATTGACATGCCTGTCAGTGTCAATATCATATTTACTGTCACTCACGCTGCCTAGCAACAATCAATGCTACAACTTAAAAACACTTGCGGTTAAAAGGCGATCGTCTGCTTCACCAACAGTGTGAAACAAAACACGTTTGATATCATTTGTCACAATAATGATTCACGCGTCAATACCCGCCCTACCTTGTCAATCTGACGAACCGGGAAAGTTCCTGAATTTTCCAGCAGACGACGAAACAAGAGAGCAAATCTGTCACTTTTCTTGTTTCTTTCTGTAAGTGATATATGTCTTTTAAATACCTCCGCTGTCATCTAGCCAACAGTCCAACTTCTGCTTACAAAAAGCAACACACAACTGATTGTTGGCGTACTAGTGCAACAAGACGGCTTGTTATTGATATTCAGCGATAATAGTCACCCATGTTCAAACTTGTCCTGAGGCTAGCTACGGTTTCGCGGGGTAACGTACATACCAACACACGTATAGCTATAGCAGTCCCCAAGATGGGCGTTTAAATACGTCAACTTTGTGTCACTGAGTGGTGTCGCGGGATATGTGATCAGTACATACAAGCCATTGTGATTTAATATCGAACCCCGAATTATCAATCACCGCCAATATTCCCGCCATGGCATTTGGCTGTACCCAATGACAAACGGGATCAGTAAAGGGAGAAGATAGCCTCGTCTTACAAAAGACGGTGATTGCCCCTCGCTATAACGCGAGTGTGTTCTACTAACTGTAAATACCAATGCAAACATTTGTGTGTGGTAATTTAAGGGCTTTAATGGGTTCAGCGGTGCTATGAGAACTGTTGCGCTACTATAATGAATTGTATGTTAGGGTAGTGCATGCATGGCATATTGAGTCGCGATACGTGTGTAGGGCAAGCACTGGTACAATAGACTTGATTTGTCTTTATATGATTATAACATTGACAAAAACGCGACACCAATCTAAACGATTAAAATATATCTTTGCCTGTTTCAGCCTTTCGGAACTCCAACATCTGCCTTGTTTCGTTATGCTTTTTAATTTCATTTTGTGCTTGGTGCAATTACTCTGTATGCGTAATGTGGTTTATATGTTAAACACTGTAAAATAAATAGTCGCCATCTAAGTATGAAAAGTTCTTTTTTCAAACAAAATACTGTCTAAACACTATATAGGAGAGTAGTTGTAATTCAATCAGTTATCCAGATAAAGTAAAAGACATCTGTCATAATGAACAGCAATATCAAAACAAATAGACAAAAAATACTTAGATCTATATGAATTTTCAAGCAAGAATGACAATTTCACGGTGACATTAGTTTTTAAATTATTTTCCGCTTTCAAACATTTAGTCATCTACATATCTTGACTGTCTGCAAGTGCAAGGACACTAAGAGCTTCACATTAAGTACACCTGTTGGTTAAAATCTTTTAAAAGCCATAACATTAAAGGTATTAAAGGAGACTGAAATAGTCTAGCCTGATCTCTGTCTAGGCATTGTTGTGCTGTAATGTGACTTATACAATGACTTGAGTCCACATTTCAGGCTACCGGTTCTGTTCCCGTGGGTATTTAAACACACGACGAAGGGCTCCATTCAATGGTACCTCTTTAAACGCAGGTGTACAGGCCCACGGTAAGCGTTGACTATACGGTAGGTGTTTGTGTCAGGGCAAAATAAATACATACTAAGGAATCGAATCCGGATTTTCCCATCAGAGACCCTCCGTATTCATTTTTGTGGACCCCCGTATTAATTTTTCTGGCCTGCGTATTCATGGTATGATCAAATCTAATGCAAATATTGTTATTGAACTGAACAATGAAAGTAAATTGTTAAATACATTTACGTCAATCCCACTACCTGTAGATAATAGAGTATTGTTATTCTAACCGGATGATTGTGTTATGCTAACTGTACCATAAGGTATAGGCGTTTGTTGTGCGAAACGAGTTTGTCAGAGATTTCAAAATACAGAGGATCACCCTGTAGAACTAAGTTTGACATATTCATTCGAATCTCTTAACTCACCTAATACATGAATTCCGAAACTGCGATGACAAGAATTGAATATTTGCAATGATGTTCTCACACTGAGGCTAATCTCAGAATTATTATGGATCTACGCCGCGTGTAGCAATATCCTAGCGACAGCACGACGAGGTACACCAGAAATGGGCTTCACATATTGTACCAATGTCGGAAATCGAACCCGGGCCTTAGACGTGAAGAGTGAATGTTTAAGAAACAGACCACCACACCGTACCTGGGGTCCCTTTATTCCGACAATTGGGAAATAGTTATAACATTGTAAAATATGATAGAAATCATTATAGGCAGTTGGGTAACATCCAAAGCAGTCTGGATTAACGGTCTTATATAATGTAACACATACTGCTCTGTTCGGAAAATCATGTGCGACATACACGGGAAGAGAAGTGAAGTACTGAAGTTTTACCTAGGCCAATATTATTCCTCCACGCTGACCCATCACAATAGCCTCGATAACACGTGATGCGTGTAAGTGATGCATGAACATGTCATGTCAGATAGGTCACCGTTGATAAGCAGGTCATATCACAAGTATACCCGCTGATTCGAGAAGGACATCGGCTCGACGACATCTTCAAGTATGACATGGCCACGTGCTCTGCTGATGCTCCATGTGTTTGCTGTATATGGGAGTGATGCAGCGACGTATGTTTTTGATGATTCAGCAGGTTTAGGGCGGACGTTTGACGGTATCGGCGGGCTCAGTGCAGGAGTAAGTACAAGATGGATAATCCGGGGGACACTTCAGAAGTCCGACCCCTCTCCGGGCTATGAAAAGTGTAGAACCATTCTTATCTTTCTTTGGGGACACGGGTGGCCCAGGCGTCTAAGGCGCCGCAATTCGCTGTGCAGAGTTAGTCTCTTGGGCGCACCAGAAACCGATGATCATTGGTTCGAATCCCGGTTCGTCCCGATTATGTTTCTAGGTTTGTCAGCACCACACCCGTGTTCGTCACTTTGGGCTTTCCTCCCACATTCAGCTGTTCAGCTGGCACGCTGGGGGGGGGGGGGGGGGGGGGGTCTCGGGCACGTATGCGGTCAGTGCGTAGAAGGATATCGGCCTGGGAGGGCCAACTTACACCTGTAACGTCTGTCCTACTGTGGTGCATCATCGTACTCCGTCGTCGTGGATCGAGGTTCAGAATTAACCACTGGTTTACCTGCTTCAGAATACACATTACCGACCGGATTTCCATGGTCGTAAATAGATATGAATAAGTGATTTTGAGATTAACATCGTTTAATCTCTCGGACATCAGCAGCTTCAGGGTTGGCGTAGCCTACGGTAGCAGGAACATCGTTTTAAGTGATATTTTAACACGTTATATATACACATGACCACTATTGATTACAGTGTTATATCAGACAGAAGTATGTAGACGGACCACATTCTTACCTTATAGATGTGAAGGGCATTCTGGACGACTGGGCATATTTTTTTTCAGCATGTAAGAGCTATTAGTATTGTTATCTTTAACGTGAAAAACCGTACATTGCACGTATGGTGATGTTCTTCGCCAGAAGCCATGTATGGTGAGACTGTTAACCAGAATCCCTGTATGGTGATATGGAGGGTATTTGTCGAACATATGACTACATATGACGTTTTAGTGTGTCTCACTGTATATATCTATACTTTCAACTCTTCGTTCACATATTCAGGCCTCCTCGAAACTACTGGTCAACTACCCCGACGAGCAGCGAAGTCAGATTCTTGACTACCTTTTCAAGGTGAGCGCTCTCTGACCCTTGGAACAAAGGTTTCGATGTATCCAATGTAGACTCAGTGTACTCGATACTGTAAGCTAAGAAGCTATACGTAACAGTTTCCTTATTTCTCATTTGACAGCCCAAATTCGGAGCCAGTCTGAAGATTCTGAAGGTGGAAATTGGCGGAGACGTTCAGAGTACAGGTATTCTATAGTCTGGGGTATACACCTTGGGCATTGGCATTGTGAGTTTGATGCATGACAATATATTAATTAAATCGGTTCAATCCAGGTGAATGAAACGGAATGGCATAGATGTGATCGCTGTACGATATGACATAACTGAAAACATCCCTGTAGTATGCATGGCGACTTCATGATTTTAAGAATAAGATGATGAGAAGACCTTGGAGTATTATTAGGCCGCATTCAAAATTAAATCTTTCTCGGGCACATTGTGATGGGGATAATGGTGATAATGTTTTGAATCCAGATGGCACCGAGGCGTCCCACATGCACAACAGCTGGGATGAGAACTACCAGAGAGGGTACGAGTGGTGGCTCATGGTGGAGGCCAAGAAGGTACCCTTGATTTCACACAGGACAATTTACAGGCATGTGGAAGTCAGGTGGTTAAAGGGACATACAATGTGATCTGTTTGGTTTGATACTGAAATGATTACATTGTAGAGACCTTTTAGGACGCATTTCAAGCACTTCTATTGCCAGAAGTAGATGACACGTTCATTTAAGCAAAAGTTATTTCAATTTAACGAACTGCCTGGATTTTAGAGCTGTCGAATGATGTACACAACCCTAATGGTAATAAGCTAAGGATCTATAGATTGCTTTAGGAGGATATAGCGCCTGAGCCCTATGTCTTATCAAATTTTATCCATAGAAACACTAGAAAATATTTGGCACTTTTACACAGTGGCAGCCTCCCCACGAACATTGAAAAAATAAGGTACTGTCGTCCCCCTGTCTGTGCATGTGTCTGTGTTTGTGTCTGTGTATGTGTCTGTGTATGTGTCTGTGTATGTGTCTGTCTGTTCAACGAATTTCCTAACTTAATTTTACATTAAACATTGTGTAGGTATATGTCTTAATTTATCTTATCCTGATTATGACGATATACATGTGATTTTATACGTGACTCTATAATAAACATTTCTCTCTCTCTCTCGACAGAGGTAGAATTGCTGCCTTGTGAAGCAAAGCCATACATCGTACATTTTTTGTGACACAATCCGCTGGGGTTATGTTCCTCTGTATTCCACATCTCTTCGTCCTGTTCATGCAAACATCTTCAGGGAAATCCTTTCCAGAGATGGCTCCGGTTCCTGTCTGAATATGTTGCACTTCCTGCGGTGTAACCTTGTCTTTATTTCAGCGTAACCCGAACATCAAGCTGTATGGTCTACCGTGGGGGTTCCCAGGCTGGATAGCAGCTGCGCCACAGGACCCGTATGTAGATCCACAACAGACGGCTACGTACATCGTGAAGTGGGTCCAAGGTGCCAAGATGCACTACAACCTTACCATAGACATAGTTGGCATCTGGAATGAACGCTACTACAACGCCACGTACGTCAAAGTAAGTAAATTCATCGATAAAAAGAATATGACGTTAGGACAAACATGAGCCAGCATGTACTACGCATGGCTGTGTTCGTCCTTCACAGGAATGGTCGAACTGCTTCACTACTTGTAGGCCATAAGTCCTTGAATACTGTGTTTCAATTTAGAGCTGTCAACGTTTTATTTAATTGGGCCAAATTATATTTGAATCAAACTAGTAATCGCGAGGGTTCTGTTGTTAAAGTTAGCGTTAACAAATCCATGATTATCATACTTATAAATAGCAGAATGGGTAACTCCCATCTCACGTGACAATTTGTTGCTCCTTACCGCTTTCATTGTAACTTTTTGGCCGAGTGAATTGTTCATAAACGCTGCAGTCGGCGGCATTCCAACTATATAACGGGTGCCTGTAAACTATATCATAGAAATGGGTATAACTCTGTCAAATTAAATGCACATAGTTTTCGTAAGGGAAGACGACTGTCAAATCAACTGATGTTGATCAGATCAGAAGAATGTCATCTTGTGATTTGATACCAGGTGTCATGTAGGAAATACTGTTGTTATATCTAAAACAGATATTATTAGATGAGTATTATGTGTGCGGTGTTGAGATCCTCACATGATCACATTCGATCATGTTCGACATTGTTGTTTGTATGCAAGTCTTTGATCCAGACGCTGAGGAAGGTTTTGGATGTCAACAATCTAGGTCACGTGAGTGTCGCGGCGGCCGACGGCACCTGGGACATCGCCGACGGCATGCTAGAGGATGCGGACCTGGCTGCTGCCGTTACCTACATCGGGTTCGTGGAATCAGACATATCATAAGTCTATGATTAGCAAAGTTTAGCATACCCGCACCCAACTGGACTTGAATGTTTAAAAGGGCTACAATGTTGTTGCCTATTTTCGATAAAGGTCTGGACGTTGCACAAGTCCTAAAATGATAACTTATAGCAAACACTTTATAAATGGCAAATTTCAACTAGTCCTTATGACACCTTAACTATTGGGTAGTGTGGCAAGGGCAACTGGGCTAGTTCCAATTTCTAACGAGCCTGTATAAATGGTTATCATTAATTGTTTTACTGGAATGCATACTAAAATTCGAATTAGGAGACAGACAAAGATGTCTTTTGACTAAACGAACGTGTGTCTCTGACGATGACACTTGCAGCCAGAGTCTTTAAGAGAGGTTCTAACACTGAACTATTGATATGGTATACTTTCCGTATTGCCAGGGCTCACTACCCGAGTACTGTGACAACTGACGCTGCCTTGAAGACAGGCAAACAGCTGTGGGCATCTGAAGACTACAGCACCTTCAACGACAACAGCGGCGGCGGCTGCTGGGCCAGGGTAGGGTGGAGAGTGGGGCTAGAGCAGCATCGCCTGTGGGATGGGTTATGTATGATGACGATATCATAATGGAAAGTGTTGGATAGGTGGCAGTTAAGCAGTAGGATACAGAAGAATGTAAATAGGGTCATACACCAGACAGTAATACTGCCCTATTGTTTGTTTGTTTAACGCCGCACGCAGCAATATTCCAGCTATATGACGTCGGCCTGTAAATAATAGAATCTGGTCCAGACAATCCAGTGATCGATATTGTATACAAATATCCACGCCATCGGGGCACGGACACAAGTCATCAAGTCTCACCACACGTTACATTTGGTCGCCCCGTACGACCAGCATAGGTTGATGGGGATCTATTCTCATCTGGAATTTCCACAGGGTCACTGCCATGGTAGAACCTGGACTACTTGGATGTATTCTGCTGTTTGAGAGGACGTAGTCAACAGGCATATATTATCCGCGAGAAATCCATGTGTAGTTAATGTAATATTATTACGATTTTACTTTTCAGATCATAAATCAGAATTACGTAAATGGACACATGACAAGGTAACACAGTCTCATCCCAGCGATCTCTGTAGAATGTTATTTTTTACGTATGGCATCAATGTAAAGAGTTTTACAACAGCAATTTGTGCTCTTGTCCACGAAAACAGTTCTTCAGTTTCTTGTTGCTATTTTTTGTGGAGCAAAATGTTGTTACATCTTCACTTTCAAATGCATCGTCACCTTATTTGTGTTGTCCGCAAACCATGTGTTTCAACACGGAATAACGAACCACTGAAAAACGTTTTAATAACGTGTGTTTGTAGCAGGATCGCTTGGAACTTTCGTTTCGTGTGGTCGTCTTGATAAACGTGTGTTGTTTGTAGCACGATCGAGTGGAACTTTGGTTTCGTGTGGTCGTCTTGATAAACGTGTGTTGTTTCTAGCACGATCGAGTGGAACTTTGGTTTCGTGTTGTCGTCTTGATAAACGTGTGTTGTTTGTAGCACGATCGCGTGGAATCTGATCACCAGCTACTACGAGAACCTCCCCTATCCCCGCAACGGCTTGATGACTGCCACTGAGCCGTGGAGCGGCAACTACACCGTCGAGAGCCCAATCTGGATGTCAGGTATGCCGCTAGGGCACCTCTCTTTCTGTCACTGTTCGGAGTTGCGTTCCTTAGGCCAATGATCGTGGGTTCGAATCTCGGTTCTCCCTGACTAATATGTTGTCAGCACCATACCCATGCTTGCGTTAAGCGTGCAAGGCATGCATTACTTCGGGCTTTTTTTTACACATCAAACTGACACGCCGTGATATAACTCAAATACCGTTCAAAGCGGCGTAGGAAATACTAACTCACTCTTCCTGTTAACACGTCTTTAATATGTTGAAATTATGAGAAGATCCTAATCAAGCGTATTCCCAAACGAAACATGATGATTTGTCTTGTATACTTACTTAGCTTTTAGCTTGGTCGGATTTGTCATCCAAGCATTGGAAACCTTCTACATTGACATCAAGAAGAGTTGGGTTGAATTTCAGTAATTCGTCAACTATGGGGTTATAGGGTTAGGTCTGAGACTGATCAGTTGATGTTATGGCGGGGCCTGGGATTTAAAAGAACTACCAATTTAATTTTTTTTCTTCTGGATATGCTGTTTGTCCTGAAATAAATTTATCTCCATTCTATTAACACTTGTTAGGCTCCTCTTTAGAACAAAGACCCCCCACCCCCCTTCGAATATTAAATTGACAGGCCTTTACTTTTTGAAGAAAAGCAGTGGTGACAGGCTTAAAAAATTAACACTTATTCCCAGTTTTATTCAAAGCAGATTTCGGCCAACTTTCTCCCTCTCTTCACTTCAGCTCACACCACACAGTTCACCGAGATAGGCTGGTTATATCTACGCCATGGTAACGGTGTCGGCCATTTGCAATCCGGCGGAAGTTACGTCAGTCTTGTCAGCCCCGACAAGAAGGACCTCACCATTGTCATTGAAACCTTGGTAGCTATTAATCCATAAGATTAGTGATTAAGGTCATTGAATCTACTTTCCGTTTTGGAGTACCATATTGATATTTAATAATGTTGAATAAGATAATACACGTGTAATCTTGAAGATTACGATAACCACGTTTTTAATGATTCAAGTTCAATTGTCATAAGATGTATAATCATATAAAATATACGCTCCACAGATTTCTCATTTTGTAATCATAAGTATAGTTCGGGTACTCCTATGTGACAGTAAGATGAACCTTGATACAAGATTTTGCCCTACTCTAGACCCAGGAGCACTCGAAGTGCAACAAACCCCTGGACCCATACAATGTATCGGCGGCACAGATCACCATCCAGCTTAAAGGAAGCTTCGTAAGTAAAGAGAGAACATCCAAACTCCCTTCGTTTGTTATTCCACCAGTCCTTCTGTTCTTTATACATTATGTTCTGACCGTTTCTCTGTGGAAAGTTGCGTCCCTTAGATATGCCAGGATCCTATTGTCGTGGGTCCGAATCACAGATTCACACTTCTCACAGGTTCTCGTTGGTTAGTCATTACCATACCCGTCCGTACTCAATGGTTTAAAAAAGTAGCAAATATCTAAGATCTGCCACACTACAGCAACTGCTGTTTCGGTCGGCGTCAAACCGAAACTGTAAGTGAGTGAATGAGTGAGTGAAAATTAATTTTGAATGTCATATCATCCTTCCCTATGGGTATTCACCTTCGAATAAGCGAGTGAGTGAATGGTTTTGATTGTTTTTTTGGATCTGCATCACGTTGGCTTTCCGCCAGCATTAGGCTGACACGCCGTGATATAACTGGAATACTGTTCAAATAGGCGTTAAAACCCAACTCACTCACAAACTCCTGCTGTATCACGGCGGGATGTTGGTAACGAGGCATTTTTCTATATTAAAGACTTTCACCTTAGAAACGTGTTTGATTGAAAAGACCGTAAAACGGAATATACAAATGTGAACATTCTACAGTCTGTTCACTACGTTATTTTACGGTCTTACATATTAATTATTGTTAACATAGCCACGAACATTACGACACATGTTTATATTTGAAACTGTCGACAAAGGTATATCACATGTCTGTGCTGTACTTATTCTTGGTACAATGTAGTTACAGAGAGGGACACACAGAAGCATTTAGTGACTTGTTCACCAGTGTATATAAAAACGTTCCAACCATATCACGGCGACCTTTAAATAATCGAGTCTGGGTCACGATGACCGTTGCGTGATAGAAGTCTACCAGCAAAGATAAAGATTCGAATTTATGCGCAAACAACAGCGAAAACCAGTCTGTCTAGTCCAGAATTGATTATTTGCAGGTCCCCGTTTGTCTTGAAACAATATATGCGTCCTTAAGTTGTCTTCCCTGTGGGATGCCAATGCACTATTAAATATCGATTGATTTATCAGCTTGTACTTGCTGCTTGCTTTCAGGTGAGCATTACACAACTGCAGCCTTGGCACAGCAAGCCTGGGTTCGGATCTGGAGACAGGGATATCTACTTCGAGAAACGTCAGCCACTTAAGGTTCTTGTTACGCCGACATTGTCAACAATGCTCTTTAACAACAGAAACATCTATAGCAATACTGAATACTCGTTATGCCAAGTCGATTGTGATGGTATTTGGATACAAACTTGTTTATGCCTCCACAGGTTACCAATGGTCAGGTGACGTTGAATGTCGGTGTCGACGAAGTTTGGACGTTAACGACCGTGTCGACAGGAAACAAGGGCAGCTACCCTCCTCCACCACCAACGAAGACTTTCCCTCTACCCTATCAAGATGACTTCGAAGGTACACGATGTCATATATGTTAGGAATCCAATCATTGGGGGACTATAGATGAATACCTTATCACTCAGACAGATCACTCAACGGTCACAAAATTCACATTTTAGTCTTTGGGGACTGACCATTTGATATTAATCTTTGAGCCTGAATATTTAAAAAAAAAGAAAAACACCTTGCAAAATAGTATTTTTTTTGTGGCAAACCATTTCATTCTTTTTCAACAGTCTAAAGCATAATTATAATTTTCAAGACTTATCTGCTGAACTGTAGATCATACTATACATTGTTCAAGGTTACGCGGTTTCCATGGAGCCTAATAACTTTGCCCAACAACTGGGATCTTTCGAGATAGTGGCGGAGGGCAACAACAAGTTCATTCGCCAGATGGTTCTACAGGAGCCCCTGGCGTGGTGGCCGAACGCTGAACCGAAGCTCGGGAGAAGTTTCAGCGTCATTGGTGATCATAGTTGGCAAGTTGGAACTACCTGCAACACTGACCATATATCTATCAGGGGATATTCTGTTACTGCTTTCTTGCTTTCTTTGTATGAGTGAGTGAGTGGAGTTTAACGCCACAATATTCCAATTAAATCATGTCGTTTCAGCTTATTGTGTGAGGGTAGTCCGAAGTGACGCAGGTCTTAGACGTTTACCACTTTGGTGAAACCCGAGGGTATGGTGCTGACAAACCTAGTTACATAATCGGGGCGAACCGGGATTCGAACACACATTCGTAGGTTTCTGGCGTAACCAAGGGAGGCAACTCTTCTTCTTTCTGCAAAAGGATGAGCCAAACTTGTTTTGTTCGGATTCACAGCTCATTTTCCTTTTTGTTTTGTGTGTGCAGAATCTGATGCAAAATAATTTCAAGAAAATCCACCCTCCCCTTCCCACCCAGAAGATACAAGGGTCGGTTGCTATCATCATAGTCAAGAATACTGACATTAACTGCCACATCATCATTAGACAGCGTGTGTTTGCAGGACCAATATCTCCATCAAGGTAGATGCCCGTATCACCCCTGTCAATGGCACGAGCGGTGTGTTCCTTGCAGCGAGGGCGGACAAGGCAGGAATCGCGCTGTACGACACTGGCGGGGTCTTCTTCTACGTCTCCCCTGACAACAGCTCTTACATCCTCTCATCGGACCTCTGTAAGTCGTACAGTAATTACCTCTTCTTAAAAGATGTGTGCACATGTATGTGCAATATGTGCACACTCTACACCCTTTCATGGGACATGTGTTCGTGCAGCTCCATCCGTCTCCGAAGCATATTATATCATGAGAACATTGTCTTTGTAACCAAATGGTACAGGAGTGACTTTGACACCGCACTCAGAAGTGCCCTCTATTGCTTGTTTGTTTGTTGTTTCACGCCGCTCTCGGAAACATTCCAGACGGCGGTCGCCTGACCACACGATCCCGTCAGTCGCCTCTTACGACTAGCACAGTCGCTTTTTACGGCAAGCATGGGTTGCTGAAGACCTATTCTATCCCGTATCTTCACGGGTCAGATGCCCTGTAAATAATCGTGTTTTGACAAGGTAAACTTGAACCTCAATCAACGCCGACGGGGTACGGTGACACTTTCACCGTACCTGATTTCAGTCGGCTCGTACAACATTGAATATTCGGAACCTATCCTGCTCCGAAATAACGTGACAAGGGGGTTGCCTGCCAATAGTACAATGAAATATATTAATATATTTTATTTTATTTAAATTCAAGTCGCTTTTGAAATATCCCAGCGAAGCGTTGGAAAACCAATATTTTTTTCTGTTACAGCGAAGACGCAAGTTGTGTCGACAGGGCCCGTCCAATGGCGCAAAGGTTGGAACACAATTGAGCTTAGAATCATGGTAAGTTTATATCGACACAATTTAGCAGTCACGATTTTTCCATTGAATGATTTGTGCATTTTCGTAGTCACTGATAGGTCGAGTGGTGATAAAAGAACGGTTTTAGTTGACTCTGCCTACAGATACGGGCTGGCCTTAGAATCCTCTAACATATTCTCCAACATTCAACAGCATATTCCATCGCATGAAGAGGTATTAGATGAATGTCGTTCTACTCAGTAGCCTACATTAACGATGGAGTACAGTGATGCGTATTTAAAATAATCCCCATTATAGTCGCTAAATGGTTGGAATATTGCTGCTGCCACGCCAAACTTTAACTCTTTGTTCAACTTTATTCATAGTATTTCTGATCGCCCATCGTCTGACGTCAGATCGAACTCGTCCTTGAGCCACCATACAGGGACGTCGTAATAACATTGTAACAATGGTTGTTCTCCCCAGGGTGAGATGGTGTTCGGCTTCGTGGACGGCGTAGAGGTTGTGGCCACACGTGCTCCAACCGAGCCAACCAACGGGTTCGCCGGCCTGGGTACAAACAACTGGGGACTGGCCGACTTTGACAACCTCTATATAACATGATAAAAGACGTCACCAGCAGCATGACAAAGTTGGTTTGTCCACTGTAATCCAGTATCAATAAAACAAATCTATTTGACTTTTGTTGGTTCATTGTGCAGGTGAAGGCCCCGTCGATGCATTAAGGCCAAGCTGATTAATCGAGTAAAGACACCAACTTCCATTCCAAATATATAAGTAGACCAATATCTAAGAACCATGACGTTGTTCCAGATGGCGAACTTGGAGAGATCCCGGAATTTATTTGTCTACCAATCAAATTATTGACTATATATATATTAACTTTATATATTGTTAACTATATCTTCTCCACTTGAACATGTTGTTGTTGAAGTACCTCCGTGTAGATTGACTAATTACTCAACCATAGTCAACCGCTTTATAGACAAACTTTTCCGTCACAGTTGAAATACTGTAGTGTTCTGCGTGCCCAGCACTGACGAAAAAGAAGAGAGCTCCGTCAGTCGTCTGCTGCCACGCTCCAGGAAGCAGTCAGTCGTCTGCTTGGGAATGTGGGAGCACTGAAGTAGTCTTCTGAAGGTAGAAACCGCTCCTCTTGTTGTGAAAGGTGGGGAAAGAATAGGCTTGCTGCTTAGTCTCGTCTCATCGTCATCAAAGGATGGATGTTGTCTCAGCTCGTGCACGTTCTCGGACAGTGCTATGGGTTCATATCTTTAAAACGCACTCCCCTGTTCAGAGGAATGGATTCATCCACTGCAGCGCAGAGCGTCTACTGTCATGGTGTTCACGCCGATTTGTCTAATGTAGGTTCAGCAGTAATGAAGGCATATATTTGTTCCAAATGTTTGGAAACAGATCATACACCAGCAACTCACATGAAAGATCTGTAAGGAGTAGTGTGGAAATAAACCAATCACGTGATATAGCGTACACACTACGTACTAATTAAGTTCACAAGAAAGAAGATGTTCAGTTCAAAAAAATAATTTCAGAGCTGTAAGTTTTAATGGTTTTATTAGTTGACTTGGTTGATGAATGTCATCGTATCCTCATTGCGTAAATCGTTGCTCGTGATGTCAATCACTGGATTGTCTGGTCCAGACATGATTACTTAAAGAGTGCCGTCATATAGCTGAAATATTGCTGAGTGCGTTAAATAACAAACAAACAAACAAACATGCGATATGGTGTTAACATGTGAAGCTGGTGTTACATAAACTTGAAATAAATCATAATCCCTTGTGGTATTCCTCGGTGTAACACGTGCAACATTAACTTTATTTGACACCGACTGTATAAGTATGGATGTACTCGTAAGTAATAAATAAGTCCAATATGGTTCTGACAGACCTCCCTCTATATCATTACGATTTATGAAATTCCGGAACGTCAACGCCAGACAGTAATCAGTAATAGGCAAAATCGTGATGAAAGTTACTCGTGCTCGTGGCTTTCACCAAAGTGGTAAACGTCTGAGACCTGAATCACTTCGGGCTTTCCTCCCACACTAAGCTGACACGCCGTGATATAACTGGAATACTGTTAAAAGCGTTGTTAAACCAAACTCACTCACTCACTCACAAATCAGTAAACCTGTAATCAAAGGTGACGACGAAGGATATACATAAACAATAGAAAGCATTTAGTAATATACGTATCACCAAATACTCTACACGTATATATAAAGACAACGAGATATGATAGAAACGCGAGCATACACAGAGATAGACACAGACCTTGTAACACTTACAACAACGTATGACCTCCATAGATATCAAACCAGGACGCTATGACTGTCATATGACTTGCATATGCTTGGCCTGAAGGCTGTGTGCGGGATATTTGGGAGACAGTCTCTCACGAAGTATAGGCCATCGGCCCATTACATGTTGCAACGGTGCTACAGCCAATTTCTCACATTTCTTTTCTCAAATTATTCGCATAGAAAATAAACATTCCTATATAGACATTAACATGTTAAATTGTGTTTACTAAGAACTATACAATACTTTTCGGGGACATACAATTGCCGCAGGTGTTCATATGCACTACACATCAATATAAAATGGTATTCACTTTCAACATATCCGCAGCTACACATATTCTTTGGTTTATTTGGCATGCCAACGTATCGACCAGTTTCTATTTTTATACGACATTCTTAATTCGTTGTTGTAGACCAGAAATAGTCCGACAAAAGAATTAGACCACAGCAAACAAAAGTAAAAAAAAGTTGCGTTAATTCCGGATGTAGTTTGATACCTGAATAACAAGATAATTCTATTTTTTCTGCCAGTTCATTTATAAATATTGAAAATAAAAAAAGGCTCAAGACACAACCTTGGCGTACATCAATATAACACTCAAACATCTCAGAGAAGGAATAATTAAATTTTACACATGACTTTACAGAGTTATAAATAAATCTATCTTTATTGTTCATATTCCTTTTTGAAACAAAACTGACCATAACTTTGATCTGTTCACCCGATGAAACGCCTTGGTGAAATCAACAAAAACATGAATATTTTTTACCTTTTTGCTAAAATTCTATTAGCGACTGATAAAATAAATATATTATCAATAGTTGAATAAGTGGCACGGAACCCTGCCTGCGATTCAACAACCTTATTATAAGCATCGCTCCAAAACCTTAGTTTAGTTTTAATATTGAAATGTATAATTTACTGACAGCACTAAGAACGATGATGCCTCTATAATTAGAAGTCGTATGTAGATCCCCCTTTTTATGTAAAGGTACAATCAGTCCCATTGACCACCAAGTTGGAAACGAACACTTATCAAACAAAATATTAAAAATAATAGCAAGATATGGCACCAGTATATGCCCGGAGTGTACAAGAAATTCAGCGATTATCATATCACTTCCCGAGGACTTCGATAGTGATCGGTGAGTCAAGGATAGCTGATGTACACTCGTTCCAGATACAGGACCCCGACCTACTATATCGCTGATCAACGTTATTGTTCTTATTGTCATTGTCCATATAAGTATTTCCAAAATAGACATAACATTTCCCCAGAGATATATCAGGCTGTCCGTGGTGGACACGTGACTGATGTACACGCTAGCGGTAAGTGATCTGCATCTGATCTCGATAAGACATCAAAGTTCAGACACGTCTGAAAGGTAGTAGAAATACTTACGTTGTCAATCACACTCTTGACAGTGAGGCAGTCGAACACATCAAGCTCTTCAACATGAAATGGTTGTTAGTATTACCGATTCTCACTGAGGTTACTGTATATTACAGTGAAGCGGTGACATATGTGTTTCGAGATACAGGAGGTCTAGGAGGGAGGTTCGACGGTATAGGCGGGCTGAGCGGCGGAGGGGTATGTAGACATAGGAAAGTCAAGTGATCCCAGTTATCTGGAGGTAATGTGTGTGTTGTGAATTTCTCATCATTTTTTCTTCCTACCGTTGTGCATTCAGTAAGGCGGTAAACGTCTTAGACCTGCGTCACCTAGAGCTTTCCTCCCATATCAATCGACCTTCTTTGTGGTCTAGTGATAGAGCGCTTGCCTGGAGAGTGGAAGGTCCGGGGTTTGATCCCCGGTCGCATCACACATAAAGACGTTAAAAAAGACGAACTTGTTGTTACCCTGTCTGGAGCTCGGCATTAAGGGGTTAGAACAAGGACTGGTCGGCTCGGAGACACTATATAGTGTCTGTGTGGGGTATTCATGTTGAACTGCGGCATTGTTCCTCAGTGGGCTAGCACTATAAATCGGCATCAGTCCGGACTAGTACAGGCAGCCACACACACACACACACACACACACACACATTCGCACACGCGCGTGCATGCACGTCGCTATATAAAATGCAACAATCATGAACTAAATGTTAAACCCAATTTCACGTCACCTCACCTCCAACATCAGGCGCCCGTGTCGTGATATAACTGAAATACTGTTCAAACCGGCATTAAACCCAACTCGCTCACTCACTCTTGAACCTGGGATGGATGGAGGTGGCTAGAAATAGCTCTAGTCTTTCCAAGCACTTGTAGATAAAATATGGCTCGGTATAATCCTTCTTTCGCCATCTTTCGTATCTTCCAGGGGTGGTGGGGTAGCCGAATGGTTGAAACGTTCGCTCGTCACGCTGAAGACCCAGGTTCGATTCCCCAAATGGGCCCAATGTGTGAAGCCCATTTCTGGAGTCCCCCACCGTGATATTGCTGGAATATTGCTGAAAGCAACGTAAAACCAAACTCACTTACTCGTATCTTCCACCTGCAGGCCACGTCCAAACTCCTGGCCAACTATCCTGAAGAACAACGGAACCAGATTCTGGACTTCCTCTTTAAGGTGAGTCCGAAGTCACGAAGCCTTGTTTAGTACCTAACTAGAGTGTTGACCTTGAAGCCAAACACTTGTCATTTGCAAGAGATTATACTATCTCTCGAGAGGGTCAATGCTTACTGATTTGTGAAATAATCAAGTAGTGTAATGTTGAGTCAAATGGACGATTTACAACTTTACAGTACGGGGTATTCACAGAGGAAATAATAACGTCAAGGTCAAATTAACTCTCGAGTGGCTAAAGTGCATACTTAGAAATTAAAATAAATAAAACAAACATACTTGGTGACAATGTTTATGATATAAACCCAGTGACAAATCTACTTTCGCTAAAGTAAACTGGACAAACACATGGACAATCACAAGACGATTCAGGCTGAATAAAGCCCTGTAGGATGTGCACTGCTCACCAGACCAAGGAATGCCAGTTAACCTGGAGGCGGAATTGCTATCATCTACAAGTCACACTAACAGCTAGGTGTTATAGACAAGACCGAACTTGAGATATCATCGTCTGGAGTGATCTTCTTTGGGAGCAGTCACAAAAATACTCATCTATGATGATTAAAATTTGCATTTTGATAACTGGTCGAATACTGATACAGGAAATGATCTATGTTAGTCTGACTCGGCATTGAGAAACACATGGCCCCCACTTCTCACACTGCTGGTCACACCTGGGTGATCTCCAACTCTGAAGGTAACACACTTTGCAGTGTTGCAGAAGAACATCTACACATTTGTGAACACTTCCCAATATTTCGAACATCAAAGAATCTCCCCTGTCAATATCATGTCGGGAAAACACTTAGGACTATGTGGTCTTGTACAACAATGTCTTTATGTTCCTCCTCAATAACCACGCATAATAGCTGGAGAAAAGACATGCTGTCATCTCTGGCCCTGTTGGATATTTCAGTGGCCTTTGATACCATCAGCCACCAGAATGTATTGAGGCGACTGAAAGACAATTTTGGAATCACAGGCACAGCCATCGAATGGTTCATTTCATATTTGTTTGAGAGGTCGCAGCGCGTCATCATAAGCACCGTCTTGTCAAAATCACATATTTTTCAAAATGATGTTCCTCAAGGATCAGTGAGTAGCAAGCACCATGGCATAAATCATGAACATTATGCCGATGACAGACCGGCTCTATGTACCATGTCGTCAAAAGAAACTATATACACTGGTAAAGTCAACTACTACAGTCACTGTTGGAGATATTGAAATACCATCAGTAGTATCTAAGGTCAAGGGACTGCTAGAAAGCAAACTGAAAATCAAGTATCAAGTATCCCAAATAGGTCAGAAACACACATTTTCGCCTGCAGAACGTCTGAAAGAGCAATCACAGTCAAGATGCAGCAACCAAACTTGTTACAACACTCATAACCCCAAGGCTGGACTTCCGCAACAGTCTTCTGACTAACGTCAACCAAGACTGGCTTCAACAAATACAAAACACCACAACCAGAATAGTCACGAGATCAAGGAAGTTCGAGCACATTATCCCTGTCTTGAAAAATCTCCACTGGCGTCCAGTACCTGCTAGAATTGACTTTCAAACATTAGTTACTGCTTTTCAATGCTATAATCGCTCGTCACCAGTCTATCTCCAAGCGTTTAATACTGCCATCCTACTTTTAATCAATGACCTCAGATCACAAGACAAGACGCTACTTTCTGCCCAAATCATTAAGACCCAAAAAGATAAAAACTAAATAAGTTTAAAACATCTTGTTTTATAAATAACATATTCTCGATGTTCCGATGAGTCAAATGGTTTGGAAGCTAAGTTACCTTGTCTGTTGCAGCCCAACTTCGGAGCCAGTCTACAGATTCTGAAGGTCGAGATTGGCGGAGATGCGCAGAGCACAGGTATACCACACACTTACATGGTGAAAGCCAGGTCAGATTAATGGAGATACCGAGATGTTTATCCGGTTCATGTAGAAATTATTTCGATATTGGCGTATGGCATATTGTTTTGAACTTGAAATGATGCTTCAATTGACAACGTTGCTGATAGATACTACATGGTAATATCGTAATACCTCTCGTGAACCGATGTGTTTGGTGTTGTGTCTATCCTTGCCTATATCCCGCTACTCTAACTATTTGATGTGTCGAACGGAGCTGATGATGGCTATAATGATGGTGATAATGTTTTGAATCCAGATGGCACCGAGGCGTCTCACATGCACAACAGCTGGGATGAGAACTACCAGAGAGGGTACGAGTGGTGGCTCATGGTGGAGGCCAAGAAGGTACAATTGTAATAAACCACGCTTATAATGAACACGCTCATAACGAACACGCTTATAACGAACTGTATATAACATATATTGATTCCACGCTCGAACAGGAATATGCGAACTCACGGTCAACTCCTGATGCGAGATGAAGGGGGCATAACATGGAGTGTCTTTTGGCTTTAATATTGTAATTAGAAATCTGAACATTTCATCTGTGAAATGGTTTCTGTCTAAACAAACAAGGCATTATTGCACTGTAATCTTGTCTTTTTGTCAGCGTAACCCGGACATCAAGCTATATGGTCTACCGTGGGGGTTCCCAGGCTGGATAGCAGCTGCTCCACAGGACCCGTATGTGGATCCACAACAGACGGCTACGTACATCGTGAAGTGGGTCCAAGGTGCCAAGATGCACTACAACCTTACCATAGACTTCCTTGGCATCTGGAATGAAAAACCGTACAATGATACTTACATCAAAGTAAGTCTTATCATAGAAATGATGAGTATTGATTATGAGACTTGTACTCCAAAACGCCAAGTAGCACATCTAGAAATCAGAGCAACATTGCAGACCACCCCAAGCAAGATAAGAAGAAACAAGAAGTTTCCTTCTGTGGACGGCTTATGTCCATTATGTATGGGTGTCAATGATGTATGAAGGAACAATCACGACAATATGTATGATCGATATCAATGTGAATGTCAACGAATGTCGTCGACCAATGTTTACCCATTCTGTTGGGTATAAGAATATCCTCGTTTGTTAATGTGTACCCATTCTGTTGGGTATAAGGATGTCCTCACATGTCAATGTGTACCCATTCTGTTGGGTATAAGAATGTCCTCATGTGTCAGTGTGTGCCCATTCTGTTGGGTATAAGAATGTCCTCATGTGTCAGTGTATACCCATTCTGTTGGTTATAAGGATGTCCTCATGTGTCAATGTGTACCCATTCTGTTGGTTATAAGAATGTCCTCATGTGTAAGTGTGTACCCATTCTGTTGGGTATAAGGATGTCCTCATGTGTCAATGTGTACTCATTCTGTTGGGTATAAGAATGTCCTCATGTGTCAATGTGTACCCATTCTTTTGGCTATAAGGATGTCCTCATGTGTCAGTGTGTACCGATTCTGTTAGGTATAAGGATGTCCTCATGTGTCAGTGTGTGCCCATTCTGTTGGGTATAAGGATGTCCTCATGTGTCAGTGTGTACCAATTCTGTTGGGTATAAGGATGTCCTCATGTGTCAGTGTGTGACCATTCTTTTGGGTATAAGAATGTCCTCATGTGTCAATGTGTGCCCATTCTGTTGGGTATAAGGATGTCCTCATGTGTCAATGTGTACCCATTCTTTTGGGTATAAGGATGTCCTCATGTGTCAGTGTGTACCCATTCTGTTGGGTATAAGGATGTCCTTATGTGTCAGTGTGTACCCATTCTGTTGGGTATAAGAATGTCCTCATGTGTCAATGTGTACCCATTCTGTTGGGTATAAGAATGTCCTCATGTGTCAGTGTGTACCGATTCTGTTGGGTATAAGAATGTCCTCATGTGTCAGTGTGTACCCATTTTGTTGGGTATAAGGATGTCCTCATGTGTCAGTGTGTGACCATTCTTTTGGGTATAAGAATGTCCTCATGTGTCAATGTGTGCCCATTCTGTTGGGTATAAGGATGTCCTCATGTGTCAATGTGTACCCATTCTTTTGGGTATAAGGATGTCCTCATGTGTCAGTGTGTACCCATTATGTTGGGTATAAGGATGTCCTCATGTGTCAGTGTGTACCCATTCTGTTGGGTATAAGAATGTCCTCATGTGTCAATGTGTACCCATTCTGTTGGGTATAAGAATGTCCTCATGTGTCAGTGTGTACCCATTTTGTTGGGTATAAGAATGTCCTCATGTGTCAGTGTGTACCGATTCTGTTGGGTATAAGGATGTCCTCATGTGTCAATGTGTACCCATTCTTTTGGGTATAAGAATGTCCTCATGTGTCAGTGTGTACCCATTCTGTTGGGTATAAGAATGTCCTCATGTGTCAGTGTGTACCCATTCTGTTGGGTATAAGGATGTCCTCATGTATCAGTGTGTACCGATTCTGTTGGGTATAAGAATGTCCTCATGTGTCAGTGTGTACCCATTCTGTAGGGTATAAGGATGTCCTCATGTGTCAGTGTGTACCCATTCTGTTGGGTATAAGAATGTCCTCATGTGTCAGTGTGTACCCATTCTGTTGGGTATAAGGATGTCCTCATGTGTCAGTGTGTACCGATTCTGTTGGGTATAAGGATGTCCTCATGTGTAAGTGTGTACCCATTCTATTGGGTATAAGGATGTCCTCATGTGTCAATGTGTACCCATTCTGTTGGGTATAAGGATGTCCTCATGTGTCAGTGTGTACCCATTCTATTGGGTATAAGGATGTCCTCATGTGAAAGTGTGTACCGATTCTGTTGGGTATAAGGATGTCCTCATGTTTCAATGTGTACCCATTCTGTTGGGTATAAGAATGTCCTCATGTGTCAATGTGTACCCATTCTGTTGGTTATAAGGATGTCCTCATGTGTCAATGTGTACTCATTCTTTTGGGTATAAGAATGTCCTCATGTGTCAATGTGTACCCATTCTTTTGGGTATAAGGATGTCCTCATGTGTCAGTGTGTACCGATTCTGTTGGGTATAAGGATGTCCTCATGTGTCAGTGTGTGCCCATTCTGTTGGGTATAAGGATGTCCTCATGTGTCAGTGTGTACCCATTCTGTTGGGTATAAGGATGTCCTCATGTGTCAGTGTGTGACCATTCTTTTGGGTATAAGAATGTCCTCATGTGTCAATGTGTGCCCATTCTGTTGGGTATAAGGATGTCCTCATGTGTCAATGTGTACCCATTCTTTTGGGTATAAGGATGTCCTCATGTGTCAGTGTGTACCCCTTATGTTGGGTATAAGGATGTCCTCATGTGTCAGTGTGTACCCATTCTGTTGGGTATAAGAATGTCCTCATGTGTCAATGTGTACCCATTCTGTTGGGTATAAGGATGTCCTCATGTGTCAGTGTGTACCCATTCTGTTGGGTATAAGGATGTCCTCATGTGTCAGTGTGTACCCATTCTGTTGGGTATAAGGATGTCCTCATGTGTCAGTGTGTACCCATTCTATTGGGTATAAGGATGTCCTCATGTGAAAGTGTGTACCGATTCTGTTGGGTATAAGGATGTCCTCATGTTTCAATGTGTACCCATTCTGTTGGGTATAAGAATGTCCTCATGTGTCAATGTGTACCCATTCTGTTGGTTATAAGAATGTCCTCATGTGTCAATGTGTACCCATTCTGTTGGGTATAAGAATGTCCTCATGTGTCCATGTGTACCCATTCTGTTGGGTATAAGAATGTCCTCATGTGTCAATGTGTACCCATTCTGTTGGTTATAAGAATGTCCTCATGTGTCAATGTGTACCCATTCTGTTGAGTATAAGAATGTCCTCATGTGTCAATGTGTACCCATTCTTTTGGGTATAAGGATGTCCTCATGTGTCAATGTGTACCAATTCTGTTGGGTATAAGAATGTCCTCATGTGTCAATGCGTACCCATTCTATTGGGTATAAGAATGTCCTCATGTGTCAATGTGTACCCATTCTGTTGGTTATAAGGATGTCCTCATGTGTCAATGTGTACCCATTCTGTTGGGTATAAGAATGTCCTCATGTATCAATGTGTACCCATTCTGTTGGTTATAAGGATGTCCTCATGTGTCAATGTGTACCGATTTTGTTGGGTATAAGGATGTCCTCATGTGTCAATGTGTACCCATTCTGTTGGGTATAAGAATGTCCTCATGTGTCAATGTGTACCCATTCTTTTGGGTATAAGGATGTCCTCATGTGTCAATGTGTACCAATTCTGTTGGGTATAAGAATGTCCTCATGTGTCAATGCGTACCCATTCTATTGGGTATAAGAATGTCCTCATGTGTCAATGTGTACCCATTCTGTTGGTTATAAGGATGTCCTCATGTGTCAATGTGTACCCATTCTGTTGGGTATAAGAATGTCCTCATGTATCAATGTGTACCCATTCTGTTGGTTATAAGGATGTCCTCATGTGTCAATGTGTACCCATTCTGTTGGGTATAAGGATGTCCTCATGTGTCAATGTGTACCCATTCTGTTGGGTATAAGAATGTCCTCATGTGTCAATGTGTACCCATTCTATTGGGTATAAGGATGTCCTCATGTTTCAATGTGTACCCATTCTGTTGGGTATAAGGATGTCCTCATGTATCAGTGTGTACCCATTCTGTTGGGTATAAGGATGTCCTCATGTGTCAGTGTGTACCGATTCTGTTGGGTATAAGGATGTCCTCATGTGTCAGTGTGTACCCATTCTGTTGGGTATAAGGATGTCCTCATGTGTCAATGTGTGCCAATTATTTTGGGTAAAAGAAAGCCCTTCTGTGACACTGTATATCCATAATGTTGGAAGTGAGAATATCCTTCTGTGACATTTTATGCCCCTAACTTGGTGTACAATAACTCCCATCCGTGTTGCTTAATGCTCATTGCACATTGTCAAGAAGACCCTCGTGTGATTACGTATTTCCTTACTACACTGCATAAGACCACATTCTCGCTATGTATACGCAGAACTGTGTCCTAGGTTAGTATGTCCTCTGTAACCTAGCCCATTACGTACATGTGTATACTACAAGACATCCCCTATACACTAGTCCCTCTCGCTTGTACGTATATGCCCTGTCTTGAAGACGCTGAGGAAGACCTTGGACACCAACAACCTGAGCAACGTCAAAATAGTAGCAGCCGACGACAACGGTTGGGCAATCGCCGAGGACGTCGTCAATGACAGTGATCTGGCTGCTGTGGTAGATTACATAGGGTTGGTTGGTTGGTCCTCATACATCTATTGTCAATATGAAAATACTTTGAAGAACGAAATATATCCCCTCCCCAAAGTACGGGTACAGTCTTGACAAACCAATGGTTATAGCGAACTCTGTGTGTGTGTGTGTGTGTGTGTGTGTGTGTGTGTGTGTGTGTGTGTGTGTGTGTGTGTGAGAGAGAGAGAGAGAGAGAGAGAGAGAGAGAGAGAGAGAGAGAGAGAGTGTGAGTTTGTGTGTGAGAGAGTGAGTGAGTGAGTGAGTGTGTGAGTGTGTGTAAGAGAGAGAGAAAGAAACGCTAGAAACCTATGATTGAGGACTCGAATCGCGGTTCGCCTCAATTATGTTTCTAGGTGTGTCATCACCATTGTGTAGATATTTGATCGTCCGGAAAAGTATTTTTATACTGAAGCAACCATGTGAACAGAAGTGTCACGCACTGGCATTTGGTTTTGTCTTTCAGGTCCCACTACCCGGGTACTGTGACGACACCCAAAGCTCTTCAGACAGGCAAGCAGTTGTGGTCATCTGAAGACTACAGCACCTTCAACAACGAAACCGGCGGCGGCTGCTGGGCCAGGGTAGGGTGGAGGGTAGGGGTTGTAACAGTGGAATGAGTTGAGGGATCAATGATGAAATTGCTCGACAGCAAACGGACGGGAAAAGCGGGCTTGTACTGGATAGATTTTGGGACTATTGAATTTTGTGAACCAGAATCTGGTTACTTCGGGAAACCTTGGCTTTCAAGTCATACTAACAGGCAATTTTGTGGTGATCCAGAATCGTCCAGAATAACTATTTAATAGGCATTTGTGTATAGGAAATAAATCGATGGAGACGCGCACCTCCGTGATGTCGTGTTGCTTGTGTAGATTTTATAGGTAGCAGTGGAACTACATTTCAGTGTGCAACCTTCACCTTCTAATCACAATGACGCCAGTAGGACTCTTATACCAAGGACATTACATACAATGCTTGCACACATCCGTGTAGGAATTTGTTTCTTGCAAACCTTATATGGCTTTTTGCATCGTTTCAGCTTTTAAACCAGAACTACGTTAATGGAGGGATGACAAGGTAAAGCATCAGAACGCAGTCGAGACATTAGGTCCAATCATGTGTTCGTTTGTTTTGTTTGTTGTTTATCGCCGCACTCATGTGTTCGTAATCACGATTCGTGATTGTGTTTTGAGCAAACTTTCATTATAAACCGAGAAGCGTGGCGTCAGTTGGATAGGTAAAACGTATATTTGGTACTCCTTACAATATCCTGCATATTTAGCGTACTGGAGCAGTTTTGAATTAACGCTTTGCCACAATTAAGGCTGCCAATCCCCTATTGGTTGGCGGGATTCGGGGGTCAATTTACAGGGTATTCTGAACTCGGTAGTATGGCACGCGGGAATTAATAAAATCATATTTGGTATGCAGCAACAAGTAAGTGGTGCACATATATTGTTCCCCTAAAAAATTGTATATTTGCGATACTTTTTCGGTAATTGAACTTCAAATCGCACATTTTCTCAGTGTTTTGACATTTTGAGTACTCGGGATTCTTTGGTGAGCAATGAGTGAATATTGAGATGGCATTCAGGGTTCGGGGATGGAGGGGGTTGGCACCCTCACAATTTGACTAATTTCTGACTGTATGCTTCACTACAGTGGTCTAACAACATTGATTTGTTTGTTTTTTATATCCCAAACAAATGGTGAAATCTAGCTTTTTTGTAAGACTGGCTAAAATTCCATAGTTAGCCCATAACCCCATACGATCTTCTTGTTTCCAGCACAATCTCTTGGAACCTGATCGCCAGCTACTATGAAGGCTTGCCGTGGTACCGTGCAGGGCTGATGACTGCGGCGGAGCCATGGAGCGGTAACTACGCCGTCGACAGCCCTATCTGGGTAACAGGTAACTGGCTTCTGTACAGTACTGTACATCAAACGTGTTCAAGGCACCGCAAATTCAAAAACAGAGTTGATTGGTATTGCCATGGGATATGATTCCGATACATATAACCGAGATGTCATCCGAGATTTGCAACTTAAAACACCAGATGTTGTATACAGTTAAGAACCTACCAATGAGAACGCCGTTGGGGCTAGACAATAGGAGAACATGATGAGTATGGTTTTACGCAGCTTTTAGCATTATTCCAGCAATATGACGGCGGTGACACGTTTCCAGCATCTTCGCAGTCTGTCATGACCCTATATTAGATTAAACCTTGAGTGAAACACTGTCACTTCTAATGCTGATTACAAAGTATGGATAAGAAAATGAGTATTGCAATTGTGTGCTTAAAGCTGCTTAAATGAATCTCCCGTCAGATTTCATGTATTTAATAAATGCAAAAAAGAAGAAGATTTTGATCCTTGTTTCATAAAACCAGTACTACACACAAGTGTGTAATCTGTATATACAATAACTGTATATTGCAATGGTTGTTCCTCTCTCCACATCAGCTCACACCACACAGTTCACCGACATAGGCTGGTATTATCTACGTCATGACTACGGTGTCGGCCATTTGGAACATGGCGGAAGTTACGTCAGTCTTATCACTCTCGACAAGAAGGAGTTCACAATCATCATTGAGACCATGGTAAATATCCTCAACCATGACATTTTCGTTTTATTTCCCATCACGTCTCAGCAAACCGACACAATAGTGTATTTGTACTTTAGTCAAGGTTCAGTATAAGGTAGGGTGAATGGATGGCCCAGTCGCTTGCCAGGTTTGAATCTCGGTTCGCCCTTATAATGTTTCTAGGTTTGCCAGCATCATTTCCGTGCTCGTGGATTTCACCAAAGTGGTCAACGTTTACCACCGGCATCCCATCGGTCGTAACCTTCCACATGAAGCTGGCATGCCAAGTATAACTGAAATACTGTTCAGGGCTGCGTTGAACTCCACTAATCCACTCCTTTGAGGTAGACCCAGGACTGTGGCAAATTACACTACCCCTTGGGACCTGAATCAGAACAGGTCTCCAGCATCAGGTCGTTGGAAATGACTAACGTGTGGTCAGGTCCTAATTGCCTGTCATCTCCCCCAATAGCACCGATTGTTTGTTTTTCGTGATGTAGCTTAAACATTGCTGACTGCGGCGTTAAACAGCATTCACAGATATTGGGAATACATTTAAACAGGAATTTTGGCCCTGATTTGTTGAATATGGATGCAATGATGACAAACCTATTCCAACTGAACCACATTATCAGTAAAGTGTCTGTCGAGGTTTTGGTGCCTGTTGCTTTATCACGGAGGAGATGAAGTAATACTACATGAAGAAATAAGTGCTACGCTCATACTCATGAAGATGCCATTTAACACAAATACAACTGGAATACAAAGCTTTGCAAGCTTCGATATCATTGTTTGTTCTAAGATGAATTCGTAAATTACTACACTATGATTCTGATGTAATTTCATTCCTAGAGCCACGATCACTCTGTATGTGTTCGGCCTCCACTCAAACCATACAACGTATCTGCCTCTCAAACCGTCACCATCCAGCTTGAAGGAAGCGTGGTAAGTACGGCGATGATTCTGACCTCATATCGTGACAGAACTACAAATAAGCAAATAAGCTTTTCATGTAGGTATGAACAGTCCTCCTAGATACAGAGTTTGGCTTAGGGAATGAAACAGATCACTTGCAGCATTGTCTAACTTTCATCCACAGAAACCATGGGCATTAAAGTGCATACCAACATCTGTCCATGACTTTTTTCGTAAAAAATAAAGTTTGTGTTTAAAAACAAAACCACGTGCAACTTCCTCAGCTGTTGCACAATTCTACACGTAATACATGTAAATTTGTCACAATTTTTTTTTTTTTAATTCCTGCGAAATACGTTTCAATTAGTCATCATATAACATGTTGTATTAATTTATCGTATATGCAATCGTATTGCTATGGATGGATAATTACCAGGCTGTTAACTGATCTGGCTGGCTGGCTGTTCATACCTCGCTATCTCGAATAAACTATGGCTTCGATAACTTGCCCGAGAGCGATTCGCCAGTATTATTGCCCAAAACACACACTTATATATTGCATGTGTGGTATCGATGTGTCTGTTATATATTGCATGTGTGGTATCGAAGTGTCTGTAATATATTTTATCATATAATGGGTAGGTTTCTCGGCAGGATAAAGCCAACGGATAAAAACGATATCCGTTGGGGTCATATGCGGATAGAGATGCAAATATCAAAGGTCAAGTAGGACTACTTTCACTGTTTATAAACAAGCATGGCGTCGCCCTCGTCATTCGGCGATCGAGTCAGAATTAACCATCGTGAATCTGGATAAACTACAGGGATTATTGCTATCATTATCACACGAATAGTCTAATATACTGAAAATCAGTGTCTAACTGTGACGTAGCTAAGGCATTTTATAAGTTTTGGCAACTTTCGAGATATAAATTTCGAAACAATTTTGCGAGGGCACGAGGCCTAGCCAAGCGGGATCAGTAGCCATATCTGTGCTTGTAGACCTCTGTGGCTTGAAAGCTTCTCCACAAATCAAAATGGTTGGATTCGGCCGAAATATGTTTGAACTGTTACCTTGTTTCGTTTTGTCGCTGTGTGTACATCTGACTACACTTCTTAACGTTATGAAAGGACAGACCGACTGTCAACAACGTCTGACCGTGGCCGTGACGTCTCATAGACTAGAGTTAGAGTAGCTTCCCTTTGACAAAGGGCAGTTACTCTAGCGGACAGACCAATGGATTGCCGCGAAAGGCAATTAAAAACAACTGTTGTTTTGCCTATAAGTTGCTTCGCCACTGTATAAGAAACAGATTTCAGTTGGAACTATATTGGCTACTGTCACTGTCCGACTGACTAATCACTTACCCTGTGACGTAATAAATATTAATGCGCGCATTCCAGGAAAACTCGCAATGTTTCGGTAATGTTTGTGAGAGAGGGAAAGCGATTTTCAAGCACAGAATTAAAGAATGACATTATATGATAAAGAGGTTATCACGCTTGTGTGTTTGGGGATGGTAAATATCCTGTATTAGGAATAAACACTATGTATTTAGCTCGCCAAGGCTCGCTAAATACAATGTTTATTCCTAATGCAGGATATTTACCATCCCCAAACACACTCGCGTGATAACCTCTATGTATACGCGGTATGGATGTATCTGTTATATATTGTAAGAGTGGTATCGAGGTGTCTGTTATATATTGTATGCGTGGTATCGAGCCGTATGTTATATATTGTATGTGTCGTATCGATATATCTGTTTTATATTGTATGCGTGGTATGGAGGTGTCTGTTATATGTTGTATGTACATAACATATGTTGGAACTACTTTCAGACCCCTTGATATTCTGTTGTTTTCAGACGTGTTGTTTTCTAAGATGACTGAGATAATACATAACAAATAGAACATTCAGCTTTTCTCGTCAGATTATAAGTTTTTATGTCATTTCGCAAATTGATAAAGTTGCCACTTTCTCTCGTTGATGCACATATAGAAATATTAACTTTATCAAGTCATTTGAGAAAAACATGTAATATAACAAGATGGGTCACATTTCTCTGTACATTTTCAGGAGGCCATTACAGAGTTTGAGGTGTGGTACACCAAGCTGTCGTTTGACCCTGAAGTCAAAGATGTCATCTTTCAGAAACGTCAGCCTCTCAAGGTCCTCTATTGGCAATACATTCTGTATCAATGTATCCACCTCCATCCCATTCTCCGACAAAATACTTCGACTATTTCTAGTACAACTAGGGTGATGGGGTAGCCTTGTGGTTAAAGCGTTCGCTCGTCACGCCAAGACCCGGGTTCGAATACCCACATGGGTACAATGTATGAAGCCAACTTCTGGTGTCCCCCGTCGTGATATTGCTGGAATATTGCTAAAAGCGTAAAACCGGCGTACTCACTCACTCTAGTACCATTACGTGTACACAGTTGAACAGTGTCGAAGCCTTGTGGTTAAAGCGTTCGCTCGTCACGCCAAGACCCGGGTTCGAATACCCACATGGGTACAATATGTGAAGCCAACTTCTGGTGTCCCCCGCCGTTATATTGCTGGAATATTGTTAAATGCGGAGGAAGACCATACTCACTCACTAATTGTCTAGGGTCGGCTTAATGCTCTTGTTAAATGACAGACGGTTTAAAGTCGTCTTACTCACTCACCCACTGAAGGCGCATGAAGGCACGACAGTAGACCTGCTGTACACATGGTTACGCACTAACGTTTTCCTGAACATGTTTAAGGGACCGACCATTTAGTCTTTTTGTCTGTAGATTAAATATTTGTTCAGTTAAAGCTGCCAAACCATATCTTGTTTAAATAAAAACAGCCTGAACTTTTTCTTAAGAAAAACACATTGCAAAAATGTAATTTTGGTAGCAGTCTGAAGCATTATTATTTTTTTCAAGATGTTTAATTCACCACCACACACCGCACACCCTATTCTTACACGGCATTCCGTCGACCCCTCAAAAGTTAAAAGTGAATAGATCTTAGACATGTTTAGATTCTGGTACTTTTGAGCTTTGTCCATTTCATGTGTTTAGGTAATGAACGTGGTAGATAAAACACTCAAAACCGTTGTTCAGTTTAGGATCTAAACACAATTTTAAACACGTTTTGATCTATACATCATCGTTTATCATCGTTTAGAAGTCCAGTGCGTGTTTAATACCAAAACACATGTTTGGGAATGATCTCTGATCAATGTCCATTCTTGTCCAGTGGACAGCATTGGGCTTGGCGTTGTAAGACTAACCACTGAATACCTGAGTGTATGTCCTCATAGGTTACCAATAGTCAGGTGACGTTGTCTGTCGGTGTCGACGAAGTTTGGACGTTGACGACAGTGAAGACAGGAAACAAGGGAAGCTACCCTCGTCCACCACAACCTAAGGCGTTCCCTCTACCCTATCAAGATGACTTCGAAGGTGCGTCGTGGATGAAGCATGCTGCAGCATCGGATTTAGTTGTCTGGGATTGGTGATGTAGCCTGGTGATCAGACCCGGGTTGTCCAGGAGCGGTGACGTAGCCTAGTGATTAGAAACGGGTTAGAGAGGGGTGGTGACGTAGCCTAGTGATTAGACCCGTGTTGTAGAGGGGTGGTGATGTAGCCTAGTGATTAGACCCGGGTTGTAAATTGGTGGTGATGTAGCCTAGTGATTAGACCCGGGTTGTAAATTAGCGGTGATGTAGCCTAGTGATTAGACCCGGGTTGTAAAGGATTGGTGATGTAGCCCAGTGATTAGACCCGGGTTGTAGAGGGGTGGTGCTGTAGCCTGGTGATTAGACCCGGGTTGTTAAGGAGTGGGGATGTAGCCAAGTGATTAGACCCGGGTTGTAAATTGGTGGTGATGTAGCCTAGTGATTAGACCCGGGTTGTAAATTGGTGGTGATGTAGCCTAGTGATTAGACCCGGGTAGTAAATTGGTGGTTATGTAGCCTAGTGATTAGACCCAGGTTGTAAATGAGTGGGGATGTAGCCAAGTGATTAGACCCGGGTAGTAAATTGGCGGTGATGTAGGCTTGTGATTAGACCCGAGTTGTAAAGGAGCGGTGATGTAGGCTAGTGATTAGACCCGGGTTGTCCAGGAGCGGTGACGTAGCTTAGTGATTAGACCCAGGTTGTAAAGGAGTGGGGATGTAGCCTAGTGATTAGACCCGGGTTGTAAAGGGGTGGTGATGTAGCCAAGTGATTAGACCCAGGTTGTAAAGGGGTGGTGATGTAGGCTAGTGATTTGACCCGGGTTGTAAAGGGGTGGTGATGTAGCCAAGTGATTAGACCCAGGTTGTAAAGGGGTGGTGATGTAGCCTAGTGATTATACCCAGGTTGTAAAGGGGTGGTGATGTAGCCTAGTGATTAGACCCAGGTTGTAAAGGGGTGGTGATGTAGCCTAGTGATTAGACCCAGGTTGTAAAGGGGTGGTGATGTAGGCTAGTGATTTGACCCGGGGTGTAGAGGGGTGGTGATGTAGCCTAGTGATTAGACCCTGGTTTCAAAGGGATGGTGGTGTAGCCTAGTGATTAGACCCAGGTTCTACTCCCCACAGCGCGTGAAGCCCATTTCTGTCGTCATATGGCTGGATTATTGCTAAAACGACATAAAACCATACTCGCATTGTGGTCCGTGCTTGAACTACCACTAAGTATAGTCTCTAAGTATTTGAATGGCGGACAGCTAAAAATAAGAACACTTGTTTTGTCATGAAACTCCCATTTTCCATACAAATAGTATCGCTTTGCATCATTATTCTTCGTTCAAGGATACGAGGTTTCCATGGAGCCTCATAATCTTGCCCAGCAGTTGGGTTCGTTCGAAGTCGTGGCGGAGGACAACAACAAGTTCCTTCGTCAGATGGTTCTAACGCAGCCCCTGATGTGGTGCCACAACTCGGCGGAACACATGCTCAACAAGAGCTTCAATGTCATTGGCGATTACAGTTGGTAAGAGACTGAACATAGTAATCAGAGATAACTACGGTGCCACATACACCATCTGTCAAACTCTAGATCTGTAACTAAATAAACCTCATAAAAATGGGGAATTCTACCACTTTGGGCATTTCTGGGTAATGAACATAAGGTTAACATTATAGGCGAGCTTTAAATACAATAAAGCACATACGATGATGGAAGTACCTAGACAACATAAGATGATGGGAGCACCTAGACAACATACGATGATGGGAACACCTGGACAACATACGATGAGGGGAGCACCTAGACAGCATACGATGATGGGAACACCTCGACAACATACGATGGTGGGAGCAGCTAGACAACAATAATATGATGGGAGCACCTAGACAACAAAGGGTGATGGGAGCACCTAGACAACATAAGATGCTGGGAGCACCTAGACAACATAAGATGATGGGAGCACCTAGACAACATAAGATGATGGGAGCACCTAGACAACATACGATGATGGGAGCACCTAGACAACATACGATGATGGGAGCACCTAGACAACATACGATGATGGGAGCACCTAGACAACATACGATGATGGGAGCACCTAGACAACATACGATGATGGGAGCACCTAGACAACAAAGGGTGATGGGAGCACCTAGACAACAATAAGATGATGGGAGCACCAAGACAACATACGATGATGGGAGCACCTAGACAACATAAGATGATGGGAGCACCTAGACAACAATAAGATGATGGGAGCACGTAGACAACATACGATGATGGGAACACCTGGACAACATACGATGATGGGAGTACCTAGACATCATACGATGATGGGAGCACCTGGACAACATACGATGATGGAGGCACCTAGACAACATTCTTTGATTAGATCCACCAGGACCGCATTAAAACATTGGATCCACAAGGAACACATTACATGACTGGATCTCTGAATCACTGACCAAATACGATCGCTGATCAGAGACCCTGGAGGACATTGCATTGTTTGCTGAACGTGAGACCCATGGTCAATCCATTTTAGAACTTAGGTAGGCAACAAACAAACACGTTACATTTTATGTAAACTGTGTGGGGACCGGGCTTACCATAGTCGCGAACACCGTTCATATAGTTTTCAACGCTAGCTTGGCTTTTACGCCCCGTGGAATCGGTGGATAATCGAGACTGGTGATTCTCTGGTGTTGACGTTTTATGATTGAGTATCATGGGTGAACCTACAGTTAATTTGAGGAGCGTAACCATGTTTCATACTTACCATAAAGAATTCTTTGAGGGGTACATGGTAGTGGCTACATACATGTATGTACCAAGCTGCAAAACATACATAATTTAAACCACACTTTCTTTGTTAGGACAGAACGTTTCAAGACGACTTGTTGCCCTCTGATATGCCTGTAATGTACCACGGTTTATGTGGACTTTTATAGTAGAAACGAAACGGATTTTAAAAAGTGTTAAACAAAAAGTGGGCTGTTTCAGGGAGAATGTTTCCATCCAAGTAGATGTCCGTCTCAGTCCAGTTAACGACACTAAGGGCGTGTTTCTGGGAGCAAGGGTGAACCAGGGAGGCTGTGTGTCATACGACACCACCGGCGTCTTCTTCTTCGTATTCCCCGATGACAACTTCTACATCCTCTCACAGGACCTGAGTAAGTCTCTCTACATGTAACAGTGATCTACATCATCTCACACGACCTGTGTTAGTCTTACACCCCTCTACATGATCTCACACGATCTGTGTAAGTCTTACATCTCTCTACATGATCTCACGAGACCTGTGTAAGTCTTACTCCTCTCTACATGATCTCACACGATCTGTGTAAGTCTTACATCTCTCTACATGATCTCACAAGATCTGTGTAAGTCTTACACCTCTCTACATGATCTCACACGACCTGTGTAAGTCTTACATCTCTCAACATGATCTCACACGACCTATGTAAGTCTTACACCTCTCTACATGATCTCACACGACCTATGTAAGTCTTACATCTCTCTACATCATCTCACTCGATCTGTGTAAGTCTAACATCTCTCTACATGATCTCACACGACCTGTGTAAGTCTTACTCCTCTCTACATGATCTCACACGACCTGTGTAAGTCTTACTCCTCTCTACATCATCTCACACGACCTGTGTAAGTCTTACATCTCTCTACATGATCTCACACGATCTGTGTAAGTCTTACATCTCTCTACATGATCTCACACGATCTGTGTAAGTCTTACATCTCTCTACATGATCTCACACGATCTGTGTAAGTCTTACACCCCTCTACATGATCTCACACAATCTCTGTAAGTCTTACACCTCTCTACATAATCTCACACGACCTGTGTAAGTCTTACATCTCTCTACATGATCTCACACGACCTGTGTAAGTCTTACTCCTCTCTACATAATCTCACACGACCTGTGTAAGTCTTACATCTCTCTACATGATCTCACACGACCTGTGTAAGTCTTACATCTCTCTACATGATCTCACACGACCTGTGTAAGTCTTACATCTCTCTACATGATCTCACACGACCTGTGTAAGTCTTACTCCTCTCTACATGATCTCACACGACCTGTGTAAGTCTTACATCTCTCTACATGATCTCACACGACCTGTGTAAGTCTTACATCTCTCTACATCATCTCACTCGATCTGTGTAAGTCTTACTCCTCTCTACATGATCTCACACGATCTGTGTAAGTCTTACTCCTCTCTACATGATCTCACTCGATCTGTGTAAGTCTAACATCTCTCTACATGATCTCACACGATCTGTGTAAGTCTTACATCTCTCTACATGATCTCACACGACCTGTGTAAGTCTTACTCCTCTCTACATAATCTCACACGACCTATGTAAGTCTTACATCTCTCTACATGATCTCACACGACCTGTGTAAGTCTTACTCCTCTCTACATGATCTCACACGATCTGTGTAAGTCTTACTCCTCTCTACATCATCTCACTCGATCTGTGTAAGTCTAACATCTCTCTACATGATCTCACACGATCTGTGTAAGTCTTACACCTCTCTACATGATCTCACACGACCTGTGTAAGTCTTACTCCTCTTTACATGATCTCACACGACCTGTGTAAGTCTTACTCCTATCTACATAATCTCACACGACCTGTGTAAGTCTTACACCTCTCTACATGATCTCACACGACCTGTGTAAGTCTTACTCCTCTCTACATGATCTCACACGACCTGTGTAAGTCTTACACCTCTCTACATGATCTCACACGACCTATGTAAGTCTTACATCTCTCTACATCATCTCACTCGATCTGTGTCAGTCTTACTCCTCTCTACATGATCTCACACGATCTGTGTAAGTCTTACTCCTCTCTACATCATCTCACTCGATCTGTGTAAGTCTAACATCTCTCTACATGATCTCACACGATCTGTGTAAGTCTTACTCCTCTCTACATGATCTCACACGACCTGTGTAAGTCTTACATCTCTCTACATCATCTCACACGACCTGTGTAAGTCTTACACCTCTCTACATGATCTCACACGATCTGTGTAAGTCTTGCATCTCTCTACATCATCTCACTCGATCTGTGTAAGTCTAACATCTCTCTACATGATCTCACACGATCTGTGTAAGTCTTACTCCTCTCTACATGATCTCACACGATCTGTGTAAGTCTTACATCTCTCTACATGATCTCACACGACCTATGTTAGTCTTACACCTCTCTACATGATCTCACACGACCTATGTAAGTCTTACATCTCTCTACATCATCTCACTCGATCTGTGTAAGTCTTACTCCTCTCTACATCATCTCACACGATCTGTGTAAGTCTTACTCCTCTCTACATGATCTCACTCGATCTGTGTAAGTCTAACATCTCTCTACATGATCTCACACGATCTGTGTAAGTCTTACATCTCTCTACATGATCTCACACGACCCGTGTAAGTCTTACTCCTCTCTACATGATCTCACACGTTCTGTGTAAGTCTTACACCTCACTACATGATCTCACACGACCTGTGTAAGTCTTACTCCTCTCTACATGATCTCACACGATCTGTGTAAGTCTTACATCTCTCAACATGATCCCACACGATCTGTGAAAGTCTTACACCTCTCTACATTATCTCACACGATCTGTGTAAGTCTTACTCCTCTCTACATCATCTCACTCGATCTGTGTAAGTCTAACATCTCTCTACATGATCTCACACGATCTGTGTAAGTCTTACACCTCTCTACATGATCTCACACGACCTGTGTAAGTCTTACTCCTCTTTACATGATCTCACACGACCTGTGTAAGTCTTACTCCTATCTACATAATCTCACACGACCTGTGTAAGTCTTACACCTCTCTACATTATCTCACACGACCTGTGTAAGTCTTACACCTCTCTACATGATCTCACACGACCTATGTAAGTCTTACATCTCTCTACATCATCTCACTCGATCTGTGTCAGTCTTACTCCTCTCTACATGATCTCACACGATCTGTGTAAGTCTTACTCCTCTCTACATCATCTCACTCGATCTGTGTAAGTCTAACATCTCTCTACATGATCTCACACGATCTGTGTAAGTCTTACTCCTCTCTACATGATCTCACACGACCTGTGTAAGTCTTACATCTCTCTACATCATCTCACACGACCTGTGTAAGTCTTACACCTCTCTACATGATCTCACACGATCTGTGTAAGTCTTGCATCTCTCTACATCATCTCACTCGATCTGTGTAAGTCTAACATCTCTCTACATGATCTCACACGATCTGTGTAAGTCTTACTCCTCTCTACATGATCTCACACGATCTGTGTAAGTCTTACATCTCTCTACATGATCTCACACGACCTATGTTAGTCTTACACCTCTCTACATGATCTCACACGACCTATGTAAGTCTTACATCTCTCTACATCATCTCACTCGATCTGTGTAAGTCTTACTCCTCTCTACATCATCTCACACGATCTGTGTAAGTCTTACTCCTCTCTACATGATCTCACTCGATCTGTGTAAGTCTAACATCTCTCTACATGATCTCACACGATCTGTGTAAGTCTTACATCTCTCTACATGATCTCACACGACCCGTGTAAGTCTTACTCCTCTCTACATGATCTCACACGATCTGTGTAAGTCTTACACCTCTCTACATGATCTCACACGACCTGTGTAAGTCTTACATCCCACTACATGATCTCACACGATCTATGTAAGTCTTACTCCTCTCTACATGATCTCACACGACCTGTGTTAGTCTTACATCTCTCTACATGATCTCACACGACCTGTGTAAGTCTTACATCTCTCTACATGATCTCACACGACCTGTGTAAGTCTTATATCTCTCTACATGATCTCACACGACCTGTGTAAGTCTTACACCTCTCTACATGATCTCACACGATCTATGTAAGTCTTACACCTCTCTACATGATCTCACACGACCTGTGTAAGTCTTACATCTCTCTACATCATCTCACTCGATCTGTGTAAGTCTTACACCTCTCTACATGATCTCACACGACCTGTGTAAGTGTTACCTCTCTCTACATGATCTCACACGACCTGTGTAAGTGTTACCTCTCTCTACATGATCTCACACGACCTGTGTAAGTCTTACACCTCTCTACATGATCTCACACGACCTGTGTAAGTCTTACATCTCTCTACATCATCTCACACGACCTGTGTAAGTCTTACTCCTCTCTACATGATCTCACACGACCTGTGTAAGTCTTACTCCTCTCTACATGATCTCACACGACCTGTGTAAGTCTTACACCTCTCTACATGATCTCACACGACCTATGTAAGTCTTACATCTCTCTACATCATCTCACACGATCTGTGTAAGTCTTACTCCTCTCTACATAATCTCACACGATCTGTGTAAGTCTTACTCCTCTCTACATAATCTCACACGATCTGTGTAAGTCTTACTCCTCTCTACATAATCTCACACGACCTGTGTAAGTCTTACTCCTCTCTACATCATCTCACACGACCTGTGTAAGTCTTACACCTCTCTACATGATCTCACACGACCTATGTAAGTCTTACATCTCTCTACATCATCTCACACGATCTGTGTAAGTCTTACTCCTCTCTACATAATCTCACACGATCTGTGTAAGTCTTACTCCTCTCTACATCATCTCACACGACCTGTGTAAGTCTTACTCCTCTCTACATGATCTCACACGACCTGTGTAAGTCTTACATCTCTCTACATAATCTCACACGATCAGTGTAAGTCTTACATCTCTCTACATCATCTCACACGACCTGTGTAAGTCTTACTCCTCTCTACATGATCTCACACGACCTATGTAAGTCTTACATCTCTCTACATAATCTCACACGACCTGTGTAAGTCTTACACCCCTCTACATGATCTCACACGACCTGTGTAAGTCTTACATCTCTCTACATGATCTCACACGACCTGTGTAAGTCTTACCTCTCTCTACATGATCTCACACGACCTGTGTAAGTCTTACTCCTCTCTACATGATCTCACACGACCTGTGTAAGTCTTACACCTCTCAACATAATCTCACAAGATCTGTGTAAGTCTTACACCTCTCTACATAATCTCACAAGATCTGTGTAAGTCTTACATCTCTCAACATGATCCCACACGATCTGTGAAAGTCTTACACCTCTCTACATTATCTCACACGATCTGTGTAAGTCTTACATCTCTCTACATAATCTCACAAGATCTGTGTAAGTCTTACATCTCTCAACATGATCCCACACGATCTGTGTAAGTCTTACATCTCTCTACATAATCTCACAAGATCTGTGTAAGTCTTACACCTCTCTACATTATCTCACACAATCTCTGTAAGTCTGACACACTCTCTACATAATCTCACAAGATCTGTGTAAGTCTTACATCTCTCTACATGATCTCACACGATCTGTGCAAGTCTTCGTTCTCTACAGGATCTCACAGGACATGTGTAAGTCTTACCTCTCTCTACATAATCTCTCACAACCTGTGTAAGTCTTACCTCTCTCTACATGATCTCACACGACCTATGTAAGTCTTACATCTCTCTACATGATCTCACACGACCTATGTAAGTCTTCGTTCTCTACAGGATCTCACAGGACATGTGTAAGTCTTACCTCTCTCTACATAATCTCTCACGACCTGTGTAAGTCTTACATCTCTCTACATGATCTCACACGACCTATGTAAGTCTTCGTTCTCTACAGGATCTCACAGGACATGTGTAAGTCTTACCTCTCTCTACATGGTCTCACGATCTGTGTAAGTCTTACATCTCTCTACATTATGTCACAGGACCTGTGTAAGTCTTATATCTCTCTACATCATCTCACGATCTGTGTAAGTCTTACATCTCTCTACATAATCCAACACGATCTGTGTAAGTCTAACATTTCTCTACATAATCTCTCGGGGGCACGGGTGGCCCAGTCGTCTAGGGCGCCGCGATTGCTGTGCAGAGTTGCGTCCCTTGGACACGCCAGAAACCTATGATTGTGGGTTCGAATCCCGGTTCGCCCCGATTATGTTTCTAGGTTTGTCAGCACCATACCCGTGCTCGTGGGTTTCACTGAAGTGGTAAACGTCTGGAGACCTGCATCACTTCGGGCTTTCCTCCCACATTAAGCTGACACGCCGCGATATAACTGGAATACTGTTAAAAGCGGCGTTAAACCCAACTCACTCACTCACTCACTTACATAATCTCTCACGACCTGTGTAAGTCTTGCTTATCTCTACATAATCTGTCACGACCTGTGTAAGTCTTGCTTATCTCTACATAATCTCACAGGACACGTATACGTATTACATCTCTCTACATATCTCTCACGACCTGAGTAACTCTTACATATCTCTACATCATATCACAGGACCTGTGTAAGTCTTACATCTCTCTACATAATCTCTCACGACCCGTGTAAGTCTTACATCTCTCTACATTAGTCAACATAATCTCTCGAGACCTCAGTAAGTCGAACAGCCATCTACATGATCTCACGGGAATGCGGTAAATCGTAGATGACACGACATGATCTCACGGGTCCTCAATACGCTGTACATTAGTCAACGTGATCTGACACGACCTCAGTAGGTTGTACGTAAATCCATATTATCTCGAGGCTGGTGGTGAAGGCGTGGGTTCGTCACACAACACAACTGAATTCTATAATCCACATGGATACAGTAGGGTGGAGCCCATTGTTTGTGTCTTGCTGACGGGAATAACGCTGAAAGTGCAGCTAAACCAATTCCCTTTCTCACACCCTCTCACAAGACACCTGACACTTTTGCATGGAAGCACAAAATCTCTTAAGGCGTACACGTATCTACAATATCTTACAGGATATCAGTAATCACAATGTAGACACAATGTTGGATCAAAAGGTAGTTTTACATAATTTGTATATTTTCTGTGTGTTTCAGTGAGGAGCCAGGTAGTGTCGACAGGCCCCATCAACTGTCGCAAAGGCTGGAACACATTCGAGCTGCGACTCTGGGTAAGTTCACAGAGAAGATGTAATGGCTTTTTAGTCACTATAGGTTGCGGTGTGTACATTTGTATGAGAACATATATACCCACACTTGTATTTATACATACACACCTGTGACTTAACTATTGTTTGAACGATCCATTACATTTTCACGAATTGACAGTAACTGTTGTTTATCATATCCTTTATGTACTCTTGGAATGAACGGAAATGTTATTTGTTTACTGTCAAGTGGATAAATTCAAATTTTGTAAGATAACATGTGTCGGCAGTGGGGTTCAAATCCATATATTATGATTTGAGGATGGGTAACACATGACCACACCTCGTGAAATGAACTATTAAATATTTCAAAGTTTGTAAATCCTGTAATAGGTATGTGTTACATTATCTCACCTGTAATTATGTTCACGTGAGAGTCATTATCTAACCCTTTGATAAAAAACAAGAACAAACAGGGGAAACATATAGTCTATTACGTGCTCAGAGCACTATCAGAAGCGATTCATACAATACTTGTTTAGGACTCCATGAAACGGCATAGATCCTTGTAGCATACGTTGTAGTCTGTCATACAGACCCTGAAACAAATATATCCAATACAGCCCATGCAAGTCTATTATATTTGGCAAGATTACTGCAGTAGCTTAAAATGAAGAACGACTCTGAGGTCCTTTTTTTTATATTTTATAACTATAATTTAACAACTGTTTTTTTGTGTAAAATATGTTCCTTTCAGAGACTAGATGTCAGTCTACATGCATTATAAAGATGCTTGGTGGATTTCTCGTGCGCATGAGCGACTCATACAGTAGAAATACAGACTGCAAAAAGTGTGGTTTATTTTGAAATACCTTGCATAAAAGAATGTTAGGGAAAGTAGGTATGTGTTTTAAGTTCGTGAACATACTGCAGGGTTTGGCGATTCATATTCACGAACCAAGTTACTCGTGTGTCCTTACTGCACGCATCACAAAAGGCTACAGCAGAGAGAAGCCCATGATGGCCACACACGAGGATCAATATTTAAGTTCCTTAAAGATGTTTGTCAGTCTTCCTTGGATTGAATTCTATTAACTAAAGCCAGTTTTACGCTTTATTGTGTTTCAGGGTACGGGAATGTTCGGCTTTGTGAATGGGCAGGAGGTGATGGCGGCACGTGCCCCGTCTCTGTCATCCAGTGGGTTCCTGGCTCTGGGTACAGACACTTATGGACTGGCGGACTTTGACAACCTCCTTCTAAAGAAGTCACAGATACTTTAACAAGTGTTAACACTGCCACTGTTATATGTTTTAATTGAAAATATGACTTGTTCCGTTTGAGGGGACCACATGCCGTACTCCTGATGCCGGGGACATCACTCCTTACCTTTTTGAGCGCTAAATTTGAAATTTTGAGTTCTTTAGACAAAGAGATACTTTAGACATCGGTATTCCTAACCGTGATCTTGAGTAATGTAACAAAGGTCCCTGTCCATAGGGTCGACAAGTGAGAGGTTAAAATTGAGACACTCTCTGGTGTTTTCTTTGTAATAAAAATGTAAGATTTAAAGAAAATATGTTTGTCAATCATATGGATATACATTTGAATTTTATCGCATAACGTTTACTTTGTTATGGATTTAATTGTAAGTGTGTGAATACAGACACTGCACAGCGTGATTTTGGTCAGTAAAAGTGTCATAGTGAGTTCTTAATTGCTGGCACCGTATTTTAATTCTTCACATAGGCGTATGTTTTTGACAACATCTAGCGCGCGCAGGCACACACGCGGATCTTCACGGGTCGTTACACATACAAGGAGCCAGACGTTGTATTAAAATACACATAAAAGAATGGTAAACTGATGTTAATGAATGCTAAGATGTTAACTGTGAATAATCCTTTCACTCCCATTTGAAATGTTTCTAGAATAGCTTCATTGTCTTTCATGTAGCAGTGATATGAGGTTCATGTTAAATCGATCACATGTCGTGAAGGGAAATAACTCTGCTTATTTTTAACTTTTGTTTCTTATAGGTTTTAGTTCCAAGTTCCAACCAGGCATGATTTTACTTATTTTTTACAGACTGAATATTTGCTTAATTACAGGTTCGGGCAGATCGAAGAGATTCAATTATGCAAATACTCAAATGTTTGGATATCGCATCACTGCTGACAGCAGTTTCTTATGAGGACATGAAATTGCACTCTCTTGTGATCGCAAATTACATTCCATGGAGATATTGTAATTGGTCTGGTGAACGGAACCTTGAGCCAACAACACTAGAATGAATGTTGAGCCACTCAGTTAGATTTCGAACATTACTGCTAAGTAAAGGTGCTCAAAGATACACACCTGATGACATTGACAATCTGTGTGAATCATGCCTCGCGAAAGCTAGAAATCTCCATTTGCTAGGCAATAATAGATTTGGTATCAGCACATTAGGCTTCCTTCAACCGATACACAATTTGCAACTTGTGTTCATGGACACGTGCACGGGTATTTCGTCAGATGAATTACTATGGCTGTCAGTATTGCCTAGAGAAGAGACATGCTGCATTTACACACATGACCTTCCGGTCTCTAGGCAGACGTTCTATCCACTTGACCACGGAGGCGGTCTTTAATCAAATATAGGTCGACCCCACTGCTGTGACCTGTATGGCCTTTGTTTATGTCACGTGACACATTGCTTTAAATACTTAAGCAAAAGTTATTGTAAGAAGGCATTCTCTTCAAATAGTTTGATTCGACATTGAACAGGATTCCTTTCAAACCCTAAACCTGATTCTTACATATAGACAGTTGAACACAGCCAGTCCCAAGGTCTGAAAGCAGGGCCACCTGGATGTGAACGTGAGAGAGTGCATTAAAGTTTAATTCAGGTTTGAAAAGTATTGTTCATAGCCTGTTCGGTTGATGAGTCTAGTTTGGGACAATGGTCTCCATATGATACATGTTGTTGACACATATCTGGGATTCTGGCCCCTACCATTTGTAGATTTGTTGTTTAATGCTGCACTCAGCAATACTCAACCTATTTGAGAGAGGCCTGAAAATATCCGTCTGGACTAGACAAACAAGTGACTGATATCATGAGTAACGTACCACATTGTTGGGGTAGGATAACATGCAGTCAAGCAAGTCATGTGCCTTACCCTGGGGAACAATAACTCAAGCTGGGAATCAGCCCGTGAAGATCCGAGTTAGAATTGATCTTCAGCAACCTATACTTGTTGTAACGGATTGGGTGGTCCCTTGCTGACTTGGTTGATGCATGTCATCATATCCCAATTAGGTAGATCGATGCTCATGTCAATCACTGGATTTTCTGGTCCAGACTAAACTATCTACAGACCACCGTCATATTGGGATATTGTTGAGTGCTACGTTAAACAACAAAAACAAACAAGGCTAGGAATCCCCTCAAGGTTTAACAACAGCTAGCGGATCCTAGCAGCAAAGGGACACAAACCTGTCAGCATCCCTAATGTGGTGTCACAATGGTGGGATATGGTCAGGCATATGCCTTTACTCTACTGGACAACTGTTGGTGAGGTCTTCCATTACAGTTCCAACAATCTCCTAATGGAAAGATGGACTGCAGCCATGCACTACTTGGAAACTGACGGCTCCGTGGTCTAGCGGATGGAGCATTTTCCCCCAAGGCGAGTCATGCCAAAAGACGTTAGAAAATGGTACTTGTTACCATGCGTGACGCTCGACCAGGACTCGCTCGGCTCGGAGTAGGTATACTGTGTCTGAGAGGGGTATTCATGTTAAACTGCAGCATGGTATCTCAGCTGCTAGCACTATGAAACCGGCGTCTGGTCAAGTACAAGCAGCCATACACACAGCATCTTCCCACGCTATATAAGTGCAGTAACCTTGTACGCCACGTTAAAAACTCATTTCATCTCAGCTCTGTTGAGTTCCATAATGTTCAGTTTTATTCATGAATGGACAGGTGTGCACCTTCTGGTGGCCTGACTCTAGGTCACATGTTATATCATGCATGGAGATTTGTGGTCTCCATACACTAACCACTCACACCAGCCAGACCCCATACATTCACCACTCACACCAGCCAGGTCCCATACATTCACCACTCACCCCAGCCAGACCACATACACTAACCACTCACACCAGCCAGAACCCCGTACATTCACCACTCACACCAGCCTGGCCCCACACATTCACCACTCACACCAGCCAGGTCCCATACATTCACCACTCACACCAGCCAGAACCCCACACATTCACCACTCACACCAGCCTGGCCCCACACATTCACCACTCACACCAGCCAGGTCCCATACATTCACCACTCACACTAGCCAGAACCCCGTACATTCACCACTCACACCAGCCAGAACCCCGTACATTCACCACTCACACCAGCCAGGCCCCACACATTCACCACTCACACCAGCCAGGTCCCAGACATTCACCACTCACACCAGCCAGAACCCCGTACATTCACCACTCACACCAGCCAGAACCCCGTACATTCACCACTCACACCAGCCAGAACCCCGTACATTCACCACTCACACCAGCCAGACACCACACATTCACCACTCACACCAGCCAGGTCCCATACATTCACCACTCACACCAGCCAGAACCCCGTACATTCACCACTCACACCAGCCAGAACCCCGTACATTCACCACTCACACCAGCCAGACACCACACATTCACCACTCACACCAGCCAGGTCCCATACATTCACCACTCACACCAGCCAGAACCCCGTACATTCACCACTCACACCAGCCAGGCCCCACACATTCACCACTCACACCAGCCAGGTCCCAGACATTCACCACTCACACCAGCCAGAACCCCGTACATTCACCACTCACACCAGCCAGAACCCCGTACATTCACCACTCACACCAGCCAGAACCCCGTACATTCACCACTCACACCAGCCAGAACCCCGTACATTCACCACTCACACCAGCCAGACACCACACATTCACCACTCAATCCAGCCAGGTCCCATACATTCACCACTCACACCAGCCAGAACCCCGTACATTCACCACTCACACCAGCCAGAACCCCGTACATTCACCACTCACACCAGCCAGACACCACACATTCACCACTCACACCAGCCAGGTCCCGTACATTCACCACTCACACCAGCCAGAACCCCGTACATTCACCACTCACACCAGCCAGGCCCCACACATTCACCACTCACACCAGCCAGACACCACACATTCACCACTCACACCGGCCAGGACCCATACATTCACCACTCACACCAGCCAGGCCCCACACATTCACCACTCACACCAGCCAGAACCCCGTACATTCACCACTCACAGCAGCCAGGTCCCATACATTCACCACTCACACCAGCCAGAACCCATACATTCATCACTCACACCAGCCTGGTCCCATACATTCACCACTCACACCAGCCAGGCCCCACACATTCACCACTCACACCAGCCAGGCCCCACACATTCACCACTCACACCAGCCAGACCCCATACATTCACCACTCACACCAGCCAGGTCCCAAACATTCACCACTCACACCAGCCAGGCCCCACACATTCACCACTCACACCAGCCAGGTCCCAAACATTCACCACTCACACCAGCCAGGCCCCACACATTCACCACTCACACCAGCCAGACCCCATACATTCACCACTCACACCAGCCAGACCCCATACATTCACCACTCACACCAGCCAGGTCCCATACATTCACCACTCACACCAGCCAGGCCCCACACATTCACCACTCACACCAGCCAGACACCACACATTCACCACTCACACCAGCCAGGTCCCGTACATTCACCACTCACACCAGCCAGGCCCCACGCATTCACCACTCACACCAGCCAGGTCCCGTACATTCACCACTCACACCAGCCAGGCCCCACGCATTCACCACTCACACCGGCCAGGACCCATACATTCACCACTCACACCAGCCAGGCCCCACACATTCACCACTCACACCAGCCAGACCCCACACACTAACCACTCACACCAGCCAGGCCCCACACATTCACCACTCACACCAGCCAGAACCCCACACATTCACCACTCACACCAGCCAGGCCCCACACATTCACCACTCACACCAGCCAGGTCCCATACATTCCCCACTCACACCAGCCAGAACCCCATACATTCACCACTCACACCAGCCAGGCCCCACACATTCACACTCACACCAGCCAGAACCCCGTACATTCACCACTCACACCAGCCAGACCCCACACATTCACCACTCACACCAGCCAGGTCATTTAGGAAACTTGTTGGCTATCTTGAAATTGGCGGCCATCTTGAATTTTTGCAGATTTGTCAATAGTTGAAAACATTCAGTAGTTGTGAAGATCTTTTTAGAAACATATTATGGCTATTTCGCAACACAACACATCTTTTCATCAAAACATTGAACATCTGAATTATGGAAGATATATTGATAATTGGTGGCCATATTGGATTGTGCAAATAAGACATATTTCCCAAACTAGGATTGCTTGGGACTTTTAGGATGTTGTTTTGGGGACCTTGTAGAAATGCATTGTGGTGAAATGTTGCAATGTGTTACAAGTTGAAACACAAGAGTGAAAAAATGGCCTAGATTGCCTGGACTACAGCACAGCCCTGGTTTATAAACCAGTAAATGTAGCTCAGATGTGACTTTTCAGGCTCAGCATAGCAGGATCATTACAAACTCGTATTCCTTAGAGTAATTACATTTATTTGATGAAGGTAGAAAATATATGTAAGGATTTGTGTGGAAATAAAATCATCAACAAACGATTAAAACATACACACATGGTACTATGCACCAACAAAACCAACAAAATAAACATTTGTTTACCTGGTTCAAAAGAATTGTACATCCAGTACAAAAATAATTTCAGAATGATTTCCACTTTTCATTATCTTATCCATGTTAACTGAATATTGAGGTATATCTATGTAGTGACACTTCAGGTCTTAGCAGGCACCAATTCACATGATATAATATCACAGATTTGACATCTGTACAATGTAATATAACATTCTCAAACAACCATATGTTACAGCTCAACACCGACAAGCCACAACCACACATCATATAAACCCACAAGAACTTTTAAAAGTGATATGAAACACATGGAATGTCTTTGTTTTCTTGAGACAGCATACACCTTGAATATGTTTTATACATAAGCATTTTGAAGTAGTACTTGGCATCATAAACATAACTTTGCGACATTTCAGTGACAAAAATGCATTAATCATGATTGTGCTATACTGGCATAAAGTGTGACCTGAGATTGTTTGGATACACAACAGGTCAAGTTTGTGCAGTAAACACAAAATCCCAAACCTGGACATCCTCCTGTGATGCATAAACATAGGTAAGAGTAGGCCATAGAGTATTGTATGATGTAGCCGTATATATCAGGTATTGCACAACAGTCATCATGTATATGGTCACAAAGAAATGGGCATTAATAAATCCCCATCAATTATACTAGTAATCAGTGTAGGCACATACATAAAAAAATAGGTATCTAAAAAAAAGAAAGATTTCCAGTTATTTTCCTTTCATGAATCAAGTTTGAAGCATATGTACAGCTAAGCTGACCTGACATCAGTGACCTCCAGGTACAAAATATAACTTTGTATCCTCTTTCTTCATGTGGTGTAACTCATGCAGTCGATCCTCAACAGATGTAATTTTGAGATTGTCAAAGTCAGCAAGGCCCCAAGAATCTGTTCCGAGTCCGACAAATCCACTTGTGGGGCTGCTAGGCACAGTGTGGTTAAACAGACTGTTCCCATTCAACATTCCAGATGCAACTGTGCCCTAGAAACATCAAATAACATTTTTATGAATATGGAACTTCCAAGTGGATTGTTTAATTTGCATTGTAAAGGTCATTAGGCTAAAAGCAGTAAAGGAAAGCTGGGCTGAGGACATTTAGCAATCCTAGCTAGTCTCCTTGTTTGTCAGGGCCCCGTTCCACAAACCAATCATAGCTCTAAGACCATCGTAACTCCCATACTTTTAATGCAGACTTACAACAGTCGTAGTGCTTGCTTTGTGGAACGGGGCCCTGCTCAATCCAAGTTTACTATGTGTGCCAATCCTGAATCTACCAGTTACTGATCACCCTAATTACAATCAGACAATATCTCAGTCTCATGGCATACAATGGTCAACACCTGCGCAAGAGCAGCAGAACATGGAATTAGTCACACCTTGAAGTCATCTCAAACACAGGACTGATGACTGTCACTCCACAACACAGACACAGGACTGATGGCTGTGTACTGTGGAAATAGTCACCTCACAACACAGACTGATGACTGTCACCGCTTACCACAGACACAGGACCGATGACTGTGTACTGTGGAAATAGTCACCCCACAACACAGACTGATGACTGTCACCGCTTACCACAGACACAGGACCGATGGCTGTGTACTGTGGAAATAGTCACCCCACAACACAGACTGATGACTGTCACCGCTTACCACAGACACAGGACTGATGACTGTGTACTGTGGAAATAGTCACCCCACAACACAGACTGATGACTGTCACCGCTTACCACAGACACAGGACTGATGACTGTGTACTGTGGAAATAGTCACCCCACAACACAGACTGATGACTGTCACCGCTTACCACAGACACAGGACTGATGACTGTCACCGCTTACCACAGACACAGGACTGATGACTGTCACCGCTTACCACAGACACAGGACTGATGACTGTCACCCCACACCACAGACACAGGACTGATGACTGTCACCCCACAACACAGACACAGGACTGATGACTGTCACCCAACAACACAGACACAGGACTGATGACTGTCGCCCCACAACACAGACACAGGACTGATGACTGTCACCCCACAACACAGACACATGACTGATGACTGTCACCCATCACCACAGACACAGGACTGATGACTGTCACTCCACAACACAGACACAGGACTGATGACTGTCACCCAACAACACAGACACAGGACTGATGACTGTCGCCCCACAACACAGACACAGGACTGATGACTGTCACCCCACAACACAGACACATGACTGATGACTGTCACCCATCACCACAGACACAGGACTGATGACTGTCACTCCACAACACAGACACAGGACTGATGACTGTCACCCCTCACCACAGACACAGGACTGATGACTGTCACCCCACACCACAAACTCAGGACTGATGACTGTCACCCCACACCACAGACACAGGACTGATGACTGTCACCCCACAACACAGACACAGGACTGATGACTGTCACCCCTCACCACAGACACAGAAATGATGGCTGTCACCCAACAACACAGACACAGGACTGATGACTGTCACCTCACAACACAGACACAGGACTGATAACTGTCATTTCACAACACAGACACAGGACTGATGACTGTCACTACTCAACACAGACACAGAAATGATGGCTGTCACCCAACAACACAGACACAGGACTGATGACTGTCACCTCACAACACAGACACAGGACTGATAACTGTCACTTCACAACACAGACACAGGACTGATGACTGTCACTACTCAACACAGACACAGGACTGATGGCTGTCACTCCACAACACAGACACAGGACTGATGACTGTCACCCAACAACACAGACACAGGACTGATGACTGTCACCTCACAACACAGACACAGGACTGATAACTGTCACTTCACAACACAGACACAGGACTGATGACTGTCACTACTCAACACAGACACAGAAATGATGGCTGTCACTACTCAACACAGACACAGGACTGATGGCTGTCACTCCACAACACAGACACAGGACTGATGACTGTCACCCCTCACCACAGACACAGGACTGATGACTGTCACCTCACAACACAGACACAGGACTGTTAACTGTCACCCCTCACCACAGACACAGGACTGATGACTGTCACTCCACAACACAGACACAGGACTGATGGCTGTCACCCAACAACACAGACACAGGACTGATGACTGTCACTCCACAACACAGACACAGGACTGATGACTGTCACCCCTCACCACAGACACAGAAATGATGGCTGTCACCCATCACCACAGACACAGGACTGATGACTGTCACTCCACAACACAGACACAGGACTGATGACTGTCACCCAACAACACAGACACAGGACTGATGACTGTCACCTCACAACACAGACACAGGACTGATAACTGTCACTTCACAACACAGACACAGGACTGATGACTGTCACTACTCAACACAGACACAGGACTGATGGCTGTCACTCCACAACACAGACACAGGACTGATGACTGTCACCCCTCACCTCAGACAAAGAAATGATGGCTGTCACTACTCAACACAGACACAGGACTGATGACTGTCACCCCTCACCACAGACACAGAAATGATGACTGTCACCCCTCACCACAGACACAGGACCGATGGCTGTCACTACTCAACACAGACACAGGACTGATGACTGTCACCCCTCACCACAGACACAGGACTGATGACTGTCACTACTCAACACAGACACAGGACTGATGACTGTCACCTCACAACACAGACACAGGACTGATAACTGTCACCCCTCACCACAGACACAGGACTGATGACTGTCACCCAACAACACAGACACAGGACTGATGACTGTCGCCCCACAACACAGACACAGGACTGATGACTGTCACCCAACAACACAGACACAGGATTTATGACTGTCACCCAACAACACAGACACAGGATTTATGACTGTCACCTCACAACACAGACACAGGACTGATCACTGTCACCCCTCACCACAGACACAGGACTGATGACTGTCACCCAACAAAACAGACACAGGACTGATGACTGTCGCCCCACAACACAGACACAGGACTGATGACTGTCACCCAACAACACAGACACAGGATTTATGACTGTCACCCAACAACACAGACACAGGATTTATGACTGTCACCCAACAACACAGACACAGGACTGATGACTGTCACTCCACAACACAGACACAGGACTGATGACTGTCACCCCACAACACAGACACAGGACTGATGACTGTCACCCCACAACACAGACACAGGACTGATGACTCTCACCCCACAACACAGACACAGGATTGATGATTGTGTAAGTCATAAAAAGCCTACTGTCCACAACAAATTTCAAACTTCTCAAGAGATTTCCATAAATTACGGAAGGATATCAGATGTGTTCCTCTGCCAGATGACTAGCCTTTTCACTCTCAACTATCAAATACAAAATATTTCAGCTTCATAAATCCAGAGCTTACTGAGGACAAGGGTATGTGAAGATTACAGGACACAACATACAGAGCTACCATACTTCACATCAGAATGACATCACCTGGAGAAGGAGTGACGTACCTTTACCATGAGTGACACCTTGTTCCAATCCGTCTCCACCTCGCCCAGCTCACCGCTTGTGATGACTGATGTTCGAGCTGCATTTGGGGAGAAAAATACGTAGGCAATATAGCAAAGGAATTGGTCTCACGGCTGTCCACTGGTCTATATTCATAGTATTTAACTTTTTCTAAGATACATGTATACATTTTAAGAATTTAGGTGATGTGTGTGGGGGCATTCTGTTGCGCAAGGTGCTACCACACCAAATTCAAACTACCGAGACATAAAGGGAAATAACACTGCATGTTTAGTGAAAAATATAATATAATTGATAATTAAGAGTTTTTAAATATTTATTCGCCTGTGGATAAAAGGATCATCTATAAGAAAATATAAATGCTTCTGTAAGTTAGTGTGCTATTTTCTTAGCAATTATTAAGTATGTCTGCGTTTACTATTTCTAACCTGCAGCGACATTCCATTGATGACGTCATGCAGCGCAATGACCATTTTGTGATGCCGGTAAAGAGGTGACAATGCAGATGAGGTGGTGAAATTAGGTTTGACGTTGCGTCCAAGATTATTGCACTTATATCATGTATATAGCGAAGTGCATGTAGGTGTGTGTGTCTGCTTGTACTAGTCCGGACTGATGCCGATTTTTAGTGCTAGCACACTAAGATACAGTAAGACACAGTATACTGATTCCGAGCTGACCAGTCTCTGTTTAGCCCCTTAATGCTGAGAGCCAGACAGGGTAAAAACAAGTACCAAGTTTTAACGTCTATTGGTATGACCCTGGACCTTCTTCTCTCCAGGCAGACGCTCTACCACTAGACCACGGAGGTGGTCGGTTACAATGCAGTGACGTCGTGTTTACAAAGAATGTTTTGGCACTACTCCCATTTGCAATAGCAGTCAGCAATATGTGATAATATTACTGAGTCAAACCAGCGGTTGATAGCATGAGCAAATGTAGGGGGCTGATGATACACAATCAGCCAGGTAAGAGATAGTTACACCGGATTACAATTAACTCTGTCCTAACAACAAGCATGAGGTTCTATGGACATACACAGCTCATGATCCTGACAGAGAAAAGAGAAATCATGATTAGGAACACACCTAGGTCATTGGCCAGGATGTAGCTTTTAGTTTGGGGGAAGACATATAGGAATATTCCCGTGGAGGAGAAGGCGTCACAGCCTCCCTTGTCGACCCGGGCAGCCAGGAACACGCCATTGGTTCCATTCACTCCGCCCAGTCGGACGTCCACCTCAGCGTATATATCGGTCCTGCACGGAACATCACAAATACACACATGATGAGCATCGGTTTAATTTACATCAAATAACTTCACAAATATATTTTAGGTGTCACTTTTTTCAAATTAAATAAATCTTAACCAAACAAATCCAAAGTGTGAGCACCTGTTGTGTGACTTCATTATCAAATGATCTTCAAATGTAAATGTTGAGGTAAACATAGTAGATGACATATCTATCACCTGTTCTCTCATTCATTACCATCTGAATATCATGTTTGACATATTTGACAATGGAAGAAAACCACATAATATAATTTGAGGCAAGTTTTTTCATGTTTCCTTATGTTCATAATTTACAACTGATGCTTTCCATCTAAATCATAGTTTTTATATAAATTATGATATATCAATATATTTATTCCAAATGAAAATTCATCAGTTTAGCTAAAATACAAAGAGAGCACAAATCATGCAGATTCACTTCAGCAACCAGTGATATAGCAACAATAGATGTTCTACCTTAGAGTACACCACAATTGTTAAATTGCTGCTATTGTAGACATATGCATTGCCATCTGTTCAGTTCAGCAACAGAGTGTGCTGTTGTGGCTGTACACGACTCTTGGCTACAGTCCAGCACTAGGTCACTCCACCGTCGCTGTTGTCGCTGCTGACTTTAGTTAACCTAAGCATATATCGTGATTTGTGAGCCTAATTCTACCCAGGTAGTATCAGATCTATGTCAAATGTCCCTAGTTCAGGAAAACAGACAGTACACATGTGCAGGGCTGTGAACAGTTGGGTGAATGCTGGAGTGGACCGAGTGGCAGGCCGACATCAGCACTACAGCATCCCATAGGAGGTGTCGGGTGGGGATCTAATCTTACCTAATTTGAAAATGGGTTGCAAAATTCCGTTCCCTATCAGTTTTGTTGTAAACAAATGAACTAAAAAGGTGTTAGCATTAAAGACAAAAACAAAGGACCCCCATCTCCATCATAGTCTGAATATCCCCAAAACTTTGTTTGCGAGCCAATGAATGACGTCAATCATGTAACCTGCTATGGCTTAAGCAATGGCTTAATTACCTTGGAGAAAAATTAAGCAAACATTTCCAATACGTGACTGACACAGGTTATAAACCGTGGGTCGACTCCTGCCATCATGTCCGTTCAACAGACAGCTTGCATTTTTCCTCAACCAAGCCGTTACATAGTCACAGTTAGTGAGTATGTTTTTGTGCTGTTTTTAGCCATATCTAAGCAATATCCTGGAGAGGTACAAAGCTACAGTTAGTAAGACTGTGTTATGATTGGTAAAATTAAACTGTAAGCTGCTGCTCAACTGTCGTACAATTGTGCAGTTCAACCTTGCACTTGCAATTCTACTTTCCTGTTAGGCCTATTACTATTACAGTTCACCTCATCAAGTTTTACTATCTTAAACTTGCAACTACAGCCACAGAGTTTTACTACAGCTAATCCCTTCAGTCATAACTGTCCCAGAGTAGGCGCTACAGTGAGAGGATTGAGTTTTACTACAGCTAATCCCTTCAGTTATAACTGAAACAGACCAGTTGGGAGATCCAAACATATATGTACTACATTTGCTACAGTTGAACACACCAGTTGGGAGATCCCTACATATATGGACTACATTTGCTACAGTTGAACACACCAGTTGGGAGATCCTACATATATGGACTACATTTGCTACAGTTGAACACACCAGTTGGGAGATCCCTACATATATGGACTACATTTGCTACAGTTGAACACACCAGTGGGGAGATACTACATATATGTACTACATTCACTACAGTTGAACACACCAGTTGGGGGATCCCTACATACAACATTTGCTACAGTTGAACACACCAACTATGAGATCCCTACATATATGTACAATATTCGCTACAGTTGAACGCACCAGTTGGGGGATCCCTACATACAACATTCGCTACAGTTGAACGCACCAGTTGGGAGATCCTACATGTATATACTACATTCACTACAGTTGAACACACCAGTTGGAGATCCCTACATATATGTACAATATTCGCTAAAGTTGAATGCACCAGTTGGGAGATCCTACATGTATATACTACATTCACTACAGTTGAACGCACCAGTTGGAGTTCCCCCCTATGGTAATGGGATAGTCTAGGTTTATGGGGCACCAGGCAATGGGCGCGGTGAGTACAACTTGTCTCATCACTTGACGGTGGGTGAGGTCGGAGGTATTGTGGACTTCAAAACACCCGACTTGCGGCACCAGGTTGAAGGGTTCCTCCTGCTCACGGTACACTGAGGAGACAAGCAGACATCGCACTTACCATCAGGAAGACCACGACCCACTTGCACAACGAGACCTTAGCACTACCGTACATCGATGTCAGAGGATGGGAATCACGATCGTTGTAGCACTAAGATCGCTTTGTACAAGTGGGTCCTGGACCTACATTACCTCCCTTACACTAACTGAAGCTTTCCATAAACAGGCAACTCTTTGTCTGAAGAAGAGAGTGCAAGAGAATACAGCGGAACCTGTCAAAATCACACTTAAATTGCCCACTAAACTGGATCAGTTATCACTCAAAGATCCTGGCATTTCTCAGTTGATTATAATGACACATTTATTTATATTTATATATTTATTGTTTGATGCCATAGTCAGCAATATTCCAGCTCTATGACGGAGGTGAGTTAATTATCAAGTCTCACAGAAAAACCATTGATCACAAGTAATGTACCATGACATCAAGGTACGACGAGATGCTTTCAACCAATCCACTTGATCCATTAGCTGCCTTTTGCTACAGGCCTAGGTTGCTGGGGACCGATTCTAACTTGGAATCTCTATGACTGTACAGCACAAGAACAGTGGCAGCCATATTGGAATACAATGACATCAACTTGTTTCAGCATCTACACATCTAAACTTTCTGTAACAAGTGTGTCTGTTATGACAGATTCCGTTGTATTGCAGATCAGAGCAGTGTACATAAACTCCACTTGGGAGAGAAGAATGGTTGTTTGCCAAGCAGCAGCAATAGAGAAAGGTGCAAAGCAACAGAGGTGACAGGCAGATATAGGGTAGTGTTGCGAAACTAGTATGCACCGAACAGGGTTAATAGGGAAGAAAGTAAACAAATGACACTAGTGTGAGTGAAAAGTGATCAGCTAAAGCATGGGATGTTCAGAACTAGCTGCAGTAACCATATCTCTGTGATGCTCCCTAACATCCATTTTGATAATACAGACACAGACATACAGGCTGTTTCATAGTGTATCCTCATAGATTCCTGAATTGGAACAGACTGCACTAACAACCCTACCGGCCATAATGTACATGAACCGCAATTCCATGAAAATCGAAACATGATTCACTTCCCAAAACCGTTGCCTTCAAATGTGTACTTATACCTTCGATCCTGCAACTTTCATTGTAGTTCTTGGGTTGAAATCATATTGAGTGGTGACTGATTTGTGCAAAGATATACTGCCACTGACTCGATTTCTACTTGGATCATATTTCAGCACAGTATGCTATTCAGTGACCCTTGCAGTAGCTCAGTTACTAAACAGAAACCTTATTTTCTTGATGGCAGTATTTAAACTGAGGTCTTAAAACCATGTAACCAACATCCAACCCAGGAATCAACAACAGATGGCCCCAGTATCAATACTTTTGGATACTATGGTACCTTCAGGGTTAATTATAACCAAGTATTGGTCAACCCTCTTTTACATGTTTTTTCACAGAATAGGAAGCCAATGTGTAATGACAGAAGATGACAAATTTTAGTTTTAAGTGGAATGCCTTCAGTTCTGACCACCATCATAGTAAAGCAGCTTAGTAAACTCGGTGTTGCATTCTAGAGATATTTGTCAACATGCATTGTAATAGGTTGACAATACTGAGCTACAGATACTTCGTGTGTTTTTGCACTCCAGATAACGATGAGAAAAACAACAAGGGAGATAACCCTGTCATGGGTGCCTTTTATCTTGTATCAATAACAACACAAGTCAGCACGTTAGTAAGAACTTAATTGATTTTGCAAAAATTAGATGTCAATTTAAAAAAACAATTTAAATTTTACTACAATTCATGTTAATTTCACTAATATCACAATGATTTCGCAATATGACATTTCACACATAACTACAGTCAATCACCGTTGTTTCAACTTTGATGTGTCGAACTTATGGTTGTCTCCAAGTAAAAGAATGGTCCCTGCGTATTCCTTTGGATGCGTCAAACCTCGGACAACTTGAAGTATTTACGTAGGTCCCTTCAACTTGGACACAACAGTGTTTGACTGTACCTATCATGTACAGATTGCCCCGAACACCCTGGCTGCTGAAGTGAATCTGGCACCGCCTCCTTCTTACCAGTTGTGTGTGCCAATGACATTAAGTGATATGTTCAGGCTCTCAGCTTGACACCACACCACGGGCTGAGCCAACACTTTCTGCCTCATCACCTTGTTGGATGCACCGTCCTGCGCAACCTCAAACACCCCCATTTGCTGGGCAAGGTTGTAAGGCTCCATAAAAATTTGATAGCCTAAATAATAGTAGGAAGAGGTATTCACATGTAAACTGGAGCTATGCCTAACTCAGGAGACTGACTGATGGGGACGTATTTGATACCTTTTGGAAACCATAACAAAGACAATTTAATGATGCAAAATAAAATCACAAAGAGCATGCATATTAAGATTCCAGATAAGTGTGAGCGAGTATGGTTTTACGCGGCTTTTAGCAATATTCCAGCAATATGATGACAGGGACACCGGGAATAGGCTTCACACATTGTACCCATGTGGGGAACCAAACCCGGGTCTTGAGCATGAAGAACGCTTTAACCGCTAGGCTACCCCAGAGGATAAGAACAAGAACAACAATTTCAACATTGGACCGAAAAATGTTCATTGAATCGGTAAGGGAGTTGGAATTTACATCGTTTTAAATAGCATCTCAGTCATGTCACAGAGCGTCAGCATGGAAGGAGGTAAGCCGTGGTCAGCCAGAAAGACAACATCATAAAAGTGATACAACTAATACTTCCAGTACAAGAAAGTGACGGGGCAATACATATTCTTTCAAAAATCTGACTTTGGTTGTTATGGCTTATATCCATTTGTCATGTTAATCAATGCTACAATATTTTGTTTCTCTAATTTACTTTTACTTTCTGTTATAGTGCTTTAAATTAAGGTCTGTTGAGACTGACAATCATCCTCATTTTTATTCCATACATTAGAACACTGTCCTGGCCACAAACAAAGAAATTTTGATTTAACTTTCTTCTATTTCTAGCCATGAGCTACATAACAGAAATGAGTTTTACCTTCAAAGTCATCTGTGTAGGGGAGGGGGAAGGGTTTGGAGGGGGGTGGGACAGTGTCAAACGCCCCCTTCTCCCCCACTTCAAGTGTGGTCAGGGTGTAGATTTCATCAGGGTTCAACTTGAGTGACGCCTTGCCGTTCACAATCTGCAGGTAGAACCAACATGACATAATGTGCATCTTCATCTTTTACTACAAACAGCTGTCTTAGTTAGACGGGAACTAATTATTAAGGTAATGTTTACTGCATATGTTTTATCTGTTGTCCAAGAATTCATGATGTCACAAACCTTGTTTGTTTGTTTAACGCTGCACTCAGCAATATTCCAAATATATGACGGCGGTCTGACAAATAATCAAGTCTGGACAAGACAATCCAGTGACCGTGATCATTAGCATTGATCCACACAATTGGGATACGATGACATGCATCCAACCGATCCTTGTTGTCGCCTCTTACAGCAAGCATGGGTTGCTGAAGACCTATTCTAACCAGGATCTTCACGGGTCTCTCAACAAACCTAACAGCTCTGAATATGAATATGTAAGTCCATTAAATATGAAAATGTACAAATACAGTATATTCACAACCCATCTGCTTCATTAAAAGTAATTTTAAATGCACCAATAGTTGCAGTGTTCCCGTTTACTGGTAATTACCAGTTTTTTACCGGTAAAATTAGGCTTACACCGGTAATTCATGTTACTGCCAGTCCCTGTGGACCAGCAAGTAAAGTACCTTATAAATCTTTGTTGTTGAACAAAACAAAGTCAGCTTGTCAGTTGCCATCTGGGTTTCCTCGTCTATTTCTAGCGCTATTAAATAACATTTCGCTTTGCTTCAAGGTTAAATATATATTTGCAGCGATTTAGTTTGAAATATAAAAAAAAAGAGAGTTGAAAGAATTAAAACCAGGTAATTTTCATGTTTTTTTCATTTGTTGAAAGTTGGGACAGACAAAAATTTGGGGGGACTGGTAATTTTTAGAGTTGCTAGTACTGGTGGACTGGCAGTTTCAAAAGCCTGCAGGAACACTTATCAAAAATTATATAACTAATCATAACAAAATGGGGGTAAATCCCAAATTAGATATGACTGATGTGAAGTCATGTCATTGAACCTGCAACAAGAGAGGAACTGTACGAGTACTGCACAGAACATCTTGCAATAGACAGGCAGCAGCTAGGGATAGGGTTCCATGTAGCAATGGCAAATTTCATATCGAGACCATTAGACTGTATAAGTTTAGACTGCATTGAAACATGACATGATAGATAGCATGGGTGTGAAATAAACTGGCAAGTGTTTCACTCCTGGTGTATCTATGTAGAGAGCGGGGTGTTTGATCATAAAAATAATACAGTTTCAGTGCCTTAATTTGGACTTGAGACTCCTCTAGTAGGACATGTATGTTTGGGTCAATAGGAAAGTGAGGAAGATACTGACCGGGAGGGTCTTCTGTTTCTCGAAGAACACGTCGGCTTCAGCTCCGAAGCTAGGCTTGCTGTACCACACGTTGAGGGCAGACAGAGCCGCCTGTAATGAGGACAGAGGATCTTCCTTCAGCTGGACACACCCTGCATCCTTACATCTGTGTAGACCCCTCCCCGAGTCACTGCCCAAATACTCAAACACCGGCTGGTTTCCTTATACAAATACTGATTACCTCAAGGATTCCCTTTAATTTTTAGAATGATGTGCTGATAATATTAACTGAGCACACTGTCCTTGATTCCATCTCATTAAAAGTCCCCTTTGGAGCCCAATAAACTACATCCCCAGTGTTCTCTTACTGCTGTGCAGAAGGTCATGCTCCATGCATATAATGTGCCAAGCACTCAAGTCTAGCAAGGATGCTTATAAATTTGGTATTCAAGTTCCCCTTATGATGACATTACACCAATACAATGTAACTACAAACTGGAATCAATTATTATTATTATTATGACACATTTAGCTGATAAGACAGCATTCATTTCAAACATGCAGTAACATTTTTCTCACATCAAAATAACTCACACCTTCTAATAACATAAAAAATAATAATACAGTCCTCATGCACAAAAGTTCCAAAATAGAATGTACTCAATCACACATTCTTGTATACTTTATCAACAGAAATATTTCTAGAAGGTTCTTCCCAAAGCCATCACCAAGTCCACACGAGTTCCACATCTATGACAAGTTTGGCTTACTACCACGACCTACTTACAAAACTGGCTTTAAAATGCATGATGACCTCTGTGGCGGTGACGTTGTATGGTAATATGGGAGGTCGGATACAGAACGAGTGTCTAAATGTCTGACATAAAATAGACAGTGTTAGAGAACGTAAGACAACAAGGTGACACAGCACTAATGGAGGACACCACACAGGATACAGGATCTTAGCGGCACTTCGCTTACAGGAATATCTTCATCATCAAGGGACAATCCATAAACAAAATTTGGTCAAAATCATAATTTTCTAAAAGATACAATATCAAATGTCCAGGGCTGCATGTTGTCACTATCCGACTAGCTTGAGTCTGTTTGTCTAGTTTCCAAGGTATCCCGAAGTCTTTATATGTTATCACAAATTGGAAAAGTAAATGTGTCAGATCAGTTCGTCCCTGGATTTCCACACACATATTTTTAGGGAAAATTTTTTATGATTTTGAAAATATTTTCCCTATAGTTCATAATTTACCCTCACTGTACTGGAACGGAACAAAAGTGAAAACCACAAATGGTCTTTGGCTAAAGTAGATGTATAAAAATAATATAAAACTAGAAATGTCCCTTCAGATCATGAAGGTGTTGCAAGGCATGTACAACCAGCAACCAGGCTCATTAGAGCATCGATTATGTTTTATTGTTTTCTAGAATATAATTAGATGCATTTCAGGAGAGAAAATGTATCTTCACACAACACAGTGGCATCTGTGAATGAGTATGTGAGTTCAGTATTGAAGGAAACCTACTTTTTCATGCCACATGGGCACCAGCTACAGACAGTATCAAGCTATGTTCAGTGACTGTTTCCCCTGTATGAAGCATGGTGTTAAGCCCTGTGTGCCAGTGTGGTACCACCAGTCAGTACTGCCTCACCTTCACCTGGTACAGATCAGTCACTTACAAAGCTGCCCTTGAACTCAATGTCCACCGTGGTTGCATTCACATTGTATGGCGGGAGAGCCGGCCGAATACACAGGGAGTGGTCATGACTCTGATAACACAAGACTTCATACAACAGCCAGGCATGGGGGTATTGGGAGGAGGTGTACTCCAGTGAAGCCTTCAGCGGGATTATGATGGCCTTTGCCAGTGACTGAATGTTGTTTTGTGCCACAGTCAGGATTATTACAGCTTTGTCATGGCAGATAACACACCAGTCAAGATCATGGGTCAGGCATGATGCTACAGAACCAGGCAGGTGACGCATCCTCATCAGTCAGCCTTTACGACAAGCATGAGATACTGGCACCTACTCCTCTCTTGAATCCCCAACATTCAAAATGATGCATTTGCAAAGTTGGATTATACACTTTGAGAACTGTTTGAGGGAAGAATTAATTATCTTGCCAATAGCCAAAATACCAAACAAATGAAAGCAAAATATTACTTCAAATCTGTGTAGGTCTATGTAAGATGTTTTCAAGTTACATTGTCTTAGATAATTAAAAGAATATATTAAGATATATTTCATACATTTATCATGTTTTTGTTAACAGAATGAGTTTAACTTATTTACCGATATTAACAAAAGTTACTGGGAACCTCCCATGTAATTATAGTAATTTATTTACTGATTAATTGATAATCCCATAACCATGGTAACAAACCAATACCAACCATGGTTTCTATGACGATAGTGAGGTCCTTCCCATCAGGACTGACCAGACCCACGTAGCTACCCCCTGTCTCCAGTTTCCCCACCCCGGCGCCATGACGGAGGTACTTCCATCCTATCTCTGTAAACTGGGTCGTGTGAGCTGAAACACAGGATGATCAATCTGATGAGGGTGTTGTCTTAGGATCTTGTAGCAAAATGGGGAATCAGAGTATTCCCCTCATTAATATACTTACCCTGACACTACAGTATGCAATATTCCTTCTTGCTTTGTTTTATAACAGTGTAAAACAAGAATCACCGAAACACGCCCTCCAACCACCACAGATACCTTGACACAAAGATCATATTATTCAAACTAATGTAGCAGGGCCTGGAGTCATCCCACAGATGACATCCTTACATTGTCAGCCTCCTGACGGGGTTAACCTCTTTGGTCATGTGGACGAGGCGTCCGACCTCTGTTCAGAAGGTCCGTGGTTCGAATCCCATCATGGGATTCGGAAATGTTATAGATTATAGAATGTCTACATAGACCCCCCTCCTGGTCTCTACCTGTAATCCATATCGGACTCTGTACTACATAGTTCCCCCTCCTGGTCTCTACCTGTAATCCATATCGGACTCTGTACTACATAGACCCCCCTCCTGGTCTCTACCTGTAATCCATATCGGACTCTGTACTACATAGACCCCCCTCCTGGTCTCTACCTGTAATCCATATCGGACTCTGTACTACATAGACCCCCCTCCTGCTCTCTACCTGTAATCCATATCGGACTCTGTACTACATAGTTCCCCCTCCTGCTCTCTACCTGTAATCCATATCGGACTCTGTACTACATAGTTCCCCCTCCTGGTCTCTACCTGTAATCCATATCGGACTCTGTACTACATAGACCCCCCTCCTGGTCTCTACCTGTAATCCATATCGGACTCTGTACTACATAGTTCCCCCTCCTGGTCTCTACCTGTAATCCATATCGGACTCTGTACTACATAGTTCCCCCTCGTGGTCTCTACCTGTAATCCATATCGGACTCTGTACTACATAGACCCCCCTCCTGGTCTCTACCTGTAATCCATATCAGACTCTGTACTACATAGACCCCCTCCAGGTCTCTACCTGTAATCCATATCAGACTCTGTACTACATAGACCCCCCTCCTGCTCTCTACCTGTAATCCATATCGGACTCTGTACTACATAGACCCCCTCCTGGTCTCTACCTGTAATCCATATCAGACTCTGTACTACATAGACCCCCTCCTGGTCTCTACCTGTAATCCATATCAGACTCTGTACTACATAGACCCCCCTCCTGCTCTCTACCTGTAATCCATATCGGACTCTGTACTACATAGACCCCCTCCTGGTCTCTACCTGTAATCCATATCAGACTCTGTACTACATAGACCCCCCTCCTGGTCTCTACCTGTAATCCATATCAGACTCTGTACTACATAGACCCCCTCCTGGTCTCTACCTGTAATCCATATCGGACTCTGTACTACATAGACCCCCTCCTGGTCTCTACCTGTAATCCATATCGGACTCTGTACTACATAGTTCCCCCTCCTGGTCTCTACCTGTAATCCATATCGGACTCTGTACTACATAGACCCCCCTCCTGGTCTCTACCTGTAATCCATATCAGACTCTGTACTACATAGACCCCCTCCAGGTCTCTACCTGTAATCCATATCAGACTCTGTACTACATAGTTCCCCCTCCTGGTCTCTACCTGTAATCCATATCAGACTCTGTACTACATAGACCCCCTCCAGGTCTCTACCTGTAATCCATATCGGACTCTGTACTACATAGTTCCCCCTCCTGGTCTCTACCTGTAATCCATATCGGACTCTGTACTACATAGTTCCCCCTCCTGGTCTCTACCTGTAATCCATATCGGACTCTGTACTACATAGACCCCCCTCCTGGTCTCTACCTGTAATCCATATCAGACTCTGTACTACATAGACCCCCTCCAGGTCTCTACCTGTAATCCATATCAGACTCTGTACTACATAGACCCCCCTCCTGCTCTCTACCTGTAATCCATATCGGACTCTGTACTACATAGACCCCCTCCTGGTCTCTACCTGTAATCCATATCAGACTCTGTACTACATAGACCCCCTCCTGGTCTCTACCTGTAATCCATATCAGACTCTGTACTACATAGACCCCCCTCCTGCTCTCTACCTGTAATCCATATCGGACTCTGTACTACATAGACCCCCTCCTGGTCTCTACCTGTAATCCATATCAGACTCTGTACTACATAGACCCCCCTCCTGGTCTCTACCTGTAATCCATATCGGACTCTGTACCATAGACCCCCTCCTGGTCTCTACCTGTAATCCATATCGGACTCTGAACTACATAGTTCCCACTCCAGGTCTCTACCTGTAATCCATATCGGACTCTGTACTACATAGTTCCCACTCCAGGTCTCTACCTGTAATCCATATCGGACTCTGTACTACATAGACCCCCTCCTGGTCTCTACCTGTAATCCATATCGGACTCTGTACTACATAGTTCCCACTCCAGGTCTCTACCTGTAATCCATATCGGACTCTGTACTACATAGACCCCCTCCTGGTCTCTACCTGTAATCCATATCGGACTCTGTACTACATAGTTCCCACTCCAGGTCTCTACCTGTAATCCATATCGGACTCTGTACTACATAGACCCCCTCCTGGTCTCTACCTGTAATCCATATCGGACTCTGTACTACATAAACCCCCTCCTGGTCTCTACCTGTAATCCATATCAGACTCTGTACTACATAGACCCCCCTCCTGGTCTCTACCTGTAATCCATATCGGACTCTGTACTACATAGACCCCCTCCTGCTCTCTACCTGTAATCCATATCAGACTCTGTACTACATAGACCCCCCTCCTGGTCTCTACCTGTAATCCATATCGGACTCTGTACTACATAGACCCCCTCCTGGTCTCTACCTGTAATCCATATCAGACTCTGTACTACATAGACCCCCCTCCTGGTCTCTACCTGTAATCCATATCAGACTCTGTACTACATAGTTCCCCCTCCTGGTCTCTACCTGTAATCCATATCGGACTCTGTACTACATAGACCCCCCTCCTGGTCTCTACCTGTAATCCATATCGGACTCTGTACTACATAGTTCCCACTCCAGGGTTCTACTGCTGTCATCAGCCCATCTCGGAAGAATGGCAGAGCTTGGTAGTAGCTGGCGATCAGGTTCCATGAGATGGTGCTGAAATTACATCAATAGAATAAAATGTACAAACAGAACTAAAATGCTCTGTGTTCAAATGTAAGATTATTTTACACTTGTTTACTTGAAAAAAAGCTTAGAAACAATTAATGATTAATATTATACGAACATATCTTTGAAGGATTATGAGTATACTGCAGCTTTTGAAAATCACGCTAGTCAGCTGGCCTGAGACTACTAATTTGTGCTGAGGGCAAATAAATCCCAGTGATGATGACTAGAAGCATTTGAGGGCTATAATTCTTTGCCAGTGCTCAATGGTTTGACTTGACTTCAAATCAGTCTACTGGGACAATCAATAGCTACTGACTCTGAGGACAAGCGAAATAAGGTAAGCCCTCATCCTCTTGACTGGTTTATAAACAAATTCCAAGGCTGATACTGTACGGCTGATGAATAGGAAATGATTAATGAAGTTCTGTATCTTTATTTAATATCATTTTTAAGTAACCCACCTTGTCATGAATCCATTCACATAATTTTGATTTAGAATCTGAAAAAGATACACATCCATCAGTGAACATTGAAAGTTCTACATTTTAGGTTGCTTGACCTAATCATAAGATTCTGTGTAAGTGAGGGAATGCCATTATATGTACTAAGTCAGCAATACTTTATTTATATCATGACTAAGAATCAAATCAACTTTGGACCAATCTGGTAATTGACAGCTTGTGTTCGTGTATTTGAACAAGTCAGTTAGTTTTGTGTATTGGCAGAATGTATAGATATGAATGTAGATATGCAACACTGTCTGTTTCAAATGTTGTGATACTTGTATTCATGTATGGTATCCAGGTGACAATCTGACTACTTTCATGCTGTAAATGTGCAACTGCACCTGAGACGTACCCGGGCCCAGCATCCGCCGCCGACGTTGTCATTGAAGGTGCTGAAGTCTTCTGATGACCACAGCTGCTTGCCCGTCTGCATGGAGGCTGTGGTGGTCAAGGTTCCCGGGTAGTGAGTTCTACCAACCACATTAGAAATATGGAGATGTTGGACTCATTTCATTTCTTGTGGTTTTATAAGACTAATATTTAGGAGGCAACAAAATAATGAATGTTCGTTTGTTTGTTTAATGTCGCACTCAGCAATATTCCTGCTATATGATGGCAGTCTGTAAATAATTGAGTCCGGTCCTGACAATCAATTATGACTGATATCATAAGCATCAATACACACAATTGTTATACGATGACATGGATCAACCAAGTCAGCGAGACTGACCACCCAATCCCATTAGTCACCTCTTATGTCATGCATAGTTGCTTCTTATGACAAGCATTGGTTGCTAATGAAGACCTATTCTAACATGGATCTTCACGGGTGCAAAATTATTGTTTTCAAAAATGGAACGAAAAACAGTAGTTAAGTGAGTAAACATATTCCAGTTATGGTACATCATAGCATATTAGACAAGCCAGGGCCAGGCAAAACAGTGGTCGACAGCATGAACAACCATTCATGCATTGTGCCCATTGATCCACTGGAGACAGGATCATACAAGACTGCTCCATTTATTTCATGGGTCATATTGCAGTACTCATAGTGTAGCACAGATCACCAACATATCGGCAGAGCAGATCAAGGTTTTCAAGGTATACAGTCCAAGAAAGAAACTTTGGAACTGGACTACACACAATGTTTTGTTTGTTGTTTAACACTGCACTCAGCAGTATTCCAGCTATATGACGGCAGTCTGTAGATAATCAAGTCTGGACCAGAGAATCCAGTGATAGACATCATGAGCTTGATCAACTCAATTGGGATACGATAATATGCCAACCCTGATAGTCACTGCTCATGACAAGCATAGTCGCTTTGTACGGCAAGCATGGGTTGCTGAAGACCTATTCTACCCAAGAACTTCACGGGTCAGAAAACCTCTCACAGCATACTTCTTTTACATCCTCCAGATTACACAACAACCCCAGCGTGTCACTCCTCACCCTATATAGTCAATGGCACGAGCAAGCTCTGAATCCTTGAGCATATCTTTGGCAATGCCCCATCCTCCGTCAGCTGCCACCATACGGACATTGCTCAGGCCATTGTCATCCAACACCTTTCTTAGAGTCTAAACAGAGGGAAACATTTCAAATTTCAATGGATTGTCCACAAATCAGTAAAAATAAAGATAATTGCTTCTCAGTCAATGATTTTTGAAAACCTGGGGCTGAACATGCTCTATTATCTAGTGCATTTTATGTCCATTCTATTATGATACTACTCTGGACAACCCATTCGCCACCATAGCTGCATTCAGGAAGTGATGTTGCCAGTTCCATCTCTCTTACCACACTACTTTAGCAGAGAATTTCTCTTACTCGTGATCTTGAATTTAACAGCCAATCAAATGCAACTTCTTAAGGGGAGTTTGGGATTGACATACATTCCAAACCACCAGATACATTCAGTCACCTTGTAAGTCAAACAAATTCTAATCCAGAAATTCACCAGATTCATGTCTACAAAATAACTTTTAGTAACTAGTCGTACTCCATATAGAGTGTGAGACCGGGGACAGCTTACCTTGATGTAGGTGATGTCATAGTTCCTTTCATTCCACACCTGCATACACAGAAACAGGAATAACACCCAAACCATGGATCAGTATTTATCACAGAACTTCAACAAAGCAATTTGTTTAGAGAATGGAATTATAAAAATACCTCATTTATTGAATTTGAAGTTTTAAATTTTGCTGAAGTTCTTTTTTTTTTTTAATTCAGAGGTATTATGACATTGTATTTATAACTTTGCATTCAATGCAATAACGCATAACTAATATTAAAGCTTCTTTTTTTATAGGTCTTGTTATAAGAGAAATACAAGTAACTGCTTCAAAGCCTTCACATACAATATGAATTGGGATTTATTTTCATTTCAGTTTACGATTTTACTAATGTAAGCTAAAACATTTGGGCCAAATATCGGCCTCCGAGGAGATTTAATATTGTTCCCCACATTACTGAATCCTAGCTTTATAATTTGTCATATTTTGTCCCACCAATATGTTTGGAAAACAAAATGGTGATTCTGATAAATAAATAATCAATTTATTGTGCTCTTAAGACAATATTTTTCTCAAAATAAGTCATATAAGAAAACTCTTGAAACTGACAGAGTAGCCCAACTTCATTAATTAAAAATGCAACCAAGATATCCTCCGACGGTAGCAATATTGTCTGTACTGAGGACCTACCCCAATAAAGTCGAGGGTGAGATTGTAGTATTTCTTGGCTCCTTGGACCCACTTCAGGATGTAGGTGGCGGTCTGCACGGGGTTCGTGTACGGGCTGCGTGTCCCGGCCCCAACCCAGCCCGGGAAGGTCCACGGAAGACCATACAACTTGATGTTGGGGTTGCGCTGGAACAGGGCAGATTACATACAGCCTTCCACTTTTACCTAGAGCTTATATATATCTTATATCATGTATATAGCAGTCTCTTTTTAAACGTTGTAAAGACATTTACTATCAAACTATCAAACTCAAACGTCTTGTGAACAGCTAAGATGAATGAGCTACATTCACACAGGTAGTTGCTAAGCAACCTTGTGAACAGCTAAGATGAATGAGCTACATTCAAATAGGTACAGTTGCTAAGCAACCTTGTGAACAGCTAAGATGAATGAGCTACATTCACATAGGTACAGTTGCTAAGCAACCTTGTGAACAGCGAGACTTGCTGAGACCCATTGTTGTGAACAGGTATTACTATAAAGAGTCTAGAGTGAGTTGATTTGGCTTAACACTGCTTCGAACAGACTCTCTGTCATATCATGGCATGTCAGCTTGATGTGGAAAGAAAAGTCAAGAGAAATTAGTTATCATCCATAACATGCCACTTCCTGTTTCTCCAACATGTAACTTATTTAAGGTCAGGTGAAATGGGGTTTAGTGTCGAATCCAAGTGTGTGTGTGGCTGCTTGTACTAGTCCGGACTGATGCCGATTTTATAGAGCTAGCCCAGTAAGATACCATGACGCAGTTTAACATGAATACCCCACTCAGACACAGTATAATGACCAGTCCTTGTTTTAGCCCCTTAATGCCGAGCGTCAGACAGGGTTACAAGTACCATCCGGGGATCCGAGCAGACGCTCCACCACTAGAGCACAGGGGCAGTCATAACTTATTTAAAGTCTTTTCATTTGCAATATCAACTAGGCAACTAGTTTTCTTCCCAAATGTTGTAAATTATACATACAATCAATTATGGTAATAGTTTGTACTTGAATCATGACTTTATTTTCTCACTGACCTTCTTGGCCTCCAACATGAGCCACCACTCGTATCCTCTCTCATAGTTCTCCTCCCAGCTGTTGTGCATGTGGGAGGACTCGGTGCCATCTACAACACAAGGCTACATACATCACATCTTAAATACAGGCAGGTCATCTAAGTATTACCACCCACGTGTACAGTTACCATACACGTCATATGAGGCCCAAACCTCGGTGTGTTCTATGGGGTTTTGTGTTCTCTATCCGACATTAACCTAGTCAATAGTCATGTTGTGTTCTCTATCCGACATTAACCTAGTCAATAGTCATGTTGTGTTCTCTATCCGACATTAACCTAGTCAATAGTCATGTTGTGTTCTCTATCCGACATTAACCTAGTCAGTAGTCATGTTGTGTTCTATATCCGACATTAACCAAGTCAGTAGTCATGTTGTGTTCTCTATCTGACATTAACCTAGTCAGTAGTCATGTTGTGTTCTCTATCCGACATTAACCTAGTCAATAGTCATGTTGTGTTCTCTATCCGACATTAACCTAGTCAGTAGTCATGTTGTGTTCTCTATCTGACATTAACCTAGTGAATAGTCATGTTGTGTTCTCTATCCGACATTAACCTTGTCAGTAGTCATGTTGTGTTCTCTATCCGACATTAACCTAGTCAATAGTCATGTTGTTCTCTATCCGACATTAACCTAGTCAATAGTCATGTTGTGTTCTCTATCCGACATTAACCTAGTCAATAGTCATGTTGTGTTCTCTATCCGACATTAACCTAGTCAGTAGTCATGTTGTGTTCTCTATCCGACATTAACCTAGTCAGTAGTCATGTTGTGTTCTCTATCCGACATTAACCTAGTCAGTAGTCATGTTGTGTTCTCTATCCGACATTAACCTAGTCAATAGTCATGTTGTGTTCTCTATCCGACATTAACCTAGTCAATAGTCATGCTGTGTTCTCTATCTGACATTAACCTAGTCAGTAGTCATGTTGTGTTCTCTATCCGACATTAACCTAGTCAGTAGTCATGTTGTGTTCTCTATCCGACATTAACCTTGTCAGTAGTCATGTTGTGTTCTCTATCCGACATTAACCTAGTGAATAGTCATGTTGTGTTCTCTATCTGACATTAACCTAGTCAGTAGTCATGTTGTGTTCTCTATCCGACATTAACCTAGTCAATAGTCATGTTGTGTTCTCTATCCGACATTAATCTAGTCAATAGTCATGTTGGGTACCAACATCCTGAAATATTTATTTGGCAGTTTTTATCAAGGGCTGGAGTCAACTTGATCACAGGACGACTTTTAATCTTGGGGTTTTCCACAATTTCTAGTTTGGGCCAATTCTGTCATGCTGATAAAAAGTACCAATGTGCATAGTCAGGGATATCACGTAAATGATGACAACGATGACAGTACAATGACTTTAAATTTTAGTTTCTCAATAATTGTGTATATGTCTCCCCTGAACTGTATTATGAAGGGCATGTGACATATTGTCCAATAAGGAGAAGAAATAACACATCTTCATGTTTTATAATGCTTATGGCGAAAGTGCATGTAAAATGCAGATTCCTATTTAGCAGGACAAATGTTGTTGACATGTGTTTAGCAAGGACTAGTGACAGTTATCCTGGAGACATTTGCAACACTGTAAATGTAAGGACAGGGAGTGTGTAAAGTTCAAGTCAAACAAACCTGTACTCTGTGCATCTCCTCCTATTTCAACTTTAAGGATCTGCAGAGAAGCTCCGAAGTTGGGCTACAAGAAATCAAATAGTGTATGAGCATATGTACTAGCAACTGTGGCAATAATGGCTGAAGGAAAAAGCTTCATTTGAGACCATAATTATATTTGGCATGTTATGTAACACATCTTTGTCGCGGTTCACAGTAAACAGTTGTGTTGAGGAGCACAAAATGTAATCACTTCCATATTTTGTTTCAGTAAGATTAACTATCAACTTATGATCAACTTCTGAACATGTTGAAACCATTAGCATGCAAAGAACAAAAAAAATATTTTAGGAAAAACCCCAAAAAGAACAACATACCAGCAAATCCAGTCATAAAGGAAATATTTATAGCTGCTAACTATGTATGGTGTCTATGTATTCAATGTCAGTTGCTTGAACGTCTGAAGTCAGGTCATTGCAGATTATATCTTATATGTCATTCGGTATACCTTGAAAAGATAGTCCAAGATTTCATCTCTTTGCTTTTCAGGGTAGTTCACCAATAGCTTTGATGTTGCCTGAAAATTTAAAACGTATATAGTAACAATATGAAAACATAATCAAAATCAACAAAACGATCTCAACAAATCAATAAACAGCTGATACCATTGTCATAGCATCATACAACTTGTGTCCAAGCTGCACTTGGTCTCATCTCTAACATTGTCTTAATACGCACACACAAAAAGTCATCAAAAAACAACATCTGAAGTCTCAATGTCTGTCACATATATTATAAGTTATAGCAGCATAACGAGGGGTACATGTGGTTACATGCCTTCCGTGTTGTTATATACCACGAGCTGGATAATCAGGTATCTCCTTAGGCATTAATGCTTATTTTAACATTATTGCATTGAATGTGATGTTGAAAAACCTCTGAATTTAGGAAAATAAGTACTAATTAAAAACTCTGAATTTTGAACAAAATAACTAAATAAATATATTTCCAAATTTGCCTGCCCAATCCTAGATATAAATCCCTGCTGAAAAGTGTACGATTTAAGGCTGTGTCTTTACTGTAATATTACATAACTATGAACACTGAAAGATGAAGGTCATTTTACATTAATTTGTGAAGCGTCCACTGCTGTATAGGCTAAATACTGAGCAACTACATAAGGCACCCTAGCCACGTGATCTACACTTTCTTGCGCAATTAATCAAATAAGAGCACTTTAGAAGTTTGAAACTATTAATTATTTAAGTTTGTATTTATAGAAAGTCCACAAAACAAGGAATTATGATACTTTTCTCTTTGATCCTAATGTAATATAGGCCTATATGCTCGTGCAGGTATTCTGCGGTAGGTTTGCATGTGTTGGGGCCATGCAGTTGCCTTATACAGCATAAATTGTCTGTCAGTTCACACGAAACGTGTATTTGGCAAGGATGTACCACAATCGGTGTGGTAAGTAAACTATCATAACATCACTGCTCTGGCCAACCACTCCCCCTCCCCCTTTTCAGTAACACTGTACCTGTTCAGGTACAAATAAAGTCAACAGTACACTGTAGACCTACCCCGCCTCCGCTGAGGCCGCCAATTCCATCAAACTGTCTTTCTAGTCCAACAGAGTCATCAAATATTACAACACCGGCTGAAAATTCCACGAAAATCGCAACAGTAACAAACGCGAGCGTTGTGTAAAACGTCATCTTCGTGGACTGAATACAGCAACTGAACTGTTCTTGGATTTCAGTATGACAAGACGGAGTCACATGATGAATCGGCCTTGACCTTATGCTTGGTCAAATTATATTTTCGTATGATTTACGTTATGTCCTTTTGAAAATATCTGAGGGAGGAAGTTGATAAATCAAACATTATGCATGCTATTATGGTATTGTTGCGAGGTTTCGAGTTTCATTAGTATGGATTATGTAAACTACACTGTTCTACTTCTTGCGGCTATTAAATAAATGTCTACTTTAAACGCGGGAATTACGAACTCATGATTTAGCATACAAAATATCTGTACCTGAAATGACAATAGAACACTTTTCTTGCTTAAATTCTGGATCTGTTCTGACATGAATTTAACTATGCATACAGATCGAGCCAATGACCTGACAATACTGTACGCCCCCTTCACATAATCTAATCGCAGCCGACATGAAGGGCAACAGCTAGGGCATACTTGAAGATATCACGTACCGTAAATACTCGCATAAATAATAATGTTGGTTGTAAATAAATTTGCTACAGCTTGGTTTTCATTTCTTTGAAAACACAGCCCTTATTTGTGTCTGAAACACGAACGATGACAACGTTTAAATGTATTTTGTATATATTTTGTACATCAAAATAATGTCGAAATATAAAAATTAACTTGCGTTTCGAAAAAGGTCACAGATACATTTAGCGCACATAAGGGGAGCCTTGTGTTCGTTGTTTGTTTATTTGTTTGTTGTTTAACGCCGCACTCAGCGACTGACGTCATGAGCAATCTATTTATTTCCGATATATTTTTAGGTATCATTTAATCGACCTTGATAAAATCAAATCAGGAATAAATAGTAAAACGGTGCCTCGTAAAGCATCGCCTCTTACAGCAAGCATGCGTTGTCGAACACCTATTCTAAGCCGGATCTTCACGTGTTTAATATACCTGATGATTAACCAGTAATGGCCCAATACAACCGTGCCCGATCTCTACCTTGTTTCAGAACAGCATAATTGTACAATGTCAAAATCATGGTCATGAGGTGTATGTACGGTCGTTTGTGATATGAGATGATGATCATATCACTTTGACCAACTAACGCAGCTAGGGTAACATTCGTTTGTTATCAAAGGTCATCACATTACAAAGAAAATGATAACCTAATGTAAATGCGTATACGGCACGTGGGCCTCCACGTTGCATCACCACACTTACGCCTTGTGTGTGGTACGCTGTACAGGTGGAGAAACTACTACTTGTATGTGTGTAGGAGCAAGTGTGGAGACTGAAGAGTGCAGCGAATATCTGAAGCAGGGGTTCATTCATACACTACTGACAAACTATATACAGGGAAACTAATGAGAAGAGTGTAGCTATCGTTGATGCATACATTTACAATAACGTGGCGTTGCATCTGAACGCGACATCTAATTACAATGGCATTTCACTTCATGCACGAACAGCACGTAAAGCACGTGAACACAGGCGCCAAAGTGTGTGCGCCCAATCACTGAAGCAATTGAGCTCAGAACGAGAAAAAGCTCTAAAATGCCTCCGAGACAGTATCTCATTGAACAGACAAAATGGCGAACTGTGGGTACAATAAAGGTGGGACGTCAATATCCCATGTTGTCCTGATGTTTTGCCAATCAAAAAGTGTAATTTCTCGACTTTGGTGCTGCAAAATAAACTCGACTTTATTGACTTTATAAACTTTTCTGCTTAGACCTTCTTCTGTATTTGACCAATAAGTCCACAACTTGCAAGTGTTACAAGGAAAGTAAGCAACATGTGGCTGTCAGCCACTTGAACATGTCTGATACCGCTACACTCCATTCCACTATTTCAGAGTGTTCGCATTTTTGAAATGTCAGTTGGACAGTAATGACCATTGGCTACGTCGTCCTTTCAGAAAAATGCAATCTGACAGTAATATAAGATTCGTTCGCGGATGTGGATAATTAAAGTTGATAAAGTCTTAACTTAATGTCAACATGGCTGATAATTCTATTCCAATATTTAAGATGTCGATTGGGCCATAATGACCCTAGGCTACATTGTCCTTTCAGAAACATGCAATTTGACCGTGATCTGAGATCATAATTCATTCGCCGATACTGATAAATAAAGTTGATAAAGTCATGTTAATGTCAATTGATATATTATCATAAAACACATTTTGAACAATAACATTGAAGTAATCAATGTTACTGAAATACCGTCTATTTCTATTTGACAGACAGACAGGCAGACAGACAGACAGACTTTATTCAGTACAGTAGGCCCATTATACAAACCAGATGGAAAATAATAGTTAAATCACATGGTGAATAAACGGCTGGAGAAAAGTACACTTTATGTCACAGGGCTAGGTGATTTGCTTCTTAGTGCTTGACAAAGGAATTTAATCAAACATTTAATAACATGGATATTGTCGGTTGACAAGTCTTATTTGACGTGAATATGAAACACGAGCTATATCATTGAGTCTATCATGTAAATTGTCCACTAAGCTCCACTGATAACCCACCATGCATATCTATGTGTGATACTATTAGATAGATATTGTGTCACATGACTGTCACATGACTGTCACATTGCGTTAACAATGTATTTACATGTTTTTGTCGTCTCCTTTTGTTTCGTGATTGGGTCTGGTGACCCTACCCCAGGGAAATACACCATCGACGACACACCCGGGTATGGGCGTGGTTTCGATGGCATCGGAGCTATCAGTGGTGGAGGGGTAAGGGTAGTATAGCGTATTGTTCATCCTCAGACAGGGCCAAATGCGACTCACGATTGTCCCTACACGAGGATTAATATCAGACATTTGGTGTTTGCTGTTACTGACAATACTTTGATAACTATGAGAATGTGAAAAGCTGAGGTTAGGGCCTCAGTAGGATGTTGTACTTGTTGCAATGTACAATGTACTTGTATCAATGTACAATGTACTTGTATCAATGTACAATGTACTTGTATCAATGTACAATGTACTTGTTGCAATGTACAATGTACTTGTATCAATGTACAATGTACTTGTATCAATGTACAATGTACTTGTATCAATGTACAATGCGACGTTATCAGAACAACTTTAGTCGATAGACGTGACAATATCATTATGCCTTAAAATTAATTTGTTGATTTCATGTTTTCCTCCGATCTAATACACAACAACATTTTTATTCAATTCAACAGGAAATGAAACTCAAAGTGGCTATTTCCGGCTTCCCTGTCAAATTGTTTGTGTAAACAAGATCACGCACAGGTGGCAGGTCACGTGATGATCAACACGTCGTGTAAATGACCACGTGACGACAAATCAACAGTCCCTTAGGGCAGTTGGCGAAACTAAGCGTTTCTTTTCTTACAGTTTCTGAATAAAGATTGTCACTAGTGCCGTCTTCACGCAGCAATGAACAGTTGTTTGTATTGTCCAGATAAAACAATTGTGAAGTTATGAGTTATGTTTAGTGATTTATGATGTTTGTTAGCATGGAAGGACATATTTCACATGGAAATATTTTGATCAAATGCACAGGCACTAAAATCCCAACTACAATGTATGTGGAAATAATTGTTGAAAAGAACACCTTTTTCATTTATATATAATGTGCTCAACAAAGTTATTTGATTTTATTGATACTTTCAATGCGCACCCAGGCCCTGAATCTGATCACTTTCCACTTTGTTCAATCAGGGTTCACTGTAACTATATGCACAAGGCTATAACTAAAGAAGCTGTTCACTCCGACGTTTCTTCAATGCCTTTGGAAAAAATATGTCCGACTGTTCCGTGGACCAGTTTATACCCTTACTTAGTAATGACCCTGATTATACTGGACAGCTATCTATGGAATCCTAGAAGGGACATCGTCGCGTTGTCGCCCTTACAGAAACAAGCAAAAAGTGTCAAAATTAACCAAAGCGTGACAATGCGACAACGCGACATATTTTGACCTTAAAAATGTCGCGTTGTCGACCTTTGGTAAAATAATAAATATTATTCAAAGACGCGACAACGCGACAATGTCCCTCCTAGGATTCCCAATGTTTTCTGTCCAGTGCATGTTGGAGAGGCTGACATGTTTATGGGTACATTATCTGGAAACAAGAAATCGACTGAGGCTCGGTATGATGCAGAATGCATAACACTGACAAGAAATGAATACACAGCAACCTTTCTGCACAGGCCACCTCCAAGCAGCTGCCAGGCTACATGTTCAAGTACCAGGATCAGATTTTCGACTTCTTGTTCAAGGTACCAAATTAAACAACAAAATTAGAAACGTAAACAAAATCATCGTTCCAATGTTTCTTGTTGTGTAAGTTAGACACACAGTCACAAATAGCTTGATCAAGTCCAGTTTGGAGTGTCATTTCAAGGTACTGACCTTGGCATGAACTACAAGGGGCAAACCATTCTCACACTATGCCACAACGTGAACCGTTGATATAACGTTGTGGAACCATATCGAATTCTGCAAGTAAAGTAAGCGACTTTTTTTTGTCTTTCCAGCCAAATTTCGGAGCATCTTTGCAAATATTGAAGGTAGAAATCGGAGGGGATGCTCAGTCTTCAGGTAAGTAAAGAATGAGTGATGAATGTTATTTAGCGCCCCATTCACACATATTCCATCAATATGTCGCTACCTTTAACGTATCAAATCCTGTCTGAAAAAGACAAACCAGTGGCCGAACGCATGAGCACCTATCCACTCCATTATAGTGTGAAGACACGCGTTCAGTCGCCACCAAAACTCACCACCCAGTGATAGAAGGAATGTAGATATGTCCTTGTACCCCGACCACATTAAACGCTAGATGGCTCTAGCAGTATATGCTAAAGATGACTGTCCACAGAGGGAACGGAGGCATCTCACATGCACAACAGCTGGGACGAGAACTACTACAGGGGCTACGAATGGTGGATAATGGAAGAAGCAAAGAAGGTAACAAATACCAATTGGAGGAATGAATGAGGAATAGTTGATGCTTTTACTGTTTCAAATGTTTCTGTTATAACTGTACCAAGATTCGTCTTGACCCATCTTCCCGAGGTAAGAGAGTTAACTGACTATCAAAGTCCAGTTTCCACTGACTTTTAAGTCAGTTAACTCTCTTGCCTCGGGAAGATGGCCTTGACCATGTTTCTAGGTTTGTTAGCAACATACTCGTGCTCGTGGGTTCCATTGTGGCAATCCTTTAAGACCTGCATCACTTCGGGCTTTCCTCCCACATTCTCCCAAAGAAGCGTTAAACCAAACTCACTCCCTCACTATAAGGGCGTCCTCACTTTTTTGTTTGTTTTTGTATTGTGCAAGTTTTTTTAATGCTGAATTATCCGCCGTCCATCTGTATTTGTATGCCGCCACTTGCAAAAAGTATCACGTTTCACAATGATTTGAAAACCACGGTCCTATATATAAATGACAGTATGCGTTTTTAAAGTGAACTGTTGCGATATAGGATTCGCCTACACTGTAGTTTATATATTTAAAACGGGCAGCTGTATTGATGTTTGAGGAAGTACACGGCATGAAAACCTGCGACAGTTGCAACCACACAGAGTGGTATCTCTGTTATTTGTGAAGTTCGGGGTTGGTGCAATCTTTGTCGTTACAGTAGACATAAGTTACGGTGATTCTCTCAGTAATAAGAGAGTTATAGTGACTTTGTTCCACAAAAAGCTTGACTCAATGCAACACATCTTGTTCAAGTTCCCCTTCATAGACTTTTATGAAAATCGTCCATGGTAAGAATGGGTTTTTTAAATTTTAAACTGTATGGTGATGGTTTCACTTTTTTTTTTTATCGAAATGTGCTTTCCTCTTTAGGTCTTTTCCCCACAATGTGCTTTTTCGGTTTTCGGGTTCAGCTTGCTCTCAAGAGTCAACCAGACATATGTTTTAATTGTCGAATATTTGACATAGATCGTCAAAGCCTTAAGGTATTTTGCAATAAAGAACCTTTTTCAACCGTTTTTTCTCTTTCCGCGGGGACACCGCCTCTGAGAAAACCTGCATGGTTTTAGATAGGTAAATCGTCTGCACTTTATTTGCCATTATATAAAAAATACTTATTGTGACGTCAAAGTTTTGATTGTGATATAGGTTTGCCAAAATGCTTTTGGGTAAATCGGTCACTATGATATTGTGAGAGATTGATCATATTTACAACAAGACATCAGACGCTTAGGATATCTCCCGTTGGACTGTGTAACATGAAATGTCGTCGCATAATCCAAATCTACGTACATAAATAACGAACAATGAATCACGATAAAAGTAAACACGAGACGTTAAAATAAACGTCGTTGAAAGATTACCATGCCAGCGCGGCGTGTTGTGAAGGCGGCAGGATGTGCCGCACCATTAATGCAGTTAATCAAGCTTCCTCCCAGCGCGTGACACCTTCGTTACACTCTCGGTAGTATTAGAGAGCTCCTGGAACGTACTATCGCTGTGAGGAGCTTGGCAGTTAATGGTCTAAGGGAGATAATCGTGTTATGATTATACAAAACAAATAAGAGTAATGTCCCTTTTATGAGCTCCATACAGTGTATTAACTTAAACTCCCTACACCGTGTGGACTTTTCCGAGTTCTATATGGAAATGCAAGGTCTTCACAGCGACCGCCCGTTCACGCATTGAGAAGGAGCTTTGAAATTTACTGGTTATCTCCCTTGTTACAGGGTCGAATTACGCCATAATTTAGTTCGGACATGTTCAAAGAATATTTTAGACTGGTTTGTCTGTCCCAGAGTGCTTGCGCTTCTCGTCGCACTTAAATCCGTTAGAAGGACAGTTTACCAGTCAAAGATTATTTATTTAAAAAAGTTACTTCCCTTTGATAAAGTACAACACAGTGTCCGAAGTTCGCACGTAGACCTTGACCCCGTTCCACAAAGCGATCGTAGCGCTACTACTGTCGTAAATCTATGCTCAAGTACCGGCGTTACGATCACCTTAGCGCTTTGCGGAACGGGGCCCTTGTAGGGAGCTTGTACAAGGGGTGAAGCTTCGTTTGAAATGACCAAGTAAACTGGTTCCCTCATTGGTACACGCCGCAAGTTTAGCGCTTAGTGCAGAAGCACAGTCTAATATACCAAGCTGAATTACTTCCCTTTGACCACAAACCTTGGAATAAAATCGATTGAATTGTCTCCCTTCCACCAAGGCAGAAGCTTTGAAACGTCGCAGATTGCAGACCTTGATCAGGTCCATGTGTCATTCTAATTTAATATATTTCTCATATTTAAGAAACTGTATGGATCTAACCTGTGTAGAAAGCTTTTGCCTTGCTCGTAAATTTACAGTATAGTATCCGGTTCCATTTTGCCCGCGACTGCATGTCAGAAAATACATCTTCTTTTAACTTAAAGTGATTTTAGAACTGATGCGAACATATGTTTTATTAGTCATGACTTGAAATAGGTCAATGGTAAAGAGGTTTTTTTTAAAATATGACTTGATGGTGATGATTTCTTTTTATTTGCACGTGCATTTCTCTTCAGACCTTTTCCCGCTAATTTCTATTTTCCGGTCCAGCTTGCTCTCAATAGTCGACCAGGCATATGTTTAAATTTCCTAATATTTGGTATTGATCGTCAAAGCCTGCAATTAGGAACCTTTTATTCCTTTTTTTCTTTGTTCAACCTCCACCCCACCCTCCTATGATAGGTACACAGCATTCTTTACACGTGAATTCCCTAGGCATACAGGCCAGGTTTTGTGGGTTGGTTCTACTAGCTGCGAAGTCGTGTCTTAGTACTGCTCTGCTTTTTCTATCCACTGGTCACTGAGCCGTGAACAGCAGAGATGTTGCTGATGCGGCTATAGACATTATTCACTCACTTACTGCACTGGACGCTAATACATAGAGCTGCGATTCACGCATAACAAAGTCACAAGCTCCGTGAAAGTACAGATGAAAAACATTCATAGTTCCCAAAATGTACTTTCGTAATAGTTATGAGTCTAAGAGCACGAATGAGTCGAGTTTATTGCCCTGGACGCCGTGTATGGAAAGGTTAGCTGTTGTGGTTTGGTTGTAGAGGAACCCGAACATCAGGCTGTACGGTCTCCCCTGGGCGTTCCCCGGCTGGGTGGGTAATGGCTCCGTCCACGACCCCTGGGGGGACCCCCAGCTCACTGTGGACTATGTGGTCAAGTGGATAGAGGGAGCCAAGGTCTTCCATCATCTGGATATAGACTATATTGGGGTAAGTACGGGACTTCCAGGTTACAATAGATCGCCAGCAACCTATGCTGTTCGCGAGAGGCGACTACATGTGATCGGAGGGTCAAACTCTGTGGCTTGGTTGATTCTGTGTCATCGTACGAAGACTTGGGACGTGCTAAACGTCTTATGCCACTGGTAGGGCAGGATAAGCTCACCTTCTCGCAAACACCTGGTATCATCACTATTTGATAGTTGTTCATACATCGGAATTGTACAGTCTGCTTTTAGCAGAGTTTTTTTTTTATGAATAGAGACATGGTATTGACAGTATTATTCATATACTTATGATATCAATCACTGGTTTGCCTCGACCGCGTCGTATAGCTGAAAAAAGCCCTGCTGAACAACGCATGCAACGGAATGATGAATTATGCAGATCCAGTTTGCAGTTGTCAGGTCTCGACATGTCTTGAGGCATTTGCACATTTAACTAGGCTAAATGAGAGACCCTTGATATACGAAGATGATGCTTCTATAATTCTTAAATATCATGAGATAATAGACAGATGGTGATGGTCTGACACTATGCTCTTTTGCAGATATGGAATGAAAGACCCCACAGTGTTCCCTATATAAAGGTGACAAAAAACTGAGTGCATAGTTTTAGGGAAATCATGCAATAATCACCTGTCAAAATGCAATCAATCTGGATTACAGTCAAAATACTAATATCCTTGTTTATGGGAAAACAATTTAAATTAAATCTCACACCTTCAAAAATAATACGTGTCAATAGTTGTGTAAAAGCGGAAATTCTTCAGCAGCTCACACTTAGGTTCTACGTTTTCTGTTGACTCCAAGTTACTGAGGCGGACTCTGGACCAAAGAAACCTGACCAGTGTGAGGATAGTCGCCGCGGATGGTTTTTGGGGAGGCATTGTCCAAGACATTCTACAGGACTCGGAGCTCGCAGACGCCGTGGACTCTATTGGGTAAATCGTTGTCCGTCTTATCACCACGGACACTCAGCAACATAATAACGAACCCTAGCGTACCTTGTCGTCTATTCGCTTTACATGAACGTCGGTTCGAATCCCGGTTTGCTCTGATTGTGTTTCTGGATTTGTCAGCACTACCTGTGCTCGTGGGTTTCATCAAAGTGTTAAAAGTTCATGTTAAGACGTGAATCCCTTGGATTTTCACCCAAATGAGCTGACACGCAGTTATATAACTAAAATACTGTTCAAGACGTCGTTAAACCCAGCGCACTCACTCATTCTAGCCTACCTTGCTCATTTTCATTACCAAACTGAAGACGTTTGAGCAACGTTTAGGCAAAACTGTTAGAATCGTTGACAGTGTTTGATGTCACTGTCTTTTCATTGTTGTGAACACATGATGTAGTCTAAGTTTCCAAAAAAAAAGAAATGTAATCGACCCTTTCTGTTAAAATGTATTATACACACCCGATCCGATTGAACACATGAGATACTGTATCAGGTCACAATGTTGCCTGTCCCTACAGAACCCACTACCCGGGAACGCTGTCCCCCCGCGAGGCCGTCATGACCGGTAAACAACTGTGGGCGTCGGAAGACTACGGAAGCTTCAACGACGAGATTGGCGGGGGATGCTGGGCTAGGGTAAGCTTCATCATTTTCTAATTAATCTTTTCACGGCTGAAGGACGTGAAGTCTCCTGTTGATTAATTCACTCAAATTACACAACACATCATATAGGGGAAGTAATGAATGTTTTATTTGTTGCAGACTCTCAACATGAACTATGTCAACGGCCTCATGACATCGTGAGCTACTCTTTGATTGAGACGGAAGACGCGGCATTTAATATTATATACATGCATGAAGGACAAAGCTAGTTTACCTTTCAAGTTCGAACATTGTTTTGTCTCCCGAATACTTATAAATAATATATGTCATTCCCAACACACCCTGTCTGATGCCATACAGAGATTTCACAGATCGTCGATCAATTTCGAAATCAAGTAACTTCCTTAATTCCACCAAATGATGCTTTGATCCCAAACCTACATCTTATGATGAACCAAATTTAAAGCAGATTGCAAGTTATTGTTTGTCTATGTGTTTCTCGTAGCCCTCACGGACTTTAGTATGGTCAAGGCCTGTTCCAAGGTCCTTTAGGAATAACAGATATGACGGGCATCGCGTTGGGCTATTATACATGTTTTCGAATTTGAGACACCCATATACCGACTTTTATTGAGCTAGATGTTAAACACTCGGGTTAACCGATAATTTTGCTTTCAAAGTAGCCTGTTACAGTTCCTACTTGTACAAGGTTACACGATGGAATATGATTGTAATAATGTCTGGTCCTCCAGTTCCATTGCGTGGTGTATGGTGACCGGGTTCTACTACCCCCTCCCTTGGTACAGAGACGCCCTGATGACGGCAAACAGGGCCTGGGATAACAGCTACACCGTCAACACTCCCATATGGATCACAGGTACATTGCGCCCTATATAGCAACATCTTCGATATAGCAGGTGCAAGAATAGTAACTGGACTAAGGATACGTGTACAGCATGGCTATGTTCACAAGAACGATCCTTATTATGTAGAAAATGCATCTAATGAATCTGACTAGACTGGGCTCTAAATGAGCTTCACCATGGGCCGCCATTGACCAGTTATAAGAAACCATCACTATTGGTGAAAAGACCTTCACATGACACAAACAAAGGGCCAATGGCGCATTTTAATGGTCAGTCATAGTCCAGAGCGGGACTATTCTCTGTGTAGGTATACAAGAAATGTACCATATGTTTGTTATTGAACTTTAAGGTTTATAGAATAGATCCTTTGTAAAAACATAAACTGTACGTATAAAGCGGTGTTTTGCCATCGCACTCCTTCTTTACATGTACACGTAGACATTACAACTACAAGTTGCAGAAAAGTAATACTAGAACGTTTCAATCAGCTGCATATTGTACACTGTTTACAGCCCACACGACCCAGTTCACGGAGATAGGATGGCACTATCTGGCTCACGGCTCTGGGGTGGGGAATTTCTCCGGGGGAGGGAGTTACGTGTCCCTGGTCAGCCCTGACGGCAAGAACCTTACCATTGTCATAGAAACCATGGTGAGTGGATCATCCTTGTTTTATTTCATTGGGTAGGACAGAAACATCGGCGCTACTTGATGTAATATAATTGATTTATAGAGATTTGATAAACGGAGGAACATGTATGCAACATAGCTCATCATTCATTAACCGTAATTAGTAGATATATGCCAAACACAACCGGCTGACATGTATACTGGGATTCCGGGATTCACAGAAACATTCCAGAAAATTCTTCTTTTACGTTCCATGTATCTGCTAAACAAAATGTATGTGACGTGCCAGTTCACTGTAAGGCAGTGTCAGGTCCTGTCTCTTGGTGTGTTTCCTCAGTAGACAAGGGTAGGATTTATTTCAGAGTCACGACCACTCCGTGTGCACCAGGCCGCCCCTGTCTCCATACACAGTCAGTCAGCAGAACGTCACACTCGTCCTCAAAGGAAGCTTCGTAAGTATTTGTAGTTGACACAAGCTGAGTATGCTTGTCACAAGTAGGACAGCAGTAACAGGAGTCTCAGTAGCAGCCTGTACGACCTAGCAGCCTATATGAATTGTACTAATCAACAGTCTGGTATACGCCCATATCGGCCTGCGCCACACAGTGTGAGTACGGGCTGGCTGGAAGTTGGTCAGTTCGGATTTGCCAGGCCAAGACATTCCTGGTCATATAGCACGTTTAATGACAGCATTCATACATTTCGTGAGCGTCTTGAATAATTTGGCAGGTATGGGTCCTTGTTCTGTCATATTGTGCCGGGAGAGAGGGTTATAACATTATTTGTTCTGACTTCGCATTATGTGTGACGTACATACAATACAGACTTGATAGATTTAAAAAGCTACCGTAGTGGTAACTCACGAACGTTAACGTGAGCTTTGCAGCTCTAAGATCGGAGGAGGCCTGATCTACCCAGTTGACCACTATATATGAAATGTAAACTCTGAACGGAAATCACCCACACTAAACCAAGACACCAACACTGAGAAATACCAAGGAATTGTTCAGTTGTATGACAAGACAAATTATGCTATTCATCAGTACTGTCTTGAAGCGGGATAGTTTCGAGTTACAATCTGGCAATTCTGTTCTTAAAACATGAAGTGCGGTCGCTTAATATAGAACCATTGCAAGCGGAGGTCCATTCCTGTTACAAGGGGTCAACTGCAAAGGTTGTTTGACAAAATGTTAGAAATATTTAAAGATAGGTTGTGTTTATATAGCTGATGTATGTCTCTATTTTGTGCAGAGGAATATCACCACGCTGAATGTGTGGCGCACCAGATTCCAGTATGGCGGTAAAGCGTCAACTGTGTTCAGGAAACTCCGTCCCGTTAAGGTGAGCTACGTAAACACAATGAAACATCAGTGGACTGACAGATCCCAGCACACACGTAGCCTGCCCGTACGTAGATGGTGATAACACAAGGTACATGTCCTACTCAGGTGATGATACGTATGTTAAGCGTGGATACCTATTGCTGTGAGCCTGAAGAAAAGTGTGGGTGATTGAAAATTGCTAAACAACCTCATCAGCAATTTTAAAGCTGTTCGCAGAAAAGGAGGTTTACAATTTGAGTTTAAACATATTTTATTCACATGAAAAGGATTGGGCACAAGTTATCACAACATAGAACGCCCTCTACCATAGATTTACATGTATTCGTATTTACAGTTAATAAATTAAATGACAGAAAGGAAAGAAAAGAAATAGAGAAACGCATGTACATTCACATTATGTACATACAGTTTGAGTATATAAGTAACACCAACAAAAAGCTCATATTTAAATACCTTATGTCCTCACGTAGTACAGTACTGTTGAAAACAAACGTCTCCTCAATCGGCCACGAAAGTTCATCCTCACTACCGATACCTCGTCGCGAACGTTTTGCGTCCCTGTCGCGATCGAACGTATGTTTTATATAGTACTGTAAAAGCGATTTCGGCATGAATAGCTGTGACTGGTTGGATGTCATAGGAAATGTTTGTATGTTGTCCTTCAAATTGTGTTGATGTTCTGTTGATATTACCTAACTGTATAGACGGGGGAGACAAATCTATGAAACGTGCATGCCGCCATGTTGCAGGTGCGAAGGAACCGCGTCAAGCTACAGCTCCTCCCGGACGAGGTGTACACCCTCACCACGATGCCCACAGGCAACAAGGGGTCCTTCCCGTCGGGGCCCTCGCAGGGAGACTTCCCCTTCATCTACCTGGAAAACTTTGAAGGTAATCATAAAACGCATTACTGTTTGACTGATATCTTCAATGACATGAACAGTTAGAGAGCAACACTATTTCTTCAGTCAGTGCAAACAATACCTTCTTTGAAACGTTGGTGAGTTATTAGCAATGCAGTCATGTCCGAATTCTTTCGTTACTTTTCATGCATTTTTGAAATACCGTAAATCAATTTAGGTGTAATTTGCATTGAGATGGTTCTTGTCACTTTGCAGAAACTGTGATAATAAAACAAAAATTAGAAGTTAATGGGAAGGAATTTTCTGTTTATAATGTTATGAAGACAAATACAAATACCATGACAATAATGCAAAATATATCGCATTTCGCCCAAAACATCGAAATTCATTTGAGAGGTGTAAAGCTTACAAGCGTTCGTTTCGTTTGATCCAGGAAATATGGTTTTCAACTTGTTTTACAGTTAAGTATAACACAATCTGTTCGGACGTTGGCATAGAACGAGAATGATCGTTCCTGTACGTTTTGTCACAAATGCTAAAAAGTGGTACACTCTCCTTCTACAATACATGGACGCCTGTGAGACCTTTATAGGGGTTATAGTATTCATAAATCTAATCATGGTGTAGGTAAATAAAACTAATATTTGTGTTAGTATATGGTGTAAGTCTTAATTTGACATTGAAGATTGACGGCAAATTATATTTTCCAAATAAACAGAGCCATCATTATAAAATAAAAATACACAGTTGTTATGTTCTTTTGAACTTAAAATTTCAGCCGAGATTTAAGAATGAAACATGAGAAAACTTTGGGAGTTCGGAACCAACTCGATCGTTTTCCGTTTTTCTGCTTTCTGTGACATCAAGGAGACAGTTACAGGACATGCTTACCCTTTTCGCAAAACACTCTGGGGACGTTCCTTCTGCTGTTGTTCTGCTCTGAAAAATGCAAACTTGTCAGGATAGGTGCCGGTAGCCCATGATAGTGGAAAATGGCGAGAGTGAAATGGGAATCGGATGGTCTGACATGGCTGATTGCATGTCATCATACCGTGATGGTGTGGATCGTTGTTCATGCTTAATGCCTGGCTTAGTCTCTATTATTTAAAGACCGTCTTGACATAGCTAGAAAATTGCTGACTGCGGCAATTGACAACATTCATTCACTAACGGTACAAAAGTACCAATAAAACAACCAGTGATAAAGAGTTACGTCCTTGTTGTGTTGACGTGTATATCTGGATTTCATTAAATTGAAAAAAAATACCTAATTTTCATACCAGAAGACACGAGAAGACAATAAAAAACTGTGACCTTATGAAATTTGAATATTCAGATCCTCGACTGGTTATTGACATGTTTGTTTTCTTTGCATAGGCTACTCTCAAAATTCGGAGCCATTTACGTTTGCCCAACAGATGGGATCTTTCGAGGTTATATACACTGGTGTACCCCATAAAAACGTGTTGCGTCAGATGGTCCTGCAGGAACCGGTGTCGTGGTGTAGTCCCGAGACACAGATACAACACCCACTCAACATTGTCGGGGATTACAACTGGTACGTTGCTCGATGATATCAAGTGGGAAGCATCATTTCAAAGAAAATCATTTCTCTAAGTCAATGATATCTATTCGGTGTGTATCACCCCTGGTGTAATATGATAATATTATTAATTCAACCTGGGTTTAACCATGTCCGCAAGAACAAGATATACAGCTAAAATTGCTTAGTTGAATTAGACTCACCTGGTAACCAGACCGCATCAGTGGTTTAACTGCAGTATTACTGTATATCAGGACGGACGTCAGTGTGGAGATGGAGATCAAGCTCGGTGACGTGAACGGCAGTAACGGCTACTTCCTGGCTGTGAGGGTGGACAGAGGGGGATGCAACTCCTCATCCGCCAGGGGCGTTTTTCTCTACATCTACCCCAGCCAGAAACAGTTCGTCCTCTCCGCCGACATAGGCAAGGGCGATTGAAATAAAAGCCATTAAATACACAAAAGTGATTGATTACAAACTAAGTGAATCTAATTTTGAAACAATTCTATTTTGCGAGGTACGAATTTGACTTGAAAATGTCACAGTGATATCCACTTGACAAATTCGTCCCTATCTTGATAATACACATTACAATTTAGCTGCAACAGTAATCCCGCGTGTGTTGTAGGCCAGACCTCGACCATTATGAAAGGCAGCATTGAGACGCCAAATCCCGCCTGGAACAAAGTGTCCCTTAAAGCAGAGGTAAGGAGACATGATTGTTACTTTACCACCCGGCGACGTGGAATTGGGCTCTAATAGGACACAACTATCCATTGTCAAACCTACTCCATGCTGCCATGACAGCACCATTACTATAAAAGACGCAAGAACTGTCGGAAGAGCCGACTGGGTGAGCAGATGCTGTGACTTGACTGGTTATTGATACCCTCGTTCTCCAATGACGGGCGAAGATCGTTGTTCAGGCTTTCAAAACCGACTCCGAGGTCTTGACTGAAAACGTAAAGCCGGGAAAGAGGTTAATTGGAAGGGAAGTTCCCTCTTTCTCCGGCCTACATTATCAGTCAGGACTTGTGGAAGGGGTGTTCATCCAACTCATAAACCAAAAGACAAAACTAAAGCGTCTTCTTTCAACAATTTTTATGTTTCTGACATGCATTATATAAACCTTAGGAAACGGACATTTTAATATATCTCTTATCATCGCCGCTGCATCGTAATGGTTCACTCACTAGGTTACACATATGATAGTTGTAAGTTCCATGAAATGTAACTATGTTGTTAGATTTTACATCATGCCGCACATTTCCTAAAGTTGCATGTATTCAGTCGAGTAGGAATATAGCGTCCCCATGCACGCGAAAGATATATTGTTTAACTTATTATTTTTATAATCCTCAAGGTGTCTACTAAATGAATTGTTGTTTCCAAGGGAAAATATTGTCCCATGATGTCCACTGGTGGACTGGATTTCTGACGAAATATATAATCGGCATAACTTTTGAGCAAGACATGATTAAAATGTTATTTAAATATGTTCGGTACATTAAAACACGAAAAACGTGAAAAGTATAATTTACTCAAAAAAGGCCAAGATAATAGTTCTCAGAGAAAAGGAATTTCTCAACCACAATCATAGATTAGGGAATACAAGAGTGCCGAGTCTAAGTCTATTGTTGTTCACAGTAGCATAGTAGTAGGTGGATATGTTGTCAAGCGTTTGAATGTTCCTTTGATTCACGACACACCTTGATCAGCTATACCCTCTGATTGGACGTAAAACCAACCATCTTCATGACAACTGTGAGTATCAAGATACTCTTAACGTAGGCATTAACAATACCACTACTGAGACCATTGTAATCCCACCTACGCCCATTCTTTGTGAGGGGACTCTTCAGAAAGTAAGAATAAGGTATATGGATGAACTTCTTTATTACAATTGGGAGCGAACGTTTCAGAGTAGGTTCTGACCTACAGTGTGATAACAGTGTTAGAACCTACACCGAAATGATCACTCCTAATTGTAATACAGAGGTTGTTCATCCATATATCTTATGCTTGCATAGTATTCCAACATGTACAAGAAAGAAGAGACTCTTCAGTAGCCAAGCCAGGTACATCAGGGATGCCAGAAGGTAAAGAGATAGATACTGATCCTTTCACTGATAATGAGATTAAGGCAGGAGAAGTTCGATCTCAGGTTTCAATGGTGTCTGTTCAAAGGATAAGTTAGACTTAGGATTTACCTCAGCTGTCAAACACAGGATAAAACTAACTGATAAACAGTTATTAGCATATTGTGTTATTTGCAAGTTCCATAGCCCTTTGTCATAAAAAGATTGTCTTGTGTAGATGAAAGGATGGTCGTCTTAGGATGTGTACAGATGTGACCTCAATAATAGGACACTCAAAGATTTGTACGCTTTTCCCCACATTCAAGAGAAATTAGATTGTTTGGCTGGAAATTGACTTTTCACCAAACTTGACATGAAGTCTGTTTATTAACAAGTGGAAATCACAGAGGAGGACAAAGAAGCCAGCTTTTTTTAATGTAACCACCTCCCATTTGGTTTGACCAACAGCCCAGCAACATATCAACGGTTGATGGAAGAATGTCCGGATGGTTTACATTTGTCTAATATTCATTGATGACATCGTTAGTCTTCTAATATCTAGACAGTAACCTCAAGTTAGCATGTAATGTAATTTCTGCAAAAGGAAAGTCTGCTATGTAGGGCATGCTTTGTCAGAGCATGGGGTTGGACTATTCACAAAAGTTAGAAATGTTATCTTCATGTCCCAGACCAACTTCTCCCTACCCGCGTTTAAGGTTTGCTGGTTACTATCAAGGTTTTGTTGCCAATTTTGCCCAAATTGCCTGACCTTAAATTTCTACCTAATGCCTTATGTAAGAGAAAACTGAAAAGAAAGACTCCAGAGAATACAGGAATCGGAAACCACAATTTTGTGATTTACGAGCAAGATTACTTTTAACACCTGTTCTTGGTTTCTGTTTATTTTCACTTCCTTTTGAGTTTATGCAGAATCTAGCCAGAAGGGTTGAGGAGTAGTTTTGACCAAATCCACGGTGGAGAGAAGCTAGTGATTAGTCATGCAAGTCGTGGGCTTTCAAAATCAGAGCACTACTTGCCGTACGTCTGCTAGATTTCTTATTTTGGATGTGGGCAGGCACTGATAAATACCATGACTATCTTGGTGGACACAAATTTAAAGTTCTGACTAAAACTAACTCCTCAAATATGCTCTTACTAGTGCAAAACTGGTTACAACCTGTGCAGCTCGTCCTTTCGCACAAGCAGTGTATAATCGTTTCTTTGTTACTGTTACTTACTGAAACTCATTTTTGCGAATAGCTATCAATGTAAATATTTTTCAGACTGTTCCTTCCGGATTCCATAGAAAACAAATAAATTTGCTTTGTATGTAGATAGATATGTGCAAGTCTTCGAGTAAACGACGTTTTCAAGTTTTTCGTGTTTAATTGTAAGTAATATTTTAATGATGCAAATAACCCTTTCCACCGCTTTGTCAGGTGGAATGTACATACAAAAATAGTCTTATATGTTTATGTGCCATGTCTTGCTTAAAAGTTATGCTGAATAAACATTTTCAATGAAAATCCAATATGGCCGCCAATAAGTGAGTGAGTGAGTATGCTTTTACGCCACTTTTAGCATTATTCCAGCAATATCATGGCGGGGGACACCAGAAATGGGCTTCACACATTGTACCCATGTCGGGAATCGAACCCCGGGTCTTCGGCGTGACGAACGAACGAACGCTTTAACCACTAGGCTACCCGACCGCCCCGGCCGCCAATGGACACCATGGGACAATATTTCGCCATGGGAACACCAAAATTGATTAAATAGACACTATGAGGATTACAAAAATGTAATTTAAAAATATCTATCTTTTGAGTGCATGGGGACCCTATTTTCCTACTAGATAAATTGTGTGTAATGTATGAGGCAGAGGGAATTTCTGTTGAATATATGTGGGACATATGGAATTTCTATGAAATATCCCTCGGACAGAGGTATATTCTGTAGAAGGTCCCTGATAAGAGGTTATGAATAGGAGGCCCCATACAAAAACAATTGGATGACGCCACCAGAGGTCTATGCGACACTGGCTTGTCAGGCCATGACACGATCATTCACAGGTCGGTGTGATGTAGATGTCAGTGTAAAAGAAAAGCCTTGTTGCAGGGAAACTATGCCGACGCGACGTTCAACGACGTCAGCCTGATGCATGTGCAGCTGCCCAGTGGTCCAGCTAATGGCTTTGTTGGTCTGGGAACGTCTTCCTGGGGGTTGGCTGACTTCGACAACATGCTGATACAGCCAGCCAACTGGACCAGCACGGCCAGGACACAGGAAGATAGCAGGCTGTACTTTAAGCCTGGACAATAGTGTCGTTGGATGTGGTGGTTATAGGGGCTGTGTTTGACACATTCTGAAATTGCTAACCATTTGAATTGAAACAGACTGGATTGACAGATATCAAAGATTGTGCACGGCAATTTGGTGTACTTTAAGATTTATGGTTGGAATGTTTATGTTTTTATTTGTAATTGAGGTATGCCTCACGATATAAAGTGTTTTGTTTAATCCTTATAAACTAATGTTTGTCAATAAAGTCAGTTTCAACAGATGCAAACTTTGAAGTTATTTTTAATGGCAGATAAACTGTGATATTGTTGACGCATTGCTTCTGCAGGGCACCATCGTAATGATTTCTCCGTGTATTGACATGTGCCGAGAATGTTCGGCCATCTGCAATGTTAATATGTCGTTTTTAGCCGGTGGTGAAAGGAAACCCGGAAGGCGCGGGAGTCTTGGTTCGCAAGTTAGGTTCGTGGGTCAGATGAAATGTGTTGATGTGTACTAAAAGTTTGATAAGGTCTGTCTGTCTCTAAGCCCCACCAACCCCCAGATTTCCGAACTACACTGAGGTCCGGATGCTGAGTTTTATGCAGAACAGTATAGTTACAATGTGATCCTGTTGACCAGAAATGGTTGAGAAGACCATATTCAATCAAGGTGTGTAACCAATTTGTTACTTCCTTATATGTATAAAAGGAGAAGATGCAAAACATGTTAACTTAACTTTATTTAATATGAGTATTCATCAAATTCATGAGTATTTTGTAAACAAACTTATTTATGCTTTGGGTCTGTAATACAATGTATTATCCTTCGGTTTCTGGCGTAGATTTGCGACTGGTTTTGCCCTAATCATCAGATTGTCATAGTCCACAATTCCCCAAGAATCGGTGCCAATCGCAACAAATCCATTCTTGGGATTGGCAGGAATGGACACGTTGAACAGTTTCTGGTTGTTATATGTGCCAGATGCGTATCCTCCCTGCAATAAAAAAACCCATGTGTAATCTCTTCATGAACAAATCTGCAGTTTCAGCTGTTATTTCAGTAATCAGTGATGCATATTATTCATCCCAGGTTTGTTTGTTTGTGGTGGCTGTATCTCTAAAGAATGACGTGACGTGCATTACAACGCTGAACCTGTCAGGGTGCTGCATTCATGGTTGAAAATCACACACATGTGTACGTAGACAAAAGGAAATAAAAATAAGGCTACAAGAAGATAGGAACTGTGGGACTCGACTAACCTGCACAGTCAGCATTACGTTGTTCCAGTCACTGTTGCTGGAGGGTAGTTCACCTTCCGTTATGCACTTTTTGTGTTCTGCAGCCATTGACATGGAGATTATAAACAGTTATGGCTTATAGACGGAAGTAAATAAGAACATTTTAGAGCTACATTACTTTTCCACCATGTGTCTTTCATAGCACTGCCGTTATTACCGAAAATGACGAGCAAACACATTTACCACCAGGCCGCCCATCTCAGTGTGGAATCAGAAACCACAATGTTGGTAGATACACTTTGTAGAGATGTTTCCAGGAAATAGAATATACAAACCGTTGTATTAACTCACCAAAGTCCCCGCTTAGATGGTATTTACTTTTGTTGGGGAAGATATACAGGAAGATACCCTCTGCTTGGTCTGACTCTCCACCACCTCTGTCCACACGGGCAGCCACAAAGTAGCCGCTAGAGCCGTTCACTTCCCCGACTTTGGCGTCAATTTGGACAGTTACATCTGTCCTGGAACACCAGAGGAGCAATTGGTACTTGCCTCTAGGTATTATGTTGGCCTTTCTAAATTATAATGGATTCCATACCCTCGTCAGTAGAATACTGTAGAAGCAGAAGTCTGTCACTTTTCTATCGTGAAACTCTATTCATCCCGAATGTTCGAGACTTGTACTCATCACATTTCCGGATGAATGAACAGTTTTGTAATGTCTACTTTATTTCTGTAGACGTCCCAAACGGTCAAACACATCCTCATGAGACCCAGCTCTACAAAGGCGAAGCGATTGTTTGTTGCCGTTTTGGCAGACGAAAACATGCTTATGTTCAGGCTGTGTGCATTATATAAATCTAAAGTCAATGTTTATATAAATTAAGCAAAGCCATTTTTTTATTTACTAAAGCGTTCGGTTCCGAATATATACTGTAAATCTTGAAATTAACACGAGTAAATAAAAGGGATCTATTTTCAGCGGGACTACATCAGCAAGAGCACTTTGAAATTGATCATCTCTTGGAACGCGTAATTACATATGGGTACATAGGTCCACTATCTCAGAACATTCCGAAAGCGACCACAAGTAGTTTTAAATTTACAAGTTCAACATTAGAATACTTATAGTCTTGAGTAGTTTAAAGTAATGGTTCAGAACACCTTTTTTTTCCAAGAAGTTGTCAAACAACGATCCAAAGATATATGTTTTAATTTCATCGCAACCTGTTGCACATTTGTACTTCTTGGACTCAACCAAGACATTCCATGGGAATCAACATAACAGGGTTTTAGGTATTTCGAAGTTGTACTTAAGTTGGTTTAATAAATATCTCCTCAACAGTAATACATATTACGAATGTATATCTCTCCACTCCCAACTCTGACCTGGCTGAAGTCCACTTACTGCCATGGCTGCCAATATAGTTGTTCACGGTAACAGTGCTAATTACAAATTGTATGAACCCGGAGGATTCTGCAGTTATGTTCCACATTAACCTGATGATGGACTGGTGAAAATGAGCCAAATGCAACAACCACTGCCAACAGAAAACACCCTGCAGTATGCTGATCAGCCATTTTCTAGCTGCAGACGACGACATTAGAGAGACTGCTTGTTTCCGGTGATTCTGTGGCCCTGACACAGTGGCTAGTGTGTGTTTTACTTAATTGAGTGTGTACTGAAAAAGATTTCATCGATATGCATTTTGGCAGTTATATGCAGGAATGCATAGGCTGTTGATAGTTCTATGTTTTCATAGCACGGTTTGAATGTGAAAATTTAAAGGCTTAATGGAAAAGAGGCATCGGTAGAAGAAGACTACCCCTTTAAACAAATCAGAACCAAGCATTCTTCAATGTCATGGTAGAATGACAAATACAGTTCAAGTATTTTACAAGTAAGGTAACCTAATGTTTGTTTTTAAAGATAGCAATCGTGCCAAAAAGGCAACACAAATGTTCCACCTGTCAAAATATTGAATAAAGATGATAATAAAATAATCATGAGGTGTTTCTGTGCAAACATATACATATTACATATAAAATTTCACTGCTTCAATAAAATCGAGCAAAAACATTGGCATGGAGAATTTTTTTATCTTACCTTACATTTAAAATACTGGACAATGCCATTTTGCTTAATTTCCAATTTAGAAGTGATAATATACAGAGCCTAACTATACATAAAGAAATTATCGTTTAGCAGTATGGCTTTATCTCTGGGGGAATATGCTTTGAGGTACCGTGATTATTATTACCCTCAGTGTAGTTGTGTACTCCGAGATAGGCGACTACGGGTACACGGCAACACAGAGGGTCCATCAAAACGTATTCCCCTCATCAAAAACCTGAAATTTATATGAAAATATTAAAACCGTACCAGTTATAGTTGCCAACGAGATTGATAGACCTGTTGGTCCGCCCCTCTGCCTTACACCAGTGTACAGGCTGTGAGAGGACCACCTGCCTCACCACCTTGTTGTGTGGGGGACCCACGTCAATGATCTCAAACGACCCGGTCTGTTGTGCCAGGTTGTTGGGCTCCATGTGTTCAGGGTAACCTGTTCAACACGAGATTTGAGTAAATGACTGATATAGTGGTTGATGGAAAATGTATAGCTGCACACAATATCTTTCTCCGACATATAATCTTACTCTAATCTGCATTGTTACCTTCAAAGTCGTCGTTGTAGGTGCTCGGGAAGGGTTGAGATGAAGGCGGGGGAGGGTAGGACCCTTTCTGTCCTCCCAACACGGTTGTTAAGGTAAAGGCTTCATCCACAGCTACATCTAGCTGCACCATCCCATTCACAACCTACACAACATATGTCAATCCTTAATCCCCGCTAAGAACGACATTAGATTAACAAGTGTTCTATTGACATTTTATGATAATGACATGCATGACATTTATAAACTTCATGTAAACTTCCTATTGTGTGAAATTCATAATCAATTTTAAAGTCAGCTTTTAGTTTAGTTAAAGCTAATTTCAGTGAAACACCGGTTCATTGTGTTATAAATGCTAACGGAAAGAGCTACGCTAGGGCCTCAGTTTGAAGCACAAACGTTACATCTGTTTTACCATTATTCAGTCACTACCCTTTGAAAGAGTGCTCACCCTGATAAAGAGTGCCACTTACGTCCTTGATATCGATGTTAGCTAAAATACACATTGAGTTTGTTGTAATACGATCAGAGTGTTCTCACCTTGAGTGGTGCCTGTCTCTGGAACATAGGGCCAGAAACACTGACCGCGCCATTGAACAATCTACTGTACCAAACGTTCAGAGTTTTGATGGAAACCTGCAAGAAATACATCGTGTAACCCATTTACCAAAAATTCCTTGATGAAATATCGGTGCAATATTGCATCACACATTTTCATTGTGATTAGAATAATAATACATTTTTTAATTAATATATATATGCCATCCTGAGATCGCGTCTGAGTAGTTCGTCTTCGATAATATTTCAGTCAATTTCATTGACGAATCCGTTTCAACAAACACTTACAAAGCTGCCCTTGAGCTGGAACGTCACTCTCTGCTTGGTGACGTTGTAGGGCTCCAGGGGAGGCCGGACACAGATGGAGTGGTCGTGGCTCTGGGGGAACAAAGAAAGATAAACAATGAATGTGTAAATGGGGCTCTTTCATCGTGTTTGATTGAATTATCGCTCTTGATCAGACAAACCAGTGGTTGATAGCGTGAACCTCGATCTATATGTGTTCACCCAATACGCCAGGAGAGAAAATATCAAAATAAAACAATGAATGTTAATCTTTAGATGTCGAAGGGGCACAATTGTACCCCGCCAGTTATGTCACAATTGTTCTGTTGTATACAATACAATTATGGCCACCTATTACCGACTTTATCGTCTATTACAAGCTTTGTCTGTGATCAAACAAAAGTTTATTCCTCGACTGACACAGTGATAAAACATAAGAACTGAAGCTAAAATAAAATCCTTCTGCACTGGAATATCAAAGTGGTTACATACTATTAACCATAATGTTTTTGACAGAATATGGCAG